ATTTGTTCATTTGAGTTTGAAAGTCATTTAGAGTTTTCTCAAGACTTTCGTCTGAACGAATTGTAAAGATTCTCATTTCGTCAAATTGTCTATTAGACCATCAGAACCTTTATACTGCCCATGAAAATATACTGCGAACATAAATGCGTTAGTTCTATTTGAAAACAAAACTCTTCTAAATCCTATTGCCTTTGCATCTGAAGGACTTTGAAGCCAACGAATTGGATAGTCAAACCTGTATGCTCGGGATGAAATTTCTTCATCTGAAATAGTCCTACCAGCATTTGTAAGATATAGATATAGTCTAACGTTTTGTATCTGCTACTTTTGTTCTTTGTTTTTCAACCTGAAACATTTAATATATGTAAAAATATATTGTTTTAAATGGTATGCCATTTCATATTTCTCATCTAACAAACAAGTTTCCCAACGGTCTTCTCCAACAAACTCAGCGTACAGTTCAAATAAATTAAAAAAAAATGTCACTTTTTTAAAAATAAATTTTTTTACTTCATGCAATGTTTTATTTCTGTGCCGTCTTCAAGTATGCCCCAATATTTCCTTTTCGATATTACATGAACTTCGGAAAATACCTTATCTAGCTTAAAACAGCCCATCTTTTCACTGACCATTCCCATTTCAATGAGTTTGTTGTATCCTTCTTCGTTCGTCATGAGTGCGTCAATGTTCTCATAGTAAACCTTCACTTTGGATTTGACTTCGGAGAAGAATTTGTTGTAGTTGTCAAGGACTGCCTTTGCGAACTGAGGGTAAGACCAATGTTCGACAATAGGTTTAATGTGGTTACTAAGCCACTTTTGACCTTGAGTGAATTCGTACTTCAAAACACAAAAGGAGAAAACCTTTCAACAAAGTTGCGACCTTCTCATAATGTTTACTCTTCATCTCTTGAGGTTTCTTAATGGAATATCCCATGTCGAATTCATAAGCAATTTGAGTGTCATTGCAAGTTTGGGGTTTGAAGCTTTCCTAATATCATACAGTTGTTGTATGACTTTTCCAACTGTATAGTTCCTTCCCGGGAACTCACCATCTTCGTTTGGAATTCCAGTCGGAATATATTGGACAAACCTCATGTACGCAGCGTTAAGGTCGACATAGTATATTTTTTCATCTGAGTCGAACTTGTCGCAACCTATCGGACCAGTTTGTGGAAATTCAAGTGAGTCTCTTATCTTCTGAGAAACTTCTCCTGTTATCTCATAAACATCGTCAAAGCAGCCTGTTTCATATAAAACCTTCTGACCTAACTCAGATGCTCTCCAATACAATTTGACGTCAATTGGATGTCTCAATGGAAGTTTATTTATAGCATCTTGAAGTTCTTGCAACCTCATTGGAAGTTCTTCTGGTTCAGGTTGGTATCCGAACATACCAACCCTTGTGGAACTGTGTACTTCTTTTGTACTAGAACTTTGTCTGGAACAACTTTTGGTCTTGCTAACAATGAAAAGTTTGTTTCGTCTTTTGGTACAAAAGTTTCTGTCAGCTTGTCATCTGGAATTGGTTCCAACAAACCTTTCTCGAAAAGAATGTTTACAGCTCTGACAATGTTGCACTTACTTTTACCAAAGAATGGGTTTGTAAGACTTTCGTTCAACATGAAGTGGTTGTGGACAATTACAATCTTCAACCATGGTAAGTCTTTGTCAACAACATAGTCGTCATGTGAAGAACCTTTAGCTGTAGGTATGTTGACTCGGATATTGACATTTGCCAACGGTGCAATTTTTGCCAATTGACCTCTGAGAATGTACCTTGTCTTAACACATGACTCAAGATACTTCATCTTCTCATCTGTAACAAGACCAGAGTTCCTGAGACATGTAAGAATGCAAGGTTCGTTGACAATTGTTTCAATTGAATTGTAAATTCCATACCTTGTCAAGTCAATGTCAGACTTATTTATGAACGGGAAGTATCCAGCATGTTGTCTGACTGCTTGAGGGTTAGGTTGGTACCATTCGAACTTGACACTTGCAATTCCTTCAATTGCATTCAAAATGTCTGAGTCGGAGTCAACCATTTGTTCTCTCTTTGTAGTCTTGAAAGCGTCAAGAAGTTTTGCGGCTGTTTGTTCATTGCCATGTGCATAGTAAATGTGACCATCCAAATCTGTTATGGTCAATCTGAGATTGTGTCCTTTCTTATTTCCGTCTTGTATGGCAGCAAGTACACCCATGAAGCCTTCTTTGTTCTTTCCTTCGTCAAAGTTTACTGTAAAGGTTCGACCAGATGTAATTTGACTTCTAACTTCACGATACTTTTCATATGCATATCTTGTTCTTTCCATGGGAGCATGTGCGTCTTCACCTTTTCCTTTTTTCCTTCTCAAAGGATGCAATTGTTCGTCATGTTTCCAGTAGAATCTGGCAAAGCCGTCGTGTCCTTCAACTTGAGGTTCACTAACATCGAAAGGCATGTCCATAAGACGTTCTTCTTCTAACCTCTCTAGTCTGTTTGGATAATTGGCACGTGCTGTTTCCAAATCCATTTCGTAGCGAAGACCAGACAATTTGTCATAGACTTTTATGGGTCTTCCCTTCCTATATTTAAACTTCTTCGAAACTCTCCAACCATATCTTTGTAACTCTGCTTTTATTCTAGCAGACTTTCTATCCATTCTATATGGGGGCATTTTTATAAAAATAAAAAAATATTTTTTTTCTTTACTTTACATAACCGCCTGCTGCCATAAGTCTTTGACGCCACCCCATACCAGCTAATGAAGGTTGACTTGGTTTAGTTTGGAAACTAAACTTTGGTTTTGGTTTATCTTCAGTTTTTGGTTTTTCTTCTTCTATCGGTTTTTCGTCACTTTTCGGTTCCTCTGACTTTACTTCACTTGCAGGAACAGTTGTGTCGTCAACATCTTCATAAATATCATATGCCATTTGTTTTTGTTTTCCTTTCAACTTTTTGTGTTTGTTGTAAAGTTTAGAATATTTCGACTCTAAGTCAATGAGATGTTCTATAATGAACTGTTGGTCAGTGAAGTAAACTTTTCCATCTGTTGTCTCGAAAGCTCCTTCAGACTTCAATATTTTATTTGTGAGAGTCTGTTTCTTTTTTGAGATACTAGCCGTTCCATTTCTATGAAAAGTGACTTTATAGTTAGGGTTTGTATTTCCAGACCTGGCACTTTCTATTATTGAATTTTTCTCTTCATCTGTAAGTTCTTTGACAGGTTTTGACAATGGTTCTGAACTTTTTGTTTGTGGTGTCAAATCTACCGTTTCAACTTCTTCGGTCATTTCATCTCAGTAAAAAATTTTAGTTTGGTTTGTTTTCAACTGGTTGTTGTTGTTTTTTAAGTCGGTCTAAAACTTCCTGAGGTATAGGAAGAACTGTACAAACACGTGGTGTAAAAGGTGGTCTTCCATGACTTATTCTGTTTAAAGCTGCATTGTTCATTTCATCTCAGTAAAAAAATTTAGTTTGGTTTGTTTTCAACTGGTTGTTTAGGTTTTTTAAGTCGGTCTAAAACTTCCTGAGGTATAGGAGGAACTTTACAAGCACGTGGTGTAAATGCTGGAAGCCGACAAATCCATCTTGAACTCATTTGTCTCAATGCTGCATTGTTCATTTCATCTCAGTAAAAAACTTTACATTCCCCAAGTTTGAGGTGGTTGCGGTTGGTTATTGCTTACCCATTGTTGTGCATGGTTATATCCTCTGTTAAAGAATCTTTCACCTTGGTCCATATAGTGTCCTGCTTGGTTATAGTAGTCATTTGCTTTGTTATAATAGTTTCCTGCTTGTCTTCCTACATTGTCCATCCATCCTTGAACTTTTCCTCTTGTTTCAGGATTTGGAATAAGATTTGTTGCATCTCGTGCTACATCCCAACCTTTCTGTACAGTTTGTATAATAGGTTGTGCTTTCTCTTTAAGTATACCTAATGTACTCAAAATCTTCCTTCCAACTCCAAATGCACCTCTGGCTATTGTTCCCACTGCGGGCAAAAATCTGGATGCAACTCCTGCTAATGCGCCAAATAAACCCATTTCTTATAGGGTAAAAAATGACGAATCCAAACAAGGACCCCTATGTTTCGAAAGCGACAAAGAAAGCACTCATGATAAAAATCTTTAGTTCAACACCAAATGCTTGGTTTATGGATATCTTGGAAAACATTCCGAGAGTTAGAACAGATGGACCTCCATACTGGTTAATATTTGTTGGTCAAAACACAAGATACTGTGAAGCCATACCATTATGGTCCAAAAATATTTTAGATGTGAAAACTGCTTTGACAATATTCGTTGACAAATACCATCCAACAAAACTGACATCTGACTGTGAAAGTTCTTTCAAATCAGATGATGTAAAAAACTATCTGCGTTCAAAAAATGTAAACCAATATTTCATTGTCGACCAAAACCATTCTGCTCTTGGTGTCATTGACGGTTGTATAAAAATGTTAAGAGACTTAAACCAACCACAAGGTGGTGAAGCAAATGAAATGTCATATGACGACAAGTATAGACACTTCTCCATGGCAAAGATGAGACAAGTTTTAAATATTTACAATAACCGTAAACAAAAAGGTTTGGGAAACCACTCCCCGAAGAAATGAAAAACAACCCTGACTTAGAGAAAGACTATATATTTAATAATTTAGTCAAAAGAGACAAACAAGAAAGAATGCCGGGCTTCAAACTTCAGAAAGGTGACAAAGTAAAAATAGAAATACCTAAACGCGACCCATATGAAAATACTATTGACTATGACAACAATGGGAACCCGACAGGTACTCACATTCGTGTTCGTAAAAATAGAAGAAAGTATACAAGAGAATATTATGAAGTTTTAGGCAAACATGGCAAAATGTACACACTGCAAGCAGAAGATAAAACTACTATTGCCAGACCTCGTTTCAAACTTGTCAAAGTTCAAGGTGGTATACTTTCAAAGACAGTTCCTAACAAATATAAGACAACTCCTGACGAATATGCTAAAGAAGTTGAAAATGACGACTAAGCAATTTTATACAATGCGTAAACTGTCATGTAAGGTGGCATGTATTCTTTACTTTGTCCCGTTGTTTGCGTATATCCCGAAACGAAATGTGTATGGTTTCCTTCTCCCTGAGTGTCACTCCAGTAACAATTTATAGCAAACTTAACCTCGTCTTTAACATCATATCCTTTACCTTTTGTCATTCCTGACCAATCCCAATATCTATGCTTATGCCAACCTGCTTGAGATGTACTTAAATCTATGTAGTGACTGTGTGCAGGTAAATTTTCACCTGAAATCGTTTTACTTCCACCTGTTTCCTTTGAAGAGTTTGCACAATACAAAAACCTGTCGACTATTTGAGTCCAAGTTCCAAAACCAAGTACTACTTCTGGTCTGGTAGAGTTCATTGAAACATATAATGAGCCAACCGGGTAAATAAGATTCGGCAAAATTTGTTTAAGCACATTGAGTTCCTGTCTTAGATGCATAATGTCATCTAACTTTTCTTGAAGTTCATTTACGTCATAGATGTTATGTGTATGATGTTTTTGTGGGTATGTTCCTTCTGTCCATGCGAAAATATATTCTTTTGTTGCATCTACATATCCAGCTATCCATGTCGAGTCTGCTTTTGTATTCCTTAACTCTGTAACACCTTTCTCAAGCTCTTTCAACTGTTGTCCATCTTCCATTAAAGCTCTGTCATGACTTGAAACCGTTTGTGCCAACATATCTACAGTTTCTTTGTCAGCTTTGTCATCTAACTTTTCTTGAAGTTCATTTACGTCAGAGATGTTATGTGTATGATTTTTGTCGGCTTTATTTGAAACATCTATGTCAAGTCTTTGCAAATGGACACTATCTTCCATTAAACCTCTGGTATGACTTGAAACCGTTTGTGCCAACATATCTACAGTTTCTTTGTCAGCTTTATTTTCAACATCCTCTTTTGTTGCATATGTTGCATCTGCTCTGTCATGTTCTTCTTGAACTTTTTCAATGACATATTCTTTGTCAGCTTTGTTGTCAACATCTGCTTTCAAAAGAAGTTCATTTATAGGTTTCTCGTTTAAAGTTCCTTTTGTTGGATTTATACAGACAGTATGGTTCTTATTGTCTTGAAACAGAAACTCATCTGTCATTGGGTTTAATGTCAGTTTTAAGTTTCCTTCTTTCAATGACTCAGATATCTTAGAATAGTTTGAAAAGTTTGTTGTGTTCTTATTTAGAGCTTGCATAATGAGTTGTCGGTTGTGTTGTATTTCTCTCATAGACGCTGTTTCATTTGACATTTTTATTATAGATAAAATATGCTTCCAATAGAAAAAGAAAATTCTAGAGTTGCTACAACTAAACCATTAGATGAACTTTTTACTAATGTCAGTCAAAAGTTTGAGACAGATACCGTAAAGCATGAAGGCTATCGTTTTGACTACCCATTAAGATGGTTAAGAGACCCATCCGTCACAAAAGCTATTGGCTTTCGTAGAATGAAGTTCATTTCAGAAGCCATACATGGTTTCCCATTTACGGTCGGTTTTGAAGTTCGATACTATAACAAAGAAAAACGTATGTATGAGAAATTTGAACAGGGAAAACTTTTACAAGTTAGTTTGCTTATAAACTTAGAAACAACTCTTCAAGCTTTTCAAGAAAAAATAAACGACATCTATATTGAATATGCAAACCAGTATAACATTGACGAAGGAGAATACCATCTCGATATTATTTATGACAGGAAAAATGCAACTGTTAAAATCAATAAAATAGAAGACCTTGGAGAAAACGTTTATATTTCCACAAAATATAACAACTTGGCATGGTATAGATTTATGAGGATGTTAAATCAGCCTGCGGCATATCCAGTACACCCGGACTATTATGAAGTCGAAAACCCTAATGGAACATATGAAAATATTTTCGATCCAGATGCTATTATTGTTCATGCTTCATTTTCTGGCGCCCAAAACTCTTTTTTATGCTTGGCAAATGACTTTTACGAAAAACCTACAAAGTTATATGAACCACCGAGTGGAAGTATTTCAGACTTTCAAGTATGGTTTACTACAGATGGAAGAAAAAGAATAATTCCATTATACCATGCGTTTTACTTAGAACTTAGTTTCATATACAACTACTATCGAACGGTAAAAATATAATTTTTTAATATACCGGTTGTGGTGTTGGATTTGGTTGCCAACTAGACTGTGGTGCAGGTTCAGGCTGTTGTATAACAGGAGCTTGCTCTTCTGGTTCAGGGTCTTTAGGGATAATACCAACGAACTGACCTACTCTTTTACCAATATTTTTGACACCGTTCCATACTCCTCTTCCGACAGATTTTATTCCATTCCATATACCTCTTCCAACATTTCGAAAGAAGTTTCCAATACTACTGAAGAAACCCATTTTACTATATGTAAAAATCTAATGTCCGCCTAGTCTCTTACGTTTCCTGTTGAGTTCCATAGCATTCTTTAACTGGAGCTCATACATTCTGTTTCTCCTCTGGTAGAAAACATATTCTGGGTCAACTCCTGTGTTCGCGTCATCTGCATAAAGTTGTTTATATCCCACTTCAGGGTTTGTATAAAACTCTTTCCATCTCATATTTGCATACCATGGTGGCAAACCTAACGCAGCGTCATTTGACATGGCAGTTTGCATTTGTACATCTGTTGGCACTTGACCATAGTTTGCCATTGCAGTTTGTATTCTAACTTCATTTGGAATATTCTCTGGGTTTGGTTGTCCAGGTTGCTGTGCATTCGCTAAGTTCTTTGCGTCCATTTAATATTAGATAAAAATATCTCTTACGAGTACATATGCTGAACATTTGTAGGCATTGGTTCATCTTCATATTCTCTGTACTTTTCTGCCACGTCAAATAAATAAATGACACAATGGAAAAAACCTAAAACAAGTAGTCCTATTTCAAACCACATTTACTTACTAATAAAATTTCTTTATTGTGACACTTTCTCCAGTTTATAGGACCTCTCTCATATTCTATCTTGTCATATATAAACTCATAGTCATGTATGTCTTCTAACCATCTCATAACGGTTTCCAAACCACTTTTATCGGATGTAAAGTAAAAGCATGGATGGTTATGTAAAACGTCTAAAGTTTCTAAAGAGTCTCTCAAAGTCCAGTCTACTTGGTATTGAAAATCCCATGTGTTATAGAACGGTGGGTCCACTATAAAGAAAACATTTTCCTTGTCTTTATATTTTTCATACAGCTCTGTCCAATGACATCTCACAAACTCTATACCCTCAATATATTTTTCTATGTCCTCTTTGAAAACATTTGTATAGTTAAGATATAAAACTTTTGACATAAGTGTTTCAATGTCATGAACTCTTATAGCACCACTATATAATAGTCTAGCAGATATACTATCCCAGTCTATATATTCTGCTTTTTTCAAAACCTCTCTCACAATATTTTTCTTATCTAATGGTATACGTTCCATCTTACCTATAAGTATCTTTTCTTTTAACTCTTTCAATATATTGTTTGTGTCTGGAATATGTTTGAGACGGTCCATATAGTTGTCGAAGTCATTGCATATAATCTTTGAGTCTGGGAATATTGTATGACATAAATGGGATATATAGAAACTTCCACCGAACAAATCTACAAATGTTAGACCATTCGGTAGTTTCTTAAGTTCTCTCAATATAATATCTTTACATCTACTCTTATTTCCAAAGAACGGTAACGGAGGTTTTGTAAAATTCATTTATATATAATAATAAAAATGTTTTTACCCGAAAAGTGACAGAAAAGTGACAAAACATGAAAACATATATAATTTGTGAAAAGTGACACATTATATAATGTTTTCGACCCAGAAGACTAACAATTTTCCGAATATAAACTTCATTTATACTAAACATCTTCGGGGCTAGAGGGCGCAACGCGCCTGGAAGCCCTCCGAATAAAAACTTCATTTATACTAAACATCTTCAGGGCTAGAGGGCGCAACGCGCCTGGAAGCCCCACTACCTTTTTTTTTAATTTTGTAAAATTCGATTCCAAAAATTTTGAAGTGAAAAAAGAATTAATTTATTTCTATTAATTTCCGTTCTTTTGAGACCAGATAGGGGAAATAAATCGCCACTTTTATAAAGTAGTAGAATTCAGAATCGTTTATATTCAATTAAATATAATCGTATCTACTACTTGTCATGAATGTCGAACACCATTTGGATCAAAAATAATGTGTAAGTTTAAGTGTCATAGAAACATAAAATGAGAAAAACAAGTTAATTTGAGTATTAAAAACAAACATACAAAAAAATTTGTTTAGTTATTGAAAGGATTTGGGAAAGAAAAAATCTCTTCATCGTTAATCTCAAAGAATATTGATGAAAGAGAGTTTAATGAGTCAATTAAATTGGCAACAATGACTTCATCTTTAAACATCGAACTTTCTAAGCACAAACCTTCAGTTCTTGCAGCTGAAATAGCAGCAGCAACCCATGAAGAAGCCATTCCGAGTTTTAGACCAGAAATAACTGCGTAACAAACTAAATTATCTGATTTCGTCGAAGTTATGTTTGTAACAGTTTGTTTCAGTGCCAAAAGCTCTGTTGTATCATGGAATATCCCTGAAATGGCAACTTGGAAGCAATAAAAAGAATTTCTGCAAGATTTCGCAATTATCGGCGTCGGAGGCTTGAAATTGCTTGCAAAGAACTGCGATACATTATATACAATGTCGGAGATGATATCAAGTGGAAGGGATTCTCCATTCATCAACTTTTGTTTTAATATAATTGTATCGTTTCGAATTTTTGTATCAAACCTTGGGAAAACCTTTATATCGGGATTGGTTCCGGGGAATATTCCAGAAAACGTCGTTTTGAGGATCGGTTGAAGAGATGCCCTTAATAATTCAATAAATTCAGGAGATTTAAGGAGGGAAGAATCAGTATAGAGACTAGAGAACATTGGACTGGATAATGATGAAAGAAAACGCGAAATTATTCCCATATAAAAAATTCGAGAAATAAAAATCGCCAATTTCTCAATATTATCGATATTTTGGTCAACTATTTTGGAAAAGTGTTCGTAAAAAGAGTTAATTGTGTTTTCTGACATGATTTTTGCCAAAATAGTTATTATTGAGACAATTGCTCCATCATTCAAGTTAAATTCGCGTATTTCTGTTACTAACTTGCTTAATGCAGCAAAGTATTGCGTTCCGTAGATCGGTTGTCCTCTTTCCGGAATTTCAAAACCGAAATTTTCCAAAATTTTCTTTGTTTGAGGGGAACAAAGAGGTCTCATGATGCAATCTTCGCATAACTTGCTTCCAGGGATCAGGAATTCCTTAGAAAGAAAGTCTGTTTTGTATTTCGGAAGATTTGATTTTGAAATTTCGTTAAATAAAGGTGGAATCTGTGTTCTTGACTCATTTTGGATTTTTAATAGTTCACTACTGAACGATATCTCTTCTTCTGACCTTGATCTGAAGTTTTGCTTTTTTGAAGTTTTTTCTTTGGAATTTGCGAAATAAACCTTTCTAGAAATTGGTAGATCGAACTTAAGAAGCTCTAGATGCGAGGAAGCCTTCTCAGGAATATCAACATGAGCTTTAAATTTAATAATTTTGTTATTTTGATTTGATTTCGGAATTGGAGCTTGCTGCATCGAGGCAAATTCCATATCTTGCCATTCTAGTTCATAAACTCTCTCAATGAATGGCTTTGCAAGGACAACTGGCGGTGGTTTTGAAGATTTTTTAATTAATTGCTTAATAGAAATATAAATTGTAATAAATGTAAATTTCAAGAAGTCGAATGACTCAAATGCCAACATATATTCTTGTAATAATTGTTTTGACTTAATAATTATTGATTTTCCTTTTTGATTGCCTTCTGCGTAGGAACACTCTAATGGAGGTATTATATATGAGTTAAGTGTAATTTTAACAGGTGGAATACTAGATGCTTTTGCAGATGCGTTGAAAATAATTTGTTTATTTAAATAATTTATTTCATAGATACCGAGCGGATGACCAGTAGGATCATAAACTAACACATGAGCGACAACAGGTGGTAGATTGAAATTAACTTCATTAATTAAAGAACGAACTTTTCGAATTTTTTCAATCCATTGAGTACATTCTAATTCTGAGTCAAATTTCATAGCATGAGATTTATGAAATAGTTCGTGTATGGGAACTAGTTGCATTGTATCTAATTTAATTTTTCTGACCATATAATAAGGAGTAAATAAATAGAATTCAATAGATTTTGTGTCTTGTGATAAATCAGCATTTTGAAATGAAATAAAGGGGCCACTCAGAGTTACATTATACGTAGATCGAATGCTAACAACGGGCAAATCATTTAAATTGATATCCATTGAGTCATAACTATTAAATTGGCAAGTTGCTGTGGCTGTTATGCTTCCGATTTGCTTGTAGCTCTGAGTGAAATAATTTGTATCTTTCATTAACAAAAAAATAACACATTTTCATTATTTCGAATATTTAATGAGTTTTGTATACGTTTACTTTTCATATTTTTTTTGGGTTATGATTTCATATGATAAAATTTGAATCCATTAATTTAAGTTCTAATTTAGAATTAATTTTAGGAATATCATCCTCATTGAGAAACAGAATTAAATATAATATCTATTTGATGCTAAATTCAACAATGAATATAAATCGATATTCCATCATGAGCAAATAGGAAATAAAACTAAGAACAACTCATAATAATGAAGATATACCATAATCTTACAGAACATCATACAAATTCAATCAAATAATTTAAATTTCAGATACTTTAGCATAATTAAAGCGAAATCTCTCTGAAATATTGATATCATAGGATTATACTATTCAATATACATGTCTTTCTGATATTTGAACTGTGAAGAAGTATGACATATCTACAGTCACCTTCAATAATCCACTTTGGACTACAAATATCACGCAAGATGAAGATGATCCATTCAAGTCAGATTTCGAAGAAAAAATCTCACAGCCATTCTTCGCTCCACAAACATTGGTGCAAGAAGAAGAAATTTAATCCATGCACTCTATTTTTTCATGTATCTTTCGCTACTATTTATTAAAAATTTCGGTATTTTAATTTTTTCTTTCTTTTTTCCTTAAAATTTATTACATATAATATACACATCAATGCAAATTATGACATGTAAATATAAGATTCAAATTTAATATCGAAATTCATCAAATTTTTTATTCAACGATGACAATCTTTTTTTCATATAATAAATAAATACACACTTTGTAACAAGTATAATATTAAGAGCTTTTATCAATCACAATATATGATATAAAATTTGGAAAATTGATATATAAAATTCAAGACTTATATCTATACAGATGAATTCTATATGACAAATAAACATATTACGTATTTAAAATATTTTATAAAAAACAAAAATTAGAAAGTAAATGCTGCAGTATAGTCTTCAATGAGCTGCTTAAGGGATGGATTCTTGTAGTGCTTAACAATTTCGAGTGCTGCCATTCCAATTTCGATATCTCTTTCTTCTCCTTTGAGAATTCCAAGGATTATGCCATTACTCTCGAATATATTCGTACAGACATCGTCACGTGCAGATATTGCTCCGATTTGGAGAAGCGCAAGTTGCAATTCCGGATGTTCTTTTGTTAATGGAAGCAAAAACAAAATTGCGTTGCAGCATTCGATAGTATTTTCAAGATCCTTTGAAAGGGTTAACATGGATCGTGTGACCAAAGACAACATTTTTTCATCGTCAAATTGCTTTTTCGGAATAAATGACATGATTTTCGTACGTTGTTCTTTAGGAACATCAGGTATTGCTGCACATGTGCGAAGAACATCGTTAAATAGTATAGGATCGCCTGCAGCTCTGGATAAAATATTTGTTTTAAGTAATTTGAACTGAAATAGCTTAGATTTGCATGCATTCTTAATTGCAGATAACATTTGAACTTTAAGGGTATCATCTGCTTCTGGTTTATCCAGAATTTCGTTGAAAATTTCAAAAATCTTTGATTCAGCTAATCTATCAGCAATTTCTTTGTAGCTAGCTATATTCTTGAGTGCACCAGCTGCAAAAACCTTTGATTCGATTGGCGAATTAAGGATTAATTGTATTAATATTCCGTCAACTTCTTCTTCAAGGAAATATTGATCATTTAAGCTATCATTACTTAATTTGTAGAATATACGGGCAACAGGAAGTAGTAGAGATGAAGAAGCATCAAGTGCCAAACACAAAATAATTTTGCAAATTATTGTTCGAAGAAGGAAATCATCGATATCTATTAATGCAAACAATCTGTTTTCTAGTGTTGATATGATTGGATATTGTATATATTCTTTAACATCATCAGGTTTCCAAGAAATTGTAACACAAAGAATTCTGTCCAAAATTGGAGATATTGTATATGGATCTGCTGTATCTAAATCAAGTTCTTTTGATGTGAAATCTGGAATTCGAAGTACTAAATCTTCAATTAATAAAATATCTGATGGTTTTTGTTCTGGAATTGCTTCTTGTTCGGTGTTTTCTGGCTCTTTTTCTGCTTTTGGTAATAACATTTTCTTTTGACGTGGTGAATGTGAAAATAATGAACGATTTACTTCGAAATCTGTTGTATAACGTGTTGGAGCTCCTAATTTTGATGGCGGTTTGATTCCACGAGGTGTATCTGATATAGATGCAGGTGATATAGGCCTCAAAGATGGAAGGGCAGGCTTCATTGACATTCTAACGTTCATTTTTTATAAAATCTGTCACTTTTTTATCAATAGAAAAATGTTTTATAAGGATTTTCCAAGCGATCAACTTGAAGCAAATGAAGAAAACGCAGTACACAAAGAATTAGAAGAAGAAAATACATCTCCTATGACAATTTCAGAAGATTTAACAATACAAGTTATGACAGCCATTGAAAATTTAGAGGATTTCTTACCAATTCTCCGAGAAGCATATCCACTTGTATTTCCCATACTTAATGTACCAATAATACACGAATTTGGAGCATATTTAAGGCAAAGAGGACCAAATTGTTTTGAAATTCTCAAATATATTATTGAAAGTAACGACACAAATCGTTCGATGATGCTATCAGTAGGAATTATCGATGAAGAGATTACAGGCGATCTTCCTGATTCTTTTGAATTAATTTACAATTTACTGAGCATTAATGGATCTGAGATGCATAAAAATCACTTCATAAACGCAAACGGTATCTTCCACATAGGAAGACTTGCAATGAATCCAGAAACTCAAATGCAAGCTGTATTACTATTCGGATTACTATATGGAGATATTTTTATCGACTATAGTTTTGATTACTACGATTTCTCACGGTTTTGTATAACTGCAGAAAAACATGAAGAAGTAAATCCTCAAAATCCTGATAATCCTACTGAAGTAGTTACTGTATTATCAAATGACAATGACCAGATAAACGATTGGCATTTCAATATGGTTGATATCATGAAATTGTTATTAGAATCTCCAAATCGTGACGTATTTATTTGCACGGTCAACGGAATCAATACTATATTCAAGTATTCACCACGTGCTATAACAACTCTAGGTTTCCACTTTTTCGTTTTCACTGGAGCAGCAGATTTAGATGCAGAGCTCTGTACTTATTGTTATGAAGCATTGGCAAATGCATTTAGAATGGACCTTTGTCAATGCATTCCTCCTGACCAATATAATGGATTTCGTAATAAAATTAGCGAAATCATAAATTCTCCAGATTCTGTTGAAAAAATTGCAACAAGCTGCATCCATATTTGCAATGCTATTATAGATTCTGCAGATGTCTATCATATGGAAAGTATTTTAGACGTTTTTGCAGGAACTGAAATTATTCAAGGGTTAAAGAACAGAGTTATTGATGGAAGGTTTAAAGACATAGTTCCTGCAACATTATGTCTATGCAAACTAGTTGAAAAATCATACAAATTCCAAGATTTATTGAAATTAAGAGAATTAGAAATCATTGATGTATTTTGCACAGCTCTTGATGGAATCGGAGGCTTTGAAAGCAGAGATGCAGCGGAAATACTCAGAGCCCTTATAAAACTATTACAAGAGCAAATTGATAGAGATAGAAATAATTTTTCGCAAGAAGAAATCACTGAACTTATAGATTTAGATCCAACAATACAAGAAATTCTTGGTTCGCAGAACGAAATTTTGAAAAATCAAGCTACACGTCTTTCTCAAATATTTGAAACATTGTTTGTTAATGAATAGAGTAAAAATCTATAAAATTTTTAATGTTATAATTAACTTTGTGAAATTGATGTTAATAAATTGAAAATTTAGAATTTTAAAAGAAAAATTGAATCTCGTTAAATATTTCATAGATATTCTTATTATGATTAATGTGACTCTCAATGGTGCATCGGAAATAACAAAAAATGGAAATTATGATAACAATATTTTTATTTTTAGATGATTTTTAAACATGTATTTATAGAAAATTCTAAAATCAATAGAATAGAGATATTAATCAAACAAATTTAACAGAAAATAAAATTTTGTGATTATTCTGCCTTCTTATATGTCAATTCATTGTTTTTGAATGTTGCATGGCACTTATCCAAGATCTTTCTGAAGACTTCTCCAGAAATATAAGCGATTCTTACCTGGGAAGTTGTAATAATTGTAGCAGCGCGAGCACAGTTGTAAATGAGAGCTCTTTCGCCGAAGTATTTGCCTGGTCCAAGTTCATTGACCTTCTTTCCATCGATAATAACGTCAACAGTACCTGCAAGAATGACATAGAATTTATTTCCAATTTCTCCTTGCTTAATGATGGTAGTTGCTGGCTGATACTCTTCGAGAACGGCTGCTTCTGCAACGAGAATAGCCTGGTAGTCCGGTAACTGGTTGAAAATTGGAACTTCCGAGATAATTTCTTTGCATTTTTGACGACGTTGATAATGGATGTCCTTAAGAAGATATAAATATGTTGTCTGATCGATTGCCCAGCAGTAGACTGTTCCTGCTGCGATAACAGTTGCGGCTCTTGTACGGCCACTCATCAAAGCGAGTTCACCGAAATAAGAGCCTTCGGAGAGAGTAATGACCTTAACTTCAGGAGCATCACCTGTCTTCTTCCAGATATCTACGTTACCGCTCTGAATAATGTAGAAATTATCTGGTTTATCGCCTTGTTTGATGATAACGTCTTTGTCTTTGAATTCCATCTTGAAGAATGCGTTAATGAGTGCATCAAGTTGATCGCTCTTGAGATATGATAAGAATGAAACTTTCTTGCAAATTGTTTCGATTTGGGTATATTCTTCTGGAGTTTTTGGATGTTTTGGTATTTCCATTGTTGTAGCTGAAATTGATTTTGACGAAAACGCTTTGCGCCTTTCATCACGGTTTTTGAGGATAGCTGCTGGAGAAACGGCTGAAATTCTACGTGTTGGAACTGCATTTTGGACTTTTTGAGAGTTGATGCTTGAGTATGCTTGTCCAGATCCATTATTCATCTTAGATGGGAATGGTATTGGTGCTTGTTGCCACATCTCGCTGATATACTTGCGAACATCAGTGGGACGATTTTGCAAAAGGGATACAACAATCTCCTGAAGAATTCCTTCGACGTTGTGCTGTTTTAAGTACTCCTCGCCAGATAATTCGTTTGGACTTTGAGTCATCAATTTGTCAAATAAATTTACAAAAAAATAAAATTCAATTCAATCGCGATACACAAAGATTGGGGCTTTATTTTTCATTTTTTGACAATGAAATACTGTGCATATAATGATAATCAAGGTGTGAACGATTAACACAGAAAACGATAAATATTTATTAATCGTTCCGGAGATCGTTTAATTTCAATACGTGAACATCCCAAATAACGGAAAGATTAATAAACCCCCGACTATATAAAGGTGAATATAAGCATGTCGGTCATGCTCATTTATTATTAAAGCATATGAAGTTCATAGAAAAAAAAAAAAAAAAAAAAAAAAAAAGGTAGTGGGGCTTCCAGGCACTTCGTGCCTTCTAGCCCTGAGGATGAATGAGTATAATGAAGTTCTTATATACGGGTCTTCCAGGAGCTTTTCACAAAATATATATGTTTTTCATGTTTTGTCAAGATTTCATCGTAAAGACTTTGTCAAGATTTCATCGTAAAGACTTTGTCAAGATTTCATCGTAAAGACTTTGTCAAAACTTCATCGTAAAGACTTTGTCAAAACTTCATCGTAAAATCAGACAAAAATAATGTTTAGGGTAGAAGGTTAGATATAACCTCTTTTCTAACCTCTTTTCTACCCTCTTGAATTTGTCAAGATTTCTTCGTAAATGTTTTGTCAAGACTTCTTCGTAAATGTTTTGTCAAGACTTCTTCGTAAATGTTTTGTCAAGATTTCATCGTAAAATCAGACAAAAATAATGTTTAGGGTAGAAGGTTAGATATAACCTCTTTTCTAACCTCTTTTCTACCCTCTTGAATTTTCATGAAATTTACACCAAAAATATACTACTAGGGTCATTTACGAAGAAATCTCAACAAAGTCTTTACGATGAAATCTCAACAAAACATAGACAAGAAAGTTCATGAGAAATTAGATGAAGAAGTCTTAACAAAGTCTTTACGAAGAAATTCATGAAAATTCAAGAGGGTAGAAAAGAGGTTAGAAAAGAGGTTATATCTAACCTTCTACCCTAAAATATATTTTTGGGTCATTTACGCTCATTTACGAAGAAATCTCAACAAAGTCTTTACGAAGAAGTCACAATAAAACATCTGTCAAAAACCGCTTTTTAACTTCACTTAAAATGCCACGTAAGCTACGTAAGAATATACGTAAGAGGAAGAGAGCATTGAAACATCCAATAGTAAAACTGACACCACAACAACAGTTGCAACAACAAATGCTGAATGACCCCACTATGTTGCAACAAATGTCAAGCAATCCTATGCTTTTAAACCGAGTCATTGGTGCACAGAGTGGAGGTTTAAGAGCGGGACTTTTAGCGAAAATGGCAGGCTATGGTGGAGCTGCAGACGGAACAGCCTATAACCCTCAAAGTCAAATGAATTTGAGTTCACTCAAAAATCAAATAACAGATGTCAAAAAGTCAAACATAGACATACAGAAACAAATAAGTGAAAACGAAAAGAAACTAGAATATGACAGACACACAAAGAAACTCAATGAGTTAAACGTAGAGAAAAAGAAGAAAGAAGAACAACTGAAAGAACTAAGTACAGAGGAATATGCGAAAAAAGTGTCAGAAAAAGCAGCAGAAGTAGCAAAAATGGAACAAGATGTCATAAATTTGAAAAACCATACTACTCAATATAAAATACTGAAAGATGAAGAGATAAAACAAAAAGCCTGAAGACATATATGGATAGCGATGAGTATAAAAAAGAAGTTGAAGCAAATGTAAAGGCAGAAAAACTTTTACAGTTGCAAAACCAAACCGTACAGTATGAAAACTTAGCACAAGAAAGTAAAAATAACGACGCGGCTATGCAAAAGGCAATGAAAAGCGCAGAATATATAAAAGCTAACAATGACTGGTTAGATGCCCAAGCCAACGCTAAAGCAGCCCAGCTTATAGGGTCAATAAGGACAAAAATACAAGCGGATGAAGACAGTTCAAATGAAGCTTTAACAAATGCTGACTTTAAGAACGCCTTCGAAGCTCTTCATAGTAAGGTGAAACAAGTGAACGACTTCTCATCTGGAAAGAAACTGAAGTCTGAAGGTTTCGACAAAGAGTTAAGAGAAGTAGCACAAAATATGACGAAAATAACAGATGCAGCAACGAGACAGGCAGTTCAAAGTGCCTATGACGCCGTTAGAGCAACTGTTGTGGAAAGTCAAGAAAAAGAGTTACAACAGACCAAAACAGACCTAGTAAATGCTTTCTTAAAACGAAAAGTCAGGTAGGACATTATGCTGCAGATGGAACATATGTGCCAGCTGGTGGAACTTATATACCACCAAACCCTCCAAGAGAAGCACCTGCACCAGGACTACCTAAAACATTTACATCGTCACATGGACACAGACACAGGCATGCACCAAAACCAGCACAACAACCACCTCCACAACCAGCACAACAACCAGCACAACAACCAACACAACAACCAACAGTTCAAAACCCTGCACAGCAACAACCACAAACAGAGCAAGGACATAAAAGAAGTAGAGAACAAGGAAACCAAGAATTCTTAAAAATGCTTAAAGAAGAGTGTGGTTTCCCAGATAGTATTGACTTTAGTGACAGATATAAAGAAGCTATTGGAAAGTTCAAGGATGGAAATACTGACCCGAACCTATTTAGCTTTATGGCTCAGCACCAAAACGGATATAATCTCAAACCTGGAAAATACAAGCTCGCTAAGGGATATGATTTAATAGCATATCATCCAAATGACATGGATGAATTTACTCCGAGATATTTGATGTCAGAGCTAAATGACAATTCAACTTTCGTCATGAAACGCGTAAAAAATAGAGACGGAACGAAAGAAGAAAGGGTTATGAATGCGGATGACTTAAATAGGGAACTTGTTGAAAACGGTCTCGGAATATATGAAATGCCAGCAGATGAGGTACAAGAAACTCCACAGGAAGAAGTTCAGATACAACCAGACATGGAAGAAATAGTTCAGCAACAACAGCTAGAAGAGCCTGAAGGAAACGAACAAGTCCTTCCTTTGGAAACTAACTTCACAGAACTAGATGAAGATTTGGAACAGCGAAAAATCTTGACCCTCAACAAGAGTATGCGGAGAATATGGAATATTTCCAAGAGTCTAAAAAAAATTCGGCTGACATAGTAGAAGAATATCGAAAAATGTTTGCCGACATACAAAGACTCCAACACCAGATGAAAATATTCAGCATAGAATGGAAGAACTGAAAAAAAATGTACACAAATCAACAACACCTTTTTACTTACGAGCATTTAACGTTCAATCTTCGGATGAACTCGGTGAAAATAAAAGGTTAAATTTCAAGAAAACATATAGAAATGAAACATTGTTTAAAGTTCATTCAGAACCTAACCAAGATGGAACAAACCTACTTTTGTTTCTGCAGACGATGGAACTACAATGAGATGGGGTCATAAAGCTAACCCGGATAGGTGGTTCATAAACTTACAACCACAATTCCAAGAAGTTGTAGACGCAATGGAAGTCAATGGTGAACCAGATATAGCTGGTATTTTAAGCGCGGCTTTAATGCCATTGAAAGATATGAAACATGCAGATATTTTGGACCAGTATGAAATGAACATGGCTGATGGAAATATAACACCTGACGTTCTAGAACATTTATCAAAGAACTACACAGAACCATAGAGATGGTATATTTGGTGAAGAGTTTAGAAAGAAAGTTATGGACAGAGAAGGAAGAGAACCTATTGTACATGACCTTGCAAATGAAAGTTTGCAAAATGTCATAAAAACTTACTTTGCAGACAATGAAATGAGAAGGGATGAATATTTAAGAAAACTCAAATGGACAGTACCAAATGAAATGTTAGTATTGAAAAACATGTTCCTTGACAAAATAAACCAACTACAGAAATAAACGACGCAAGACTGAAAGATTGGGTAAAAGCTTTCCCATTCACAAAAGATATAGTTGGTAACATGGAAAGAAAAACCAGAATGGCTACAAAAACATATATTTGGAAACGAGCTTATTCCATATGGACAAGCTCTGTTTGAAGAGCTTGAACCAGAAACTCAGGAAAGAGTCATGCAAACAATACGCGAAGACTCAAATACAAACTATGACAAACTCTTTCTAGGATATAGGTTACCTGAGATGGGCGACCAGAGTCCAAAGGCAAAAAGGGCATGGAAAATTTGCAACATACTAGATGAACATAATGCAAAGATGCAACAACTTGAAGCAGAGGGCAATGAAGGAAAAAGAAGAGTTAAAAACTCAGTCAGGAAGAAAGTAAAGCTTGGTCCACGTGGGTTCTATTATGACAATATAAATCCAACTATTCTATATTTTTTACTCATATGAAATGTACGCGCTCAGAATATAACGCCAACAGTTTTGGATGCTATGAATGGAATGTTTCGAATGGTATAACGAATGCGACAATGCCATTAGAAGGTCAGAAATAGTTCCTGGAACTTACGAATATACAACTGCTGTTTTCTTATGGAAACGTAGGTGAGTTTGGAGAAGGTTCTTCAACAACAGTAGATATTGCTTGCGACAGGTTTCATATAATTTCTATTGACAACTCTTTCTTATACGTGGAACAAGACATTGAAATAAAACCTTCTGCCAAGTTGTCTGACAAGAAAGGTTGCAATGGAATTTCTATGTCGGATACCAATATGCTCCAGAAGTTTTCATGGGATATAAGATATATTCTAACTCTGACTTAGTTCAAACAGTAACATGGGCAAAACTATGAATGGTTCGCTTGAGAAACTCAGTACAACCACAAGCTAGAGAACAAACAGACCAGTATGCAACTATTGAGAAAATAAGAAGACTTGACCCTAACGTTCCAGGAGTTTATGTTAACCTTTCTGGTTCAGAGATGGAAATGCAGTAACCAAAGTAAATTGAAACTTAGAGTTCCTTTGTTCATCTTTCCTCATCTTCAGGTTTTTAAGATACTTGCCAAACTGGGCAGGAAAAATTTCTATCGAACTACTCCAAGCAAAAATAACTTAGTCATTGCACAACACAAGACCCATTCACTCTTACAGAAGTAGTGGGAACAAATAAAACGTCATTCGCCGACTTTTGCAAAAACAAAGTTGACTTAGACTTTGGTTTCTCAAACCTCAACACTGAAGTAAACTATTATTTCAATGCTGCTGGAGATGCTTGGGACCCAGTTAAGTTCACATGCGAAAAATTTGAATGCAAGAGAATAGAAAGCAGACTTGCAGTCTATATGTTGGACCCAGATATTTCAAATGCTTTAGCTGCCAAATATATTGCAGTTCCAACTTATGTTCCCTATACACCAAATATCTGTCAAAGACTTTGCAGGTGAAGTTGGAAACCAAAGTGCTGACCCAGGTGCAAGAACAGATATTGCCTTAACAACTGCAATGAAACATGCAGATACTATGTTTGTACTGTTCAGACGAACTATAAATGACTATTCTTGCTTCTACAACCCTGGTATTAAATACCATATAAACATAGATGGCAAATATTATCCAAGAGAAGAATATTCTACAGTTGAGGATATGAGGTCATACAACTTGACATTAGATGCTATGAACTTTAACAACAACTTCACAACAACCATTAACCCTGAAATGCAAAGTTCTATTATGCCATATGTGAAAGTATGGACTCATACAGGAGGTCAAAAAACTCAATATACAAATGGAGACCGTTCAAACTTTTGGCTTGGCATTCCATTTGCTGACTCAGAAGACTTTATGGGTGGTATTTCAACTGTTGGTACTGTACAAATACAATATACTGGTGACAGAGACGGTCCAGATGAATTGAAAGCAAAGAAGTTTACAAAACCAATAGCACTTTTCACGGAAGATGCTCTTTTGAAGATTCGTTCGATGAAACCTGCTGGGGCTCCTCAGATTGGCATAACGACAGCTTCCATCGAGCAGATTTTGGCAGCAGGTCAGTAAGTTGTTCTTGAACTGACTTCTCTCCGTCAAATATTGACAGTACGCCAGTTTTGACATAATATTGTAAGATAAACTTACCTTTAGAAATATCTGTAAGTTTTGTTGTTATATTTTTGTCAACGTCAAGAACTTTCACCATTTCAGTTATACCAACTTTCTTTGCTTTATGAAAATATTTTGGTTCAGCAAAGACTGCTATTCTATAACATTTTCCATTGTTTGTATAAAGAACTATTCTGTCAATGTATTTGTACTGTTTGTGTGTGTAAACTTTGTTTTGCTTCAATTCAAAGAGATACTCAAATACGTCCATCTTTTTATTCTTAGTAAAATGTCATTTCCGAAAAATAGAAGCGTAAGTGTTTCAAAAGGTTTAATGGCGGTGGCAGATGTGAAGTTAAATTCACCAACTCAAACAAACAGTCAAAGTGTTGTTGTCAATGTCAAAGAAAGAGATGTTGAAGTGGGGAAACCATACGAAGACCAAGATGGTATAACAATAGTTCCTGTAAAAGAACCAACATACCCTGAAGTTAGCAGAGACTTAAGTTCTGTTGCAGATATTCGAAACGACTACCAACAACTTAAAGACAAACTTAAAACTCAGGAGAAGATTTGTCAGGCTTTGGGTATTAATGTTAAACTTGGTCGAACACAACCCTGTAAAAGTGAACTCATATGTCATCGACCTCATGAAGTTTTGAAAGAACTATTGAAACTTTTGACAGAGGCAGACGATATAAACATCAAAGAAATAGAACCCGACATTGCTTGCTGTGGTGTTTCATACAATGTCATTGACAAGATATACGTTATGAAAGGAGGTGAAACGTTGAACTTAAAATATAGTTTCCCAGACGTCATAAAAATATTTGACGACCACAACATTTCATTAAAGTTTAGTTGCTAAGTAAATGGCAGAAGACATAATGGTTTATACTATTACGACTAAAAACCCTGGGTCATATAATTCTATAACAACAAACTTACAAAGTCCTCAAGGACGATATTGTAAACTGACCTTAAACACGATGACGACTAAAGCCTGTTTTGCTCTTTTGACACCAGAAGATTTTGTTGTTGTGAATGGTAAAAAATACTTCTTTGAAGATACTTACTCAGATATACCACCAACAGGTTTTGTTGACTTATTTAATACTTTAAGGACGGATGTAAATGTGCTGCAACTAGAGCAGGTTTCATTATGTTTGGATGTCCGACTGAGTTTAGTATAAACGATATGAGCTATAATACAAAACTTATATCTGGTTTTTACTACCAACAGTTTCCTATAACAGGAAAAGGTGTCATACAAGGAATGTCTGTTCCATTGACTTTAAGTACACCTATTTTATATATTGTTTCAAACTTAGGTTCAAAGTGCTATTCGAATGTCGACAGAAACTACTATGACAAAAGATACTCATGCGTATAAACAACACATTCTCTGCTGGTTTGCCTATTGTTCATTCGAATGCAGAGTTTCAGCTTTAGTAAACTCAACACTTTGGCAAACATAAACTTAACCTTAGTTGAACGCAAACTTTTGTTCCTGTAAAAACTTTTATGTCCTATGTATTTTGTCAATGACGGCAGAAAGTTTCGAATTGGAAGATGCAACCGGTGAAAGTATTGTATTACAAGAACAACTTCAACAACAAATAGCTCAAGAACAACAATATGCAACAAATAGCTCAAGAATAAAAAATATTTTTTTTTATTTTTATAAAAATGTACAGAATAGATGTTTCAGATTTTATGACTTCCAAGCCTTCAGAAATATGTGTCCATTTAGAGACTATAACAAAGCAGTCGAGAATTTGAAACGTTTAGTCATTTATGTCGACTCTGCCCCAGAATGTTATGTCATGAAAGAATGGGATGTTGTCTTTAACAAACCAAGAGCAACAATAGTTTCAGAACAAGAATGTAGACAGAAACTTAAGAAAATAAAAGTTATACAGGTTGGCATGAAGATGTTAGATGCTTGGGATATTTTATTGTCGAAGTTAGAAGATTTTTCAGTTCGTGGTATAAAGTTCTATACACCATCTCCAAACTTCTATTCTATCTTCACTGGATATAAATACGAACAAGTAGAATGGAAAGAAAATGTTATAGAAGCTTGGTTAGACCATGTCAAAGAAATTATATGCAATGGAAACGAAAAGGTTTATGAGTATATCTTATGTTGGTTTGCAAACATCTTACAACATCCAAGTGCTAAAAATGAAACTGCTCTCATTATAATTGGAAAACAAGGAACTGGTAAGAATACTTTCTTTACAGATATTTTGTGCAAACTGTTAGAAGGTTATTCGAATCCGAATATGACAAACTTAGAAAACATCTGTGGCAAGTTTAACTCCTCAATAGAGAATATGAAACTTATAGTTTGCAATGAACTTCAAAGTATAGATACAACAAAAGTTTTGAACTCAGATGCTTTGAAGAGTCTTATAACAGACAAAGTTGGAGTTGTTGAAAGAAAGTATAAAGACCAAAGAGTTTGTGAAAATGTTGCAAACTTCATTATGGTTTCAAACAACGCCGTTCCGATGAAGTTAGAAAGTTCTGACAGAAGATATGTAGTTGTCAGAACGTCAGATTCTCATATGCAAGATACAGAATATTTTGACGACTTAGCAGAAACTTTGACATCTGACTTTTACAACCACTTGTTCTCATATTTCATGACATTAGATATTTCAAAGTTCAATCCAAGACAAATTCCATATACCGAAGAGAGACAAACATTGTTAGAAGCAAACAAGAGTGTATATGAACTGTTTATAGATGAAAACGACTTTGAGTGTTTAGATGAAAGGTCTTTATATGATGAATATAAACAATATTGTCAAGAGTATGGTTATATGGCAGCTTCTAAACGAACATTCTTGGCAAATGTCAAAAGTCTTTTAGACGTTCAGAACGGCGTATATACAAAGAAAAATTTTTCTGAGTAAATTTTAAAAAAATATTTTTTTATCCGATAGAAAAGATGACGAAATTCATCTCAGTAAATAAGTACATGACAGAAGTCAAAGAAGAACTAGACCCATTCGCTTATTTGAATGTTTACTTCTACCATTTTGAAAAGTCTTCATTTGACAAAGTTTGGAACATCGAACCAGTTAAGTTTGCTATTGTGACTAAAAATGGTGCGAAATTTGAAGACTTAGACATAGAAGGTTTGTTAGCAGTCAAAGAAAATTTTGACAGAAGGTTCTCAAACCTTAAAGAAGGCAAAGCATACAAACTTGTTATACCTTATGAACCAAAGAAAGCAGACGACTATGAATATTATGAGTCTAAGATAGTTGAAGTTCAGGGTAGATTAGGTAAAAAGATTTTAGAGTCTAAGCCAGTGTTTGCTCCTAAAGAGGAAGAGAACATTGACATTGACCCAGAAATGTTCTAAAAATAAAATTTTATTTTTACATGTCAAATTTCTTTTTCTCTGGAACTGGTTCAGGTTCTTTCTTCTCTTCTTCTACTTTCTTTTCTTTCCTTTCTCTCTTCTTCTTCTTTTCTGGTGGAGTTATGTCAAATTTCTCAGAACCATATTTATGTAAAAGTTCTTTGTCCTTTAATAGCTCTTCTATTCTGTTTTCTATTTCATCTTCAAGAACAGCGCATGTGTCTTCTTTGCATTCTAAGAACTTTTGTTGGACTTCATCTTTCCAATCGGCGTCATCTCTGTCAACAAGTCTGTCATTGACAAATTTTAAGACTGCTCTTTGTAATGTTTTATGGTTCTTGTCATATTCCCAGAAACAGAACTTTAGAACAAATTCACCTTTCTTGTTTACACTATGTAAGATTTTATGGTCGACAGATGTTTTGCTGTCAAAAAGCTTGTCTCGAATATAGATAGCGAAATCGCTAGACATTTTCTAAAAGATAAAATTTTTAATTTTTCTAAAAATATGTTAGAAAAAAAGTTTGCTGACATTGACAAGAAATTTGAGAATGTTTTAAACAAGAACAAGAGGAAGTTAGAAAATGCTCAGATAAAACCCATACATGACAAGTTCCTATTTGCTCAGAATGGTATAACAGGTCTAATCGCACCACCTGGGTCGGGTAAGACTTTCACTTATCTTAAAATGGCTGCACAACAACAAGAACTAGATGAGAAGAACCCATTCTATGAGTTAGTTGTTATTTGTAGTACTTCTGGTCAATTCGATCAAACCGTCAATTCGTTCAAAGATATTATAAAGAAGTCTAAGTTAGTATGTATAAAAGACTCTGAGTTGTTGGATTGGATAAAGAAGTACCAAAGAAGAGTTTTGAAGTACAATGCTATAAATGAGTATGTCAATTCTAAGTTTAAAGACCCAAATGAGGAAATGCAGAGAATATTAGAGAAGAAACACTTCAGAAACAAACAGAAAGAGATAGAATACATTTCGAAGAAATTGCAATCTTACGATTGGAAGACTTACCCTCATAGATGTCTTCTTATCTTAGATGACTTTGCTTCTCATCCTTTGTTAAAGAACAGAGAACAAGACATGTGTCGAATTCTTAAGAAGCTCAGACACTTTAACATCTCAGTTGTCATTTGTGTACAGACAGCAAAGAGTTTAAGTAAGGATGTAAAGAGAATACTTACTGATATCATACTTTTCCCTGGATTGTCCGAAGACGATTTCATGGAACTTATGAAAGAGTCCATGGCAGGTAAGTTTGACAGACATGAACTATGGGAGAAGTACAAAGTCATACAAGACCCTCATACTTCTTTCAGAATTCACATCTACGCGAACAAAGTTCAAATTGTAAAAAGTCAAGCTTGAAAAATCTAAGTGTTTAGTCTTAGTAAGTCTGTTGTGGTGCTGGGGCTGTCGGTTCTTCTGGCTTTGGAATGGACTCGGTTGGTGGTACGTCAGTCATCTGTTTGTGTCCTGTCGGAAGGAAGAACTTTTTCTGTCGGAAGGAAGGACTCGGAATGTCGGAAGGAAATTTTTTTCCAGTTGTCGGGAAATTTTTTTCCTGTCTGAAGGAAAAATTTTTTCTGTCGTTCGACCAAAAAGTTCTCAATTTTCGAAAATTTGAATGGTTTACGGACGAACAACAGGAAAATTTTTTCCAGTTGTCAGGAAATTTTTTTCCAGTTGTCGGGAAATTTTTTTCCAGTTGTCGGGAAATTTTTTTCCAGTTGTCGGGAAGAACTTGGAATGTCGGAAGGAAGAACTTGGAATGCCAGAAGGATTTGACAAGACAATCTACCTTATAGAGCTACCTGAGCCATCTTTGGTGTCAAGCTTGAAAAATAAAGAGTGCATTTACTCTACTTGTTTGAAGTTGTCAAAATACTCTGTTATTTTTTCCTTTAACAATGGCAAATCTTCTTTGAATGTAAGTATTGTACAACCTTTAATATCATAGTGTGTTTGAGGTAACGTATCTTGAACTATTTGTTTCACATCTTCATTCGGTGTCATTGAAATCGGTAAGTTTTCGCGATAGAACCAATTTCTGTCAGATTTGTAAATCTTAGCAAGGTCGTAAAAGCTTTTGTTGTTTCTTCTGACTAAATGCAACATAACCATATCTCTGTCTTCTTCATTTTCCATCTCTTCAGTGTAAATCATATACTTATAGTTCTTTTCCTTTCCTTTTGGTACCGAACGTGGTATTCTTTTCTGTATGTTTTTGTCTTTTGCTTCAAGCTTGTTCTCTAGCTCTTCACGTTCTTGTCTATGAATTTCATCTAACATCATGAAAATATAACAAGCGTAACGAGGTGAAGCCCACATTGCAACAGCATTTACGAGAAGTCTATGTACATAATATCCTTTCAAACTATTTGGCAAATTTTTACGATTTTCGTACGGAATCTCGTTCCGCGGTTTTCTACCACTCGCAAACATATGAGGAAATTCTTCTAAAAGTTCTTTTGTCTGTTGGTTTTCAAACCAATGACGTGCTTGCTTTGTAGAACGAAGAGTATTCAAAATACTTTGCATTTGGTACATATCGTCTTTGACCGAACGAATGAGACGTAACTGTTTGTTATATTGTATGTACTCGTATTCTTCATTTATGGCTTCATGGACTATAACTGTTGTTGTGTTCTCTGTTGTTGACATATCTGTTCTTACATACAAAATAAAAAAATTTGTTAGAAAAAAATTAGCGTTATTTTCTTACTTTCACAAAAGACCAAAAATAAACGCTTTACATGTATTTTTCAGCAACTTCGTCAAGAAGTCTGTAAATATACCAAGCATAACGAGGTGAAGCCCACATTGCTATTGAACTAACTAGGAACTTATGAACATATATACCTTTTAGATGCGATGGTAAGTTTTGTCTGTCTTGGTACATCTTTTTAAGTTCTACATGTTCGAACTCACTGAGGAGTTCATGAGTGCTATTTAATTCAAACCAATCTTGTGGTTTCTTAGTATCTGGTGTAGCACATGCTGTCAAAATACTTTGCATTTGGTACATGTCATCTTTGACCGAACGAATGAGACGGAGTTGTTTGTTAAACTGAACCCACTCATATTCTTCATTTATAGCTTCATGGACTATAACTGTTGTTGTGTTCTCTGTTGTTGACATATCTGTCTTTACATACAAAATAAAAAAATAAATAAAAATAAAACTAACTTTATTTTTTCTATCTTAAGGAAATTCATGATTTCTTCGTAAATGTTTTGTCAAGACTTCTTCGTACATGTTTTGTCACCTCTTGAATTTTCATGATTTCTTCGTAAATGTTTTGTCAAGACTTCTTCGTAAATGTTTTGTCAAGACTTCTTCGTACATGTTTTGTCAAAACTTCTTCATATATGTTTTGTCAAAACTTCTTCATATATGTTTTGTCAAGACTTCTTCTTCGTAATGAGCGTAAATGACCAAAAAATATATTTTAGGGTAGAAGGTTAGATCTAACCTGTCTTCTACCCTCTTTTCTACCCTCTTGAATTTTCATGATTTCTTCGTAAATGTTTTGTCAAAACTTCTTCATATATGTTTTGTCAAGACTTCTTCGTAAATGTTTTGTCAAAACTTCTTCATATATGTTTTGTCAAGACTTCTTCGTAAATGTTTTGTCAAAACTTCTTCATATATGTTTTGTCAAAACTTCTTCATATATGTTTTGTCAAGACTTCTTCTTCGTAATGAGCGTAAATGACCAAAAAATATATTTTAGGGTAGAAGGTTAGATCTAACCTGTCTTCTACCCTCTTTTCTACCCCAGTTATTTTATAAGCGTTTTACATGGTAAACGTTATTTTTACATGTATTTTTCAGCAACTTCGTCAAATAATTTTATAGCTTTATCTATCTCATCTACTTCAAACGTTTCTTTACCTTTTATGGGAGCACCATACATTTTCTCAAACTTTTCAAGTAGTTCTGTTTCAGCAGCTCTCATATCGTTAACCAACACAACCTTGACTCTATTGACTGTACTGTCATATCTTAGAGTTATATTATATGTTCTTCCTATCTTATATCTTTTTGTGTTGAAGTCCTTCGGTTTCTGAACGATGTAAAGTAAGCCTTCACTGCAACGTTCTGAGTCGAATGAACCATATGTTATGAAGTTATATCCAACAACTGGGTCTAACCATAACAAAACTATTGGTATAAGACTTTTGTCGATGAGATATGCTGTAGTTCCATAGAATCTTACCGATATCATAAGCTCAGGATTTCTTGTCAAAATTTTCTGACTAGAAGCAATTCTAACCCAGTCCTTTGCTTTCTTTCCAGATGGAGATAAAATGTCTGACAAAGAATATTTGTTGTATTTCTTTGAGTATCTTACGTTTAAATCACCTATTCTAACCACTTTGGTGTCATTGTCTATCTTTCCAACTGTTTCAAACTCATTGTTTGTCATTTCTTTCTTTAAGTCAGCATAGTCGTTTCGCATTCTTTCTATCTCTTTGACGGAGTAGTTATATTTCCTCATTGCTGCTTTACATTTTGAACATTGTGGGTTCATTTTAGCATTGTACATTGAAATCTTACCTGCTAGTATGACTAAGGCGTCAATTGCTCTCTTTAACTCAAAAGTTGCGGGTTTTATCTGTTCATTCCATACCTTACCTCTTCTGTCTTTATCTCTTATCTGCCATACACATTTTGCAACTAACGAAACAAAGTTGTCGTAGGTCTTAAATTCTTCAGATTTGTATATGTCAGAAACATTCTTATATACCATGTCGCAATCTTTGTCCATAACCTTATGGTTGCAATGAAAACCAAGGAATTCATAGTTAACCTTTCGTATGAACTTCTTTATTTCTACTGAGTCAGTTGCTTTGACTTCTATTTCGTCGAATTCTGGAATAGTGAGCTTTTGTTGTTGGATTTCAGGAAGTTTAGGTAAATGGTCAATAATGTCCTGCATGTCATAAAGATACTGTTCATTTGTTTCATCTTTCGCACTACAGTCTAAACTACCTGTTAACAATTCCTGCTTTATCTTCTGGATTTTTGTTTCGAAAGTATATGAAGAAGGAATGAAGCTTTTCATCTCTACTAACATTGACGTAGGATTCATGACTAACGAGTTTGGTGCTGTTGTTGCTAACATGTTCTTACAATAAAAATAAAAAAATATTTTTTTAAAAAACTAAAATATATTTTTTATTTCGGGAAAACTCATGACAAATTCAAGAGGGTAGAAAAGAGGGTAGAAAAGAGGGTAGAGCTACCCTTCTACCCTAAAATATATTTTTGGGTCCTTTACACTCATTACGATGAAGAAGTCTTGACAAAACATTTACGTTCATGTTTGACAAAACATTTACGAAGAAGTCTTGACAAAACATTTACGCTCATTACGAAGAAGTTTCGACAAAACATTTACGCTCATTACGAAGAAGTTTCGACAAAACATTTACGTTCATGTTTGACAAAACATTTACGATGAAGTTTCGACAAAACATTTACGATGAAATTCATGAAAATTCATGAAAATTCAAGAGGGTAGAAAAGAGGGTAGAAAAGAGGGTAGAGCTACCCTTCTACCCTAAAATATATTTTTGGGTGTAAAATTCAATAAAAATAAATGGTTCATTTACTCACAATATTTTTGTACAAAACGACCCCAAACTTTTAACTTCTTTTCTGCAGCTTCAAATGCTATCTTAGCGAGTTCATATTCTCTAAATTCTCTCTTTAAATCTTCTTGTTCCCATTGGTCTAGTTCGTATGGCGAGTCTCTATAACCAGAACATATCTCACGTTCATGTTCTATTTGTTTTTCATGCATTTTTCTAACTTCTTCTTCGAACAAAGGTTTTGCATTCTCTACTGTATCTTCAAGTTCTTCTTCATCTAATTTCTCATGAACTTTCTTGTCTATGGAGTCCAGAATTTTTCCAACTGCTATACAATATTTTGGAGAAGCCCACATTGCTATATAGTTTACGAGTCTTGGTCTACATACATTCCTCTAACCTGTTTGATTTCATCCGGAATTCCTGCATGAATTTTGTATAAAAAGCAACCCGCTGTTTTCCGCGGGTTGGTATATTCTTCACAAAATGCCTCAAAATACTCTTCCCAGGACTTATTTTCCAACAACCTTCTAAAGTCTTTCCTAAACTGCTGACACATCTTTGTTGCATTTATATAACCATCCTTGTCTCTACGTAAGACTTCAATACCGTTATAGGTGCCTTTTGTGAATGTTTCGCCATTAGATTTGTTCGTGAACGTTTTTGCTTCGACTGTCATACTGTTCTTACAATAAAAATAAAAAAATATTTTTTGGTGGGATGTCGGACATTGTCTTGAAACAGTACAAATATTGTTCTGAAAAAGTACAAATATTGTTCTGAAGCAGTGCAAGTATTGTTCTGAAAAAGTACAAGTATTGTTCTGAAGCAGTACAAGTATTGTTCTGAAAAAGTACAAGTATTGTTCTGAAACAGTACAAGTATTGTTCTGAAAAAGTACAAGTATTGTTCTGAAAAAGTACAAGTCTTGTTCTGAAACAGAAAATTTTTCTCACAAATTGAGAGCTTTTACGGGAAATTTGTTCTGAAAAAGTACAAGTATTGTTCTGAAAAAGTACAAGTATTGTTCTGAAAAAGTACAAGTATTGTTCTGAAACAGTACAAGTATTGTTCTGAAAAAGTACAAGTATTGTTCTGAAACAGTACAAGTCTTGTTCTGAAAAAGTACAAGTATTGTTCTGAAGCAGTACAAGTATTGTTCTGAAAAAGTACAAGTATTGTTCTGAAGCAGTGCAAATATTGTCTTGAAACAGTACAAGTATTGTTCTGAAACAGTACAAATATTGTTCTGAAACAGTACAAATATTGTTCTGAAACAGAAAATTTTTCTCACAAATTGAGAGCTTTTCCGGGAAATTTGTTCTGAAACAGTACAAATATTGTTCTGAAGCAGTGCAAATATTGTTCTGAAACAGTACAAATATTGTTCTGAAACAGTACAAATATTGTTCTGAAACAGTACAAGTCTTGTTCTGAAACAGTACAAGTCTTGTTCTGAAACAGTACAAACAAGTAACCTTACAAATGTAAACTTATATCGTTCTATTTTCTTCACTAGGGTCTAACACCAAAGTAACCTTACAAATGTAAACTTATATCGTTCTATTTTCTTCACTAGGGTCTAACACCAAAGTAACCTATGTACATGAAATTTCACTGCATAAAAAAAAAACCTGCGCGAATCGGGATTTGAACCGAGGTCTTCGACGCCTGTAACGAGGTAGCCCATACCACTGAGCTATGAGCCGCTTGCATATTTTTAAGTAAAATATAGTATATTTGTCATACAGTGAAGGATGACCAAACTTAAAAAAAATAAAGTTAGTTTTATTTTTTTCTATCTTAAGGAAATTCATGAAAATTCAACGGTTGAATTTTGTATAAAAACCAACCCGCTGTTTTCCGGCGATTGGTATATTCTTCACAAAATGCTTGTTTTGAGGTCGAGCCACTTTTGGCTCCACCTCTTTTTTCAACCAAAACTCATTTTTCAGTACTTTTTCAGCACTTCTCCGTAGTTATATATGAAAGACAATTCGAGATAAAAGTCGTAGTACAATGGAACAATATGTTGCACACCATTTGTTGTGAACCAAACTTGAAAGTCAGAGAAACTGTTACTAGGTGGTTCGTAGAATTTAGAAGCAAAGTCATAAAAGTCCTTACCAATACAAAGAAAACTATTGTTGCTTGAACTGAAACTTGCATGACACATAACATTTTGAGGGTCAAACACGTTTCTATAAACTGTCAAATCTGTTGGTGGCGTATAAACCAGAACGGACCGTCAGGTGGTAATGGTTCGTTCTGGTTTAGTAACCGAAGAAATTGTGCCCAAGAACGTTTGTCTACTTGCCAAAATAAAAACTGTGTATCTCTTGGAGGGTTAATTTCAATCCTTTGAAATGAAACTGTGGAGTTCATCTTGTCATATTCTAGTTTCAGATAGTATGTTCCATTTAGTAAAGAATCGTATTTTTCTTGAAATTCCCAGTAGTATTTGTTTATTTGAGTTTGAAAGTCATTTAGAGTCTTCTCAAGACTTTCGTCTGAACGAACCGTAAAGATTCTCATTTCGTCAAATTTGTCTAGTAGACCGTCAGAACCTCTATATTGCCCATGAAAATATACCGCAAACATAAACGCGTTAGTTCTTTTTGAAAACAAAACTCTTCTAAATCCTATTGCCTTTGCTTCTGAAGGACTTTGAAGCCAACGAATTGGAAAGTCAAAGCGGTAGGAGCCGGATGAAATTTCTTCATCTGATATAGTCCTACCAGCGTTTGTAAAGATATAGTCTAACGGTTTTGTATCTGCTACTTTTGTTCTTTGTTTTTCAACCTGAAACATTTAATATATGTAAAAATATACTGTTTTAAAAAATGTTTTAAAATGGTATGCCATATAGCTTCTTGAATTTGTTAAGAAGTATTCGAACGCGTTTTCCATCTGTATCTCTAGCGTTTACATGAGCATAGCCCGCCTTAGTAAAATATACTTGTAATTTCCTATAGTTTACGCCGGTATAAAAGTAGAAAGAGTCTTGTTCTTCGCTATAGTAGTAAAACTCAAACGTATGCTTACCATAGTCTCTAATTTCAATTGCTTCATCTTCTAGTTCGTCGACAAATTCGAATACAATATCTCCAAATTTGCTTATGTTCTTATTGTTTTCAGAACGAGTGACCCAACGCAAGTTTTTAAGTCTATTGTCGTTTCTTATATGGTTTATATGGTCTACAAAAGGTAGATTGTTAGGATTCGGTATAAAATGAGTTGCAATGACGACATGTTTAAGATAGTGTTTTCCACTCATCCTCATATTAGCATATCCGTCATTTCGCTCCCATTCGCTTAAAACTCTTTTTGTCTCTTTCTTCCTTATTTCAAAAGGCTCAGAACAGTGAATTTCATATTTCTCATCTAACAAACAAGTTTCCCAACGGTCTACTCCAACAAACTCGGCGTACATTTCAAATAAAATAAAAAAATATTTTTTTGAAAAAATATATTTTTTCTTTACTTTACATAACCACCTGCTGCCATAAGTCTTTGACGCCAACCCATACCAGCTAATGAAGGTTGACTTGGTTTAGTCTGGAGACTAAACTTTGGTTTTGGTTTATCTTCAGTTTTTGGCTCACCTTCTTCTATTGGTTTTTCGTCACTTTTTGGTTCCTCTGACTTTACCTCACTTGCAGGTATGGTTGTGTTGTCAACATCTTCGTAAATATCATATGCCATCTGTTTTTGTTTTCCTTTCAACTTTTTGTGTTTGTTGTAAAGTTTAGAATATTTCGACTCTAAGTCAATGAGATGTTCTATAATGAACTGTTGGTCCGTGAAATAAACTTTTCCATCTGTTGTCTCGAAAGCTCCTTCAGACTTCAATATTTTATTTGTGAGAGTCTGTTTCTTTTTTGAGATACTAGCCGTTCCATTTCTATGAAAAGTGACTTTGTAGTTAGGGTTTGTATTTCCAGACCTGGCACTTTCTATTATTGAATTTTTCTCTTCATCTGTAAGTTCTTTGACAGGTTTTGACAATGGTTCTGAACTTTTTGTTTGTGGTGTCAAATCTACCGTTTCAACTTCTTCGGTCATTTCATCTCAGTAAAAAATTTTAGTTTGGTTTGTTTCAACTGGTTTTGTTTAGGTTTTTTAAGTCGGTCTAAAACTTCCTGAGGTATAGGGAGGACTTGACAAACACGTTGTGTAACTGCTGGAAGTCGACAAATCCATCTTGAACCCATTTGTCTCAATGCTGTATTGTTCATTTCATCTCAGTAAAAAACTTTACATTCCCCAAGTTTGAGGCGGTTGAGGTTGGTTATTGTTTACCCACTGTTGTGCATGGTTATATCCTCTGTTAAAGAATCTTTCACCTTGGTCCATATAGTGCCCTGCTTGGTTATAGTAGTCATTTGCTTTGTTATAATAGTTTCCTGCTTCTCTTCCTACATTGTCCATCCATCCTTGAACTTTTCCTCTTGTTTCAGGATTTGGAATAAGATTTGCTGCATCTCGTGCTACATCCCAACCTTTCTGTACAGTTTGTATAATAGGTTGTGCTTTCTCTTTAAGTATACCTAATGTACTCAAAATCTTCCTTCCAACTCCAAATACACCTCTGGCTATTGTTCCCACTGCGGGCAAAAATCTGGATGCAACTCCTGCTAATGCGCCAAATAAACCCATTTCTTATGGGTTAAAAAATGACGAATCCAAACAAGGACCCCTATGTTTCTAAGGCAACAAAGAAAGCACTCATGATAAAAATCTTTAGTTCAACACCAAATGCTTGGTTTATGGATATCTTGGAAAACATTCCGAGGTATAGAGAAGATGGACCTCCATACTGGCTAATATTTGTCGGTCAAAACACAAGATACTGTGAAGCCATACCATTACAGTCCAAAAATATTTTAGATGTGAAAACTGCTTTGACAATCTTCGTTGACAAATACCATCCAACAAAACTGACATCTGACTGTGAAAGTTCTTTCAAATCAGACGATATTAAAAACTATCTGCGTTCAAAAATGTAAACCAATATTTCATTGTCGACCAAAACCATTCTGCTCTTGGTGTCATTGACAGTTGTATAAAAATCTTAAGAGACTTAAACCAACCACAAGGTGGTGAGGTAGATGAAATGTCATATGACGACAAGTATAGACACTTCTCCATGGCAAAGATGAGACAAGTTTTAAATATTTACAATAGCCGTAAACAAAAAGGTTTGGGAAACCACTCCCCCGAAGAAATGAAAAACAACCCTGACTTAGAGAAAGACTATATATTTAATAGTTTAGTCAAAAGAGACAAACAAGAAAGAATGCCAGGCTTCAAACTTAAGAAAGGTGACAAAGTAAAAATAGAAATACCTAAACGCGACCCATATGAAAATACTATTGACTATGACAACAATGGGAACTCGACAGGTACTCGCATTCGTGTTCGTAAAAATAGAAGAAAGTATACAAGAGAATATTATGAAGTTTTAGGCAAACATGGCAAAATGTACACACTGCAAGCAGAAGATAAAACTACTATTGTCAGACCTCGTTTCAAACTTGTCAAAGTTCAAGGTGGTATACTTTCAAAGACAGTTCCTAACAAATATAAGACAACTCCTGACGAATATGCTAAAGAAGTTGAAAATGACGACTAAGCAATTCTATACCATGCGTAAACTGTCATGTAAGGTGGCATGTATTCTTTACTTTGTCCCGTTGTTTGCGTATATCCTGAAACGCGATGTGTATGGTTTCCATCTCCCTGAGTGTCACTCCAGTAACAATTTATAGCAAACTGAACGTCGTCTTTAACATCATATCCTTTACCTTTTTTCAAGGCGTGCCAATCCCAAAATTTATGCTTATGCCAACCTGCTTGAGATGTACTTAAATCTATGTAGTGACTGTGTGCAGGTAAATTTTCACCTGAAATCGTTTTACTTCCACCTGTTTCCTTTGAAGAGTTTGCACAATACAAAAACCTGTCGACTATTTGTTCCCATGCACCAACACCAAACATTACTTGAGGACTTCTTGCTTCCATAGATGTATAAATAGAACCTACTGGGTTCATTAAATCAAACATATGAGATAATATAGGATGTCTCTTTTGAACTTAAAATATAGTGCAACTATTTCAGGTTTCTTCTGGTTTGTGTCAGAATATTTTTTAATATAATCTTATGTTTTCAGGGTAGGTAAAGTCTTGACTATAATATTTATTTCTGTCATCTTCATAATAGTATACTATTCTCGTTTTTTCTATTGCATTATATCTTTATATCTATAATATTCTAAATATAATGTTTGCTTTTTTGGGTCTACACGTGCGTCAACACCATAGTCATAATAATATGGTGCTGGAGCTGGGTCAGGCAATGTCATATCTGCCATTTCATAAACTCTTAAATATTTCTTTTGTTCGTCTCCATATAAGTTTAAGTAGCAGTTGTTGTCTAATGGAACTTTAACTTGTGTACCATCGTTCTTTTTATAGCTTACATACATTTCATTGTTATTTTTCGGAATGAGTTTACACCGTATACCATTTCTTAAAGACTGTACAAACTCCCATCTAAAATATTTGTTTTCTTCATAGATAGAAAAGTCACCAACAATAGTTTCAATATTTTTTGTTCCTAGCAAACTTTGGTATATTTCATTGACATATGTTTTATCTGCTTTCTTTTCAAGGCTAACGTTTAAGTCTGTTATTTCAGAAGATGTATGTGTATGTCCAACGGCACTTTTCCTGTTTAAGGTTTCTTGTAAGTTTGTAATATTTGCAATGGTATGTGTATGTCCAACGTCACTTTTCCTGTTTAAGGTTTCTTGTAAGTTTGTAATATTTGCAATGGTATGTGTATGTCCAACGTCACTTTTTCCTGTTTTAAGGTTCTTGTAAGTTTGTAATATTTGCAATGGTATGTGTATGTCCAACGTCACTTTTCCTGTTTAAGGTTTCTTGTAAGTTTGTAATATCAGATATAGAATGTGTATGAGTCTTTTTAGAATATTCGTTTTCAGCTCTTGTCACTTCACTTGACATTTTATTGTCAACATATGTTTTATCTGCTTTCTTTTCAACATCCTCTTTCGTTGCATAAGCTTTGTTAGCTCTTTCTTCTTCTTTTGCTATTGCATCGTCTACATACTCTTTGTCAGCTTTGTTGTCAACATCTGCTTTCAAAAGAAGTTCATCTATAGGTTTCTCGTTTAAAGTTCTTTTTGTTGGATTTATACAAACAGTATGGTTCTTACTGTCTTGAAATAGAAACTCATCTGTCATTGGGTTTAATGTCAGTTTTAAGTTTCCTTCTTTCAATGACTCAGATATCTTAGAATAGTTTGAAAAGTTTGTTTGTGTTCTTATTTAGAGCTTGCATAATGAGTTGTCGGTTGTGTTGTATTTCTCTCATAGACGCTGTTTCATTTGACATTTTTATTCTAGATAAAATATGCTTTCAATAGAAAAAAGAAAATTCAAGAGTTGCTACAACTAAACCATTAGATGAACTTTTTACGAATGTCGGTCAAAGTTTGAGACAGAGACCGTAAAGCATGAAGGCTATCGTTTTGACTACCCGTTAAGATGGTTAAGAGACCCATCTGTCACAAAAGCTATTGGCTTTCGTAGAATGAAGTTCATTTCAGAAGCCATACATGGTTTCCCATTTACAGTCGGTTTTGAAGTTCGATACTATAACAAAGAAAAACGTACGTATGAGAAATTTAACAGGGAAAACTTTTACAAGTTAGTTTGCTTGTAAACTTAGAAACAACTCTTCAAGCTTTTCAAGAAAAAATAAACGATATCTATCTCGAATATGCAAACCAGTATAAAACATTGACGAAGGAGAGTACCATCTCGATATTATATATGACAGGAAAAATGCAACTGTTAAAATCAATAAAATAGAAGACTTGGAGAAAAAACGTTTATATTTCTACAAAATATAACAACTTGGCATGGCATAGATTTTTGAGGATGTTAAATCAGCCTGCATGGTATCCAGTACAACCCGGACTATTATGAAGTCGAAAACCCTAAATGGAACATATGAAAATGTTTTCGACCCAGATGCTATTATAGTTCATGCTTCATTTTTGGTGCACAAAACTCTTTTTATTTATGCTTGGCAATGACTTTTACGAAAAACCTACAAAGTTATATGAACCGCCGAGTGGAAGTATTTCAGACTTTCAAGTATGGTTTACAACAGATGGAAGAAAGAGAATAATTCCATTATACCATGCGTTTTACTTAGAACTTAGTTTCATATACAACTACTATCGAACGGTAAAAATAAATTTTTTAATACGGTTGAGGTGTTGGATTTGGTTGCCAACTAGACTGTGGTGCAGGTTCAGGCCTGTTGTAATAACAGGAGCTTGCTCTTCTGGTTCAGGGCTTTAGGTATAATACCAAACAAACTGACCTACTCTTTTACCAATATTTTTGACTCCGTTCCATACTCCTCTTCCTACGGTTTTTTATTCCATTCCATATACTCTTCCAACATTTCGAAAGAAGTTTCCAATACTACTGAAGAAACCCATTTTACTATATGTAAAAATCTAATGTCCCGCCTAGTCTCTTACGTTTCCTGTTGAGTTCCATTGCATTCTTTAACTGGAGCTCATACATTCTGTTTCTCCTCTGGTAGAAAACATACTCTGGGTCAACTCCTGTGTTCGCGTCATCTGCATAGAGTTGTTTATATCCCACTTCAGGGTTTGTATAAAACTCTTTCCATCTCATATTTGCATACCATGGTGGCAAACCTAACGCAGCGTCATTTGACATGGCAGTTTGCATTTGTACATCTGTTGGCACTTGACCATAGTTTGCCAATTGCAGTTTGTATTCTAACTTCATTTGGAATATTCTCTGGGTTTGGTTGTCCAGGTTTGCTGTGCATTCGCTAAGTTCTGTGCGTCCATTTAATATTAGATAAAAAATCTCTTACGAGTACATATACTGAACATTTGCAGGCATTGGTTCATCTTCATATTCTCTATATCTTTCTGCCACGTCAAATAAGTAAATGACACAATGGAAAAAACCTAAAACAAGTAGTCCTATTTCAAAACCACATTTACTTACTAGTAAAATTTCTTTGTTATGACACTTTCTCCAGTTTATAGGACCTCTCTCATATTCTATCTTATCGTATCTAAACTCATAGTCATGTATGTCCTCTAACCATCTCATGACACTTTCCAAACCACTTTTATCGATGTAAAGTAAAAGCATGGATGGTTATGTAAAACGTCTAAAGTTTCTAAAGAGTCTCTCAAAGTCCAGTCTACTTGGTATTGAAAATCCCATGTGTTATAGAACGGCGGGTCCACTATAAAGAAAACATTTTCCTTGTCTTTAAATTTTTCATACAACTCTGTCCAATGACATCTCACAAACTCTATACCCTCAATATATTTTTCTATGTCCTCTTTGAAAACATTTGTATAGTTAAGATATAAAACTTTTGACATAAGTGTTTCAATGTCATGAACTCTTATAGCACCACTATATAATAGTCTAGCAGATATACTATCCCAGTCAATATACTCTGCCTTTTTCAAAACCTCTCTGACAATATTTTTCTTATCTAATGGTATACGTTCCATCTTACCTATAGGTATCTTTTCTTTTAACTCTTTCAATATATTGTTTGTGTCTGGTATATGTTTGAGACGGTCCATATAGTTGTCGAAGTCATTGCATATAATCTTTGAGTCAGGAAATATTGTATGGCACAAATGGGATATATAGAAACTTCCACCGAACAAATCTACAAATGTTAGACCATTCGGTAGTTTCTTAAGTTCTCTCAATAGAATATCTTTACATCTACTCTTATTTCCAAAGAAGGGTAACGGTGGTTTTGTAAAATTCATTTTATATACAATAAAAATGTTTTTTCCCTGAAAAGTGACAGAAAAGTGACAAAACATTTACGAAGAAATCTTGACAAATTCAAGAGGGTAGAAAAGAGGTTAGAAAAGAGGTTATATCTAACCTTCTACCCTAAAATATATTTTTATTGAATTCTGAGTAAAATTCTGAGTAAAATGACAGATGTTTATATGACCCTTACTTGTCCGGTTTATAGGACCTCTCTCATATTCTATCTTGTCGTAAATAAAACTCACAGTCATGTATGTCCTCAAAACTTCATTTCTCCTAAACATCTTCAGGGCTAGAAGGCACGAAGTGCCTGGAAGCCCCACTACCTTTTTTTTTTTTTTTTTTTTTTTTTTTATAGATATTCATCTCTTCTGTGTTCAAACCGGTGAATCGAAATTTCAAATTTCAAATTTAGAGTTTTTCTTTTTCTTTTTTATTTCGATTGTGATTATTTTATTAGAATATAATGAATATATGGACAAATTTGTAATTGTAAGGGTACATGCTGTCTGTTGGATGTAATTTTTTTTCTTTTCAATTATTTACATTTGCACGTTATTTAGTCTTTTCAAAACTTTGAAGATCTTTGAAGACATTTTCATCTATGATAGTAGTATATTAAAATTAATATAAAATTTCATTTCAATATTTTCCAAAACCCCTTTTTAAAAGATTAAATTCTAACATTATAGATCATAGCTAATACATTTCCTCAGTTCCAAAATTTTGAAACTACAGATTTTCCTCAAAAGAAGAAATGCAGTCTTCTGCGAGCGGCTCCACTGGCTCAACGAAGGGCTTTCTTTCTAACAATTCTCAATCAATCATTGAGAACTCAAAAGGTCCATCTTTATCAGAGAGAATCCACACAAATTTATTTTATCTCGCCACAAATATTCACAGATACAAAGGATTCAATACCAAATGGATCACATTCTCTGCGCTATTCAAAATGGTCCAAAATTATGACCTTTTCATCATGCCTAACACTACAGGATTTTGGGGAAGAGATAAACACGCAGAAATCATCATGAGAATATTTACATTCCCATTACACCTATGTTTTGCACCTTCTAATGCAACATATCATGCAATTTTCGCAATATTATATTCTTTATTTTTAATCTTTTCAATAATTCTTACATTCGTTTTCTTATTACGTGATCCAGCAGAAGTATCATTCACAAACAGAGAAATTTACCTGATTTCATTCATCTATGCTGTCGTTGTTCCGATGTTTTCTACTTTTACACTGTCAAACTTCGGCGCTGTGCTAAATCACTTAGTCTTCATGGGACATGGAGGTCCATTACCTACATTGGGTATCGTTTTTGCCGCAATTGGCACTCTTTTGATGGTTCCATTAAATTTATTATCCATGGCCTTCATTAGAGCACGTCCACCCATTGATATGAAGACATTCAACGCAACATGGGGCTCTCGCACTCACATTTACTTCCTTATCGACACATTATTCAACTTTGTTGCATTTTTGGAAGAATTCCTACCATTAGACCGAAAATACTACTTAATTGGATACTGTTGTGTCCTCATAGCCCTATGTAATCCAATCACAGTCATCATTGCCCTTTTCGATGGCACTTTTCAGAAATTTACCGATGCAATTTACTTTTGCACCCAAATTTGCTGTACAATGCTTGGTGTATTGTTAATGCTATTACATATGTGGATCGACAAGCTTACTCCGCCATGGTTTTTAGTAAGGTCGATGAAAAATTGAGCGTTTTTAAAAAACCGCCGTTTGAGAGGAAAATTGTGAGCCCCGATGTATACTTTTTGACATTGTCAAAAACTTTGAAAGGACCAAAAAAATTTTAGTGTCAGAAAGTTTACAAATGTATACTTTCTGACAAACAGACTCTCAGAAAGTGCTCAAACTGCGGTTTTTAATTTCCGCACTTTTTTTGGCGACCTTATTTGTAATTCTTGGATTTATTATCTTCCTTGCCATCTTCTCTTTCGACATCAGACTGCGCGAGCACAAGATTATACGCAAATTGTCAACAGTTTATCGCTTCAACCACCCTGTTTTGCCCTCATTATCTCCTTTGATATTTACAAATTCAGAATCAGTCCACGTTGGCTTTACAAGTGAAGCATACTCTGTTCTACAAGCTTTCGATACTCTTGGCCTCAAATCCTCCAATGCTGTAACTTTTCCTGTAGCGACGATAGACTCTTACTTGTCCGGACAAAGTTATACTATTTTGAGTGCTCTACAAAAAAGTCAACGGCTGGCTCGTCCTCAGAAATTTTTTATGGGCTAGAGAGCGCAACGCGCCTGGAAGCCCTCCGAATATAAACTTCATTTATACTAAACATCTTCAGGGCTAGAGGGCGCAACGCGCCTGGAAGCCCTCCGAATATAAACTTCATTTATACTAAACATCTTCGGGGCTAGAGGGCGCAACGCGCCTGGAAGCCCCACTACCTTTTTTTTATATGGTCCAGATTTGATTTTATATTTTTTTGAAAGAGAAGTTGTCATTGAAATAAGAACAACTTGGTTATGTCTTCAGATCTATTTTCACAAAAAATTAATGACGATAAATTAAATTTTTATTGAGCTCAATTTTTGAACGTACTTTTTGTATAAAGTAGCATTGAATATATTACCAAGACTTTGCTTGTTCAAATGATAGCAAAATAACTGCATTTCAGCTATTGAAAGACTTCAAAAATTGAATGGTACCTATTCCAAATTTGATCTACAGGTTCTCTCAAAAAATGCATTCAAATCTATTTGATTTTTTTGATAATACATACTGCGTTCTACTAAAGGAGGGGTTCTATATAATCATTATTTTTTTCAATAACGGATTTTTACCAGTTAAAAGGGAGTTCAATAATATTATGGATCCAGGTGAGTCATCGATTTCTAAGTCAGTACAGTCGTATAGTACTTCAGAAGCCAGTAAAGAAAACTTAATTCAAGGCAGATCCTCTTCATTAGATAGAGTTTTCCCAATTTATTACTTGATGATGCAAAAAACGAAAATACCGAATTTCATTCTTTATTCAACATCTTTATTTCTGGTATTTCAGATCATTTCAGTAACATTTTGGATCTATACTGATCCTTTCACAAGGACAAGTCCAAAAATGAGAAACTTTTATTTGAAATTATTTTCAATATTCGCTTTTGGAAATCCAATTGATAAGGATGAGTCAGAAATGTTTGTTGCATACATAACTCTTGGTGTTTCTCTTTTCATGATTGCTTGAATGACCTTTTTAATTTACTATCACCAAATAAAATACACTGTTCCGACACCATTACTTTATGCAACATCTTTACTTGTTGACTTTATTGGACCTATTTTCATTATTCCATCAGCTTATATTGCATGTGTAGGTATAATACGAGTTGTAGATGGAGATAAGCAAGACAATGTCAATATAGTAATTGGATTAATCTCTTATGTCACTCTTATTTCAAACTTTTCAATAACTGTTGCTCTCAAAGCAAAATCGATTGCAATTACAAATATTCCAAATCCTTTATTTGATACATATTCGTTGATTCTCTGGGTAGTAAGTACCACAGGATTCGTTATTTTATCAGCTTTATTGACATATTTTGATCATTGGATACAGTTATTATTGGTTATTATTCATCTAATAATCAGTTGTTATTTGGTTTATAGACTAATTTACATTCCTTATTATGTTATTGCTAGAAATATGTCTATTCTCGCATTCGTATTAGCAACAATAATACTTGATATAGAAATAATTCTGTTGCATCTCATTACAAGTTTGACATATGACTACATGATTGTTACATATTCGGTAGCATTAGTAATATCTGGAATTATTTCAACAATGTATTTTATCAGGAAAATTAAGAAAATTAAAAAAAATTTGACTAGGAATGAAGAAATCATAGATATTGAAGAATATTTTATGAATTTAGGAATAGCTGATAATACTTTAATTGCAATGGAATATATTATTGTTGGCTTGACTCAAATATGCAACTTATTTACTGATGGAACGCTGACAGATTTTCTTATCAATAACTCGGACTTACATAGTATCAACTCAATACTATTGCAAGTTCTAACATTCTTCCCATCAGAATCAAGAAAAATGGATATATTATTTAAGAAACTCTGCACAAAAAGGAAATTAACATTATCAGAAAGATTTTTAATTTATCAGGTTGCCAGAATCAAAACAAGAAGATTGATCACAGATACAAAATCAACTTTGGAAGTGTATTCAAAAATGAAGTTACGAAATGATGAATGTAAGGAAATGATTAAATCATTTTGGGATTTACCAACTTGTAAATTATCATTTTTGTCAGCAATAAATAGGCAAATTGATGATTTAGATTCATACTTTAATAATTCACTTCAAGAAAATCCAAATAATTTAATAATGACAAGTGAATATGCAGACTTTTTAGTTGAATGTGTTGCTGACTTTGACAAGGCAATTTATGAAAAAGTTAGAGGAGAATATATCCAAAATGGAACAAACTTCAATGTCGATACAAGTTTCAGAAGCTTGGTAAATCATTTCCCTGATTATTTGATAAAAGGAATTGTTGATCCCAAAGGAAGAATGATTCGTAGAGAAATTCAGAACCCAAGCAAAACAGATAGTGATAAAACATCCGGATCAAGCGGATCTGGATCGAGTGGTTCTTCAAAAGGTACTGCAAATTCTTCCATATCTATTGATCATGAATTGCAAGATATGATTTGTAAGAAAATTATAAGAGATAGTAGAGTAAGATTGGCATTTCACAGGAGCATTCAACACATGCAGCCAAAACAAATGTATCAAATAATGATATTTTCATTTTTCATATTTTTCATTGCAGTTTCTTTCTTTATTGCTTCATATCTGCATTTAACAGAAAACCTGAAATGGAGAAGGTCATCATACAAAGATTTTAGATTGATGGCTTTAGCTTTAGATAAAACATATAATGCAGCTTTCCTACTCACTTTAGATTGGGCAGCCAAGCATGGAAGATATGATAAGAATGTTACATCATTAGGAAATATATCAATAGATGACATGGATACAAATGTAATTGTAAGGGAAAATAAGTCAGCAGTATTCAGATTAATATCTTATCAAGAAGCAAGAGCAGCACAGACATTTATGAAAGGACTCTTAGATAACATTGCAATTTTAGCAGCTGGGGAATATGTTCAAGAAATTGTTCCTAATCTCATGGGTTATACATCGGTCGTCAAACTATGTTCTAAATCTAATGTAACTCATTCATATCCTACGAATATAAAAGATCAATTTACGCTTGTGCAATTTTTGATTATGGATCTTGCAGGTGAATTTCACATGAACAAAGATATCCCAAATATCTATAAAAATGATTTATATTGCCAACTGCTAGAAAATTCAATAACAATGTCAGATAAGTCAGAAGAAACAGTCCAGAGAATATTAGAATTCAACATCAAAAGGGCAAATAAGAACGAGAATGATGCCAAATTATGGCTATATGTTGGAGTTGGAAGTTTGTTTGTTTTATCTATCTTTCCAATGATAGTAATTTTAGCCAGCTATTATAGGTTCGTAAACAAGACTATCAGATTGTTATTATTATTGCCACAAAATGTTAAAGATGATGCAAAGAAACCATTAATGATTGAACATAATGAAACGTTGTTTTCAACAGCAAATTTGTCAAAGAAATCTTTAATTATGGAGTTATCAATTGTCGCTTACTTTATTGGTGCGTTTGGATTAATTGCAATATATGGCTACTCAGTATATAATGTTTTAGACTTCAATGATGATATCACATCACTGCTGAAATGGTATTATTTATCTGCTTTGAGAAATGTTGCTGTTTCCGAAGTAAGATCAGATCTAATTCATGTTGTCATGCTAAATGGATCATTACCAAATAATTTTATAACAGCAGATTCAATTTCAGATGAATTAAAACATCATATTGATTTAGTTAAGAAAACAAATGACTTGATTGTTAATGGAGATGAGGATTTTCCCAAATTAGTTGGCTATGATGAGAAGTATGATAATATTCAATTTAATAATCTTTGTGATCTTGGACGAGATCCAAAATCAATTCATGATTCATATGCTTGCAACGGTGTTCAACAGCAGCTTTCATTCCTTGAAAGTGGAATTCGGGACATTATAAATGATCCTAGCGTATTTGAAGGATCAGTATCTGACGAATTACCAACAAATATTATTCATCTTTTGAACTCTCATTTCCATCCAATCTCTGTTCAAGCAGCGATCAGACTTAGAGATCTTTTGGAAGAGAGATTTGACGGAGGAATGAAGGTTCAATTAATATTGTTGATTGTAGGAATTGGATTATCGATTAATATCTTTGTTTTGCCTTGGTTTATCAGATCGATAATGAATGAAGATTACAGATTATTCCTCATGTTTTTCAGGCATTTACAGCCTCAAGTTATTTTGGATACTCATGAAATAATTGATTTCGTCAGAGGAACAACAAGAAAACATCATAAAGAAGAAATGACAATTTCAAAATCAATTGTTTATAACGCAAAAGAATGCATCGTTGTAACAAATCATAGTGGTATCATTGATATTGTTAATCAATCAGTAACTGATAATCTTAGTTTAACTCCTGATCAAATTCTTGGTCAGAGTATCATCAATATTATTTCTCAAAGAGATCAAGAAAGACTTAATTCTCAAATGCAGTTAATGATCGCTGGACAAGGACCAAAATATTGGCAAGATCACATAATGCTTGTCAATGATAATGCTGATGAAGTTCCATTTGCAGTTACGATGATTGGAATGAGAGATAAAGAAGAATCAGAAGAAATTGCATCAATTGTTTTTATTCTTGAAAATGAAGTTGAAAAGATAAAGAAAGAAAAACTTGCAGAAGAATCAAAGCAAAAGTCAGAAAAATTACTTTATCAAATAATGCCGAAGGATATTGTTGTCAGATTGAATCGTGGTGAAACTGATATAACATTCATTATAAATTCTGCAACAATCTTCTTCATTGATATTGTGAAGTTCTCTCATTACTCATCAACTTTAACTCCTTCAGAAATTATGTCAAATTTGAGTTTAGTTTTCGAAAATTTTGATAGAAATGTAGCTGAGTTTGAAACAATTACAAAGATCAAACTTATTGGAGATGTTTATATGGCAGCTGCAGGATTATTTAATAATTCAGAGGACAACTCTATTAATCACGCAGAAGATGCTGTTAAATGTTGTATACAATGTGCAAAATTGATGGAAGATATCAATCTAAAATTGAATTCTTCTCTCGAAGTAAGAATTGGTTGTAACTCAGGAGGTCCATTAATTGGTGGAGTTTTAGGTTCGGATAAACCTGCCTTCGATATTATTGGAGATCCCATTAATATCGCAGCTAGATTACAATCAACAGATATTCCAGGAAATGTCCAAATATCAGAAACAACAAAGGAAATGATTCAATCATTCGATTTCGAAATTGAAGAAAGAGGAATGATATATTTGAAAGGAAAGGGTGAAAGAAAGACATATTTTGTTTCACTCAAGAATCAATCAAATCTTGATTCATCTTTTGCATTAAGCCTGCAAAAATAATAGATATTTGTTAATGTGAGCTTTCTTTTTATAATAAAAGACTGTTTATCAAATCAAAATTCATATTTAAAGAATAAAAAAAATTCAAAATTAAATTCAGATGCAATAAAGAAAAAATACTATCATTTGTATAGTTATATCATATATTTAACTCATTCTAAATCATACCCAACTAAAAATATCAACAAATAATATTATGAATTATTGAACTATGATTCACATTAAATATCTTCTACATTAGATACAAAATCAATAACATTCTTGTTATTTTCGTATTAAAGAAAGTAGAACTAATAATTTAATGAAATATTGTTAATTTACACTCATACCGAATAATTTATACTAATATTTATGTATATATTCAAATATAATGGTTTGACAATGAGAATTTCCGAAATAAAAAAAATAATTTTGTTATATTGGAATCTCTTTCAATTGAAAGTATAATGGTTCGTAGCTATACCACAATACAATAAAAATCAACCATAAACATTTGATAAATAATGTAAATTCACGAAAATTATATCGAATTTTGAGAAATTGTTAGTTCTTTCTTGTATTAATTTTTCAAATTCTCTGTTTGGAGTATTCTGATTACTGAAGTTCTTGATGTCTCTATAATTAGCCCGGATAAATTCTGGAATGGAAAAAATCAATAAAAGTGACATTAAAGACACTTTTTTACAAGAAAATTATATGATGAATTCAAATTATAAATACAACTATAGCGGATCATCAAATACGACTGCAATAGCAATAGATATCTCCAAAGGACCAGAAGATACTATTTCTCAACTAAAATTCGCCCATGTATCAGATAAATTATTATTATTTGGTTCTTCCTGGGATGGATCCCTCAATGCATGGAAAGTTGATTTAAATTCCAAGTCATCTAACCTTGTTGCCACTCATCGTGAGTCAAAACAAGCAATTTTACGCATTGCAACAAATGAAAACGAAAATTTATACTATTTCGGTACAACAGAAGGTGCAGTAAAGAAGGTTTCGATCGGAGAGCAAGGTCAAGATTCTAAATTTGTCGTTAATGAGTTGTTTAAAGTTCCAATTCAATATCCAATCAGCGGCCTTGCATATTGCCATGAAAAGAAATGTTTAGTAGTAGGAGCAATGGATGGAACTGTTTATCTATACGATGCTCGTGAAAAAGCAACCCCAACAGCTTTTCTTGGCACGAATAATGTTTTCCATCTTGTTGGTCTTGATGTTGGTGCCAACAAAGCTTTTGTTTGTTATACAGATATGGCTATGACCACAATCGACATTCGCCAGAACATAGGAGCCCCTGTAGGACAAGATGAATATCCAAAACTCGCATATACAGACGAAACCAGCAAAAACGGCAACGAATCCCAAATTACCTGCGTCGCAGCCTTCCCCGACGATGGTGGCTATATGACTGGCTCCATCACAGGAAAAGTTGTAATCACAAGTAATGGAAACCAAGTCAAATACGACTTCCACCGCAGAGAAACAGAAAGAACCATCTACAGCGTGAACTCCGTAGCCATCTCTAGGAAGCAAACCCTGGGAATGTCCGTTGGAGGCGACGGGACAATTAATTATTTCAACCTCGGTAACGGTACAAGGACATCAACAACAGAATCTACGACTACAAAGACTATTCACGACCCAATTACGGCTTGCGCTGTCGATGACAACGCTGAATATGCGGCATACGCTACGGGAAGTGACTGGGCCAGAGGTTACGAAGAGCACGAACATATTTATTTGGCTCCAAAGCTTTTCATTAAGAAAATTACTGATACTGAAAAAGGTCTCAAGAAAACAACTACTTACGGCTCAAGTACTTATGGATCCTTTGGTTCAATGCGCAAATAAGCTTTTTATTTATATTATTTTATCTTTTTTATCTTTATTTATATGTATATAAATCTGTAATAAAATTTAGAGTTATAAATTATTGAAAATGAACTATATTTTTCAATTAACTAAGAACTATTATATTTTTATAATGTTCTTATTGAAATAAACAAAAAATATTTTTTATATATTGATTGGAGTAGCAATTTTTAAGAATATTTGAAAAATGTCATTGAAATAATAATATGTAGCTTATAACCAATAGTCATATTATATGATAATAATTTGATAATTTTGTATTTGGAATTTTTGTTTCTTGAGACTATGAAAAATAACAGACATTCAAAGAATATCCCATTTCATTGCATCCATTTATCGGGATTAGAAAAATTTAATCAAATTATCTTTGATATTATGAATATATTTCGAAATTTACATTTGTCTTGATATCGGTTTTGTATTGCTAAATTAGATTTTGATTTGTAGAGAAAAAACGGTTTTTTTGTCAATGAGAGAATTTTGCAAATGAAATCGAGACCCATTACACCAATTGACATAAAAAGACCATCAACATCAATAAAAAAGATTCGCAAACCAGAAAAACCAGTCGATGCACTAAGAAGTACTACAAAACAAAATGAACAATATGCAGCCACCATAGCAGAGCTAGAAACACAACGAAATACATACATGGACGCTTTAGATGACCTAAATCAGCGTATTATCAAAGATGGAGACTTGATTGCAGGTCTCAGAGATCGTTTTCAAGAACTTTTACAAGGAAAAAAAGAAAAATCAAGCAGATCTAACCAAGATAACCTCGAAGAAGAAATCAAATTATCAAAAGAAGCAGAGAAAGCAATCATAGCGTTTGATTCGCAGCATCCTTCAGCTTATCTTGCAGAAAATCCTCATATTTTGATGGACATAACTTCTGGCACTTCAAACTATTTTTCAGAAGTCGCAATGAACATCGAGTCATCCATAACACTAGGAGAATACTTAGTAACATCAATGGAACAACTAAACTCTATCTCTCGCTGTCTAAAAGCCTATGAATCATTGAGACAATGTGTCAGATTAAATAATTTCTTAGAAACAGCCACAGAAACAACAAAAAAGGTTTTACAGTCAGAAGGAACTACAATACTATCATCAGATTTAGTATCCAAAGATTTCCACACTGTTATTTCCACGAATACTTATTATTTTTCATTAGATAAAGACAAGAGTTTTCCAGGACGTTGTATAAATCTCAAACAAAGTTTAATTGTCAGAGATCCTATAAATGACAAACTTTATTCACCATCAATTGATCAGATATTGAACCCAACAAACAAGACATTGTTAGTATCACCTATTTGGGATATCGGTGTTCTATATATTCCTCAAACAAGTCCTTTCAAAAAATCTTTTTCGAGAGCTGAAGTTTTAATTACAGAATTTTATTGTCAACTTTTGGCTCCTCTTTTAGCAGCTCACATTCATTATTCTCATTCCATACAGCTTGCAAATCATAGAAGAGCATTACAGATATTCAAGACAAACTTAGTTCCAAAGAATTCATTGAAAGCTTTGATACCTTTTCTTTATCAAACAATACAAGAATGTATTTATGCAAATGATGTTGAAATGTATATAATTAATGATGATAATTTCTCAAAAGTTACAAATGAAGGAAAAGTAGACACAAACCAATATAAACTTAATGGTCTTCCACATTATATTAGCGAGATAAAGAGCCCACATGTCATTGACAGAGTCAATGAAAGAACACCTAATTATGTTCAAGAAGTTGATGAATGGGCTTTAGGAAATTGTTTCTTAGGAATGCCGATAATTTCCAATGGAAAAGTCATTGCTGTTTTAGAATTGAGCGGAAAGAATGGAACAAACAAATTCACACAATGGGATGTTGATTTTGTTTCTGTTATTGTTAATTGTCTTGCTTTAATATTGCCGAGATGTTTGCAAGTTTTCGATAAAGAAAGAGATGAAAACATCATCAGAGAAGCAGCCATGTTTTCTGAAATTGTCTCTGAATATACTTATTCTAATATGCTTTCAACAAATGATATTTGCGAGAAGATATCATATGATGTTTTTAAACTAATTCCTTGTGAATATCTCTTGATTGCAACCAAATATGATAACACAATCAAAACAGTAATAACTCTCAAAAATGGAGAGAAAAGTGATGTTTTGTTTATCAATCCTGAGTTTCTTTCAATGTCATTGAAAGCGAATTATTCTATTTTGTCAAGAGATTTCACAGAAGTCAAGGATTTCAGGCCGATGAGAGAAATCGAATACAAAGAAATTGTTGCTGTAAGTCGTATTTACAATGATTATTGTTATGCTATTGTTTGTTTGAACACAATGGATAAATTAAGGAATTTTACTGTTGTCGACAAACATATGTTAGAAGTACTTGCTCAGTTATGTATAACAAGCAAAGTCAACAACTCGAAAATTCATGAAAAAGAAACAATTGAAATGGAAAATTTGAGTTTTCAAAATTCTTTGGAAGTCTTCAAGACAGTTTTATACAAAGAAAAACAGCTACAAAGCTTGTTATTAGTCTTTAGTGAGATGATTAATGCTCATTCTTTCTGTTTGATCGAGAAAAACAAAAGCAAAAATAATTTTTCAATATTGTTGAGTTCTCCAAATGTTAAAATTTGTCCTCCAATTCCATTAGATGATGTCTTATCAGCAATGATTTTATCTCAGCCTAGTCATCATATATTCATTGAAAATATCAATGAAACAGGTTTAGACAAATCAAAATTTGTTGAATTGTTCAAACAATTTTCTTCTCTTGTTATTTCTCCAATTTCAACTGACCAAACTTATTTCATTATTTTTGTTACTGATAACAAGTTTGCAAGTAATTTCAATGTATTATTTGACTTGTACACGCCAATGATAACGATATTGTTGAATATCTTCCTCAAAACAAATCATACAGATATGATAAGGAAAGCAAATCAACTCAAAATTGATGAATTGTCATTTTATGATCATGATTTGACTTCGAAATCTTTCTCAATAGAAAAATACAATGATCAACAAATCATTGAACTATTGTTGAGAGTCTTTGAAAGTTTAGAAATCAACAATGTTTTGTGCAGCAAAACTCCCAAAATTGTTAAGTTTTTGGAAGAAGTAAGTAAACTCTACAAAAACAATAAATATCATAATTGGAATCACGCTGTTGAAACTGTCCAATTATGTTACTCCATTGTTAAGCGTGGAAAGATGTCTCCAAGAGCAATAAATCCAATGCAAACAACTGCATTGATACTGGCTTGTTTATTACATGATATTTGCCATGATGGAACATCAAATGAATACCATATTAAAGCCAAATCATCATTATATCATGTATTTGGCGATGATTGTCCATTAGAGAATAGTTCACTGACAAGAAGTGTTAGATTACTTAAATCGCAGCCTTTCTTTGTTTGTATAAATAATGAAGAGTTTTGGCTGTTCTTTAAAGAATGCTTGTTAGCAACAGACATCAAAAAATACGAAGAAACTATACAGAATTATCAACAATGCGCAAGAAACTTTGATAGTAAGAATTTAATTCATTCTGTTTCATTGGCAAAACTCGTAATAACTGTTGCAAACATTTCTAATGTTGTTAGGCCGTTCTCACAAGCTCAGCAAGTTGCAGAAAATTTGGAAACAGAAACAGATGAAACAAATGAGAAACTAAGAACGCTAGGAATTAAAGAACAAACATTTGTTTATTGGAAATGTGAAAGTGATGAATTGCCAAACATTGAAATGAAATTCATTCAAGAAGTTGCAACACCGTTAATTAAAGCAATTACTGGTTCATTCCCGGAGCTTAATGACTTAAATACATCTCTAGAAGAGACAAAAAGAAATTGGCAACAGATTATTTCTAATTTAGAATAATAATTCTTTTATATTTGTAAAATATTGTTTTTTGGCTAAATATTTTAGTTTTTTATGAGATTATTGATAACATATCAAATCAGGAACCATGAATACAAGAAATAATTTGACATGTAAAGTAAAATGTCAAAAATATTTTAACATATATTTTTGTCTTGAATCATGGAGCCTAATGAGCAAACAATAGGAACCATTTGGTGCAATCCAACTGATGCTTCAAATATCAAAAACCGAATAGTCTCAGAAATCAAAGAAAACATATGGAGTGATTCAATTCCAAAAATCTGCCCATCCACAACAAATAATGGAATTGAAATGTTTAATATTTCGCTTGTGCACGGTGGAGATATCATTGATGACAGTCTTCTTGCATTAATATTAATTAAGATATCTGGATATTTTGAAAACTGCTATACTATAGTTCAAACAACAGAAGGAGACTTGTTTTTAATTGAAACACTATCTAAGCATGATGAAGATTTAGACCTAGATGAAGATATCGTTTCTATCGCAAAAGGTTCAATGTTATATTATGTTTCCGAACAATATTCCAAGTCAAATGAGTGCCCTAAGCATGCAACTCCATTCCAAGAAAAAATTCAAGAAACATTTAATAATTTTATAGAAAACACAAAGAAAGAAGAACTCTTTCATAATATGAAGGTTTTGATTCCAAGTAGATTAGCCAGAATGATAAGATATGAGCCTCAATTAATATCTGAAGTTGTAAAATTTGCCGAATATAGCAAAAAGGTTAATTTTAAAGACTATAAGTTATCCGAATCAGTAATAAAAATGAGAAAATATCACGCCGTGGTCCTTGATTCTCGTCCGATTAAAGTTCCACAAGAATTTTCAAGTCTTTGCAAAGAAAAGAGTTCAAGATTTATTAGAATATCATATTTATTGATATGCTCATATATGAAAATGGCAGAAAAATATAAAGAAATTGACGAAATTTCAAACAAATCAGATTTTGATTATTTGGATTCAAAAGAAATAACAGAAGATGATGATAAATGGCTTGATAGCAATGAAAAACCTGAAGGAGATTATGAAGAAATAGGAGATGAAATGGCTGAACGCTTCAAAACTTTTGTTTCAGAATTTTCTCAGTTTGATAAGATAGAAAATGATGGCTCAATAGGTTTTGATGCAGAAGAGTTTGCATATAAGCTTGAACACTTTTTAGATAGCACTGATTATGAAGAAGAGGAAGAAATCGATGAAGAAGACTTTGAAAACATGCTTAACGACGATGATGATAAAATATTAGTTGGTTTATCCAAAAATAAAGAGGACCAAGTTAAGTTTGCAACAGATAATTGGAATGAGAGTCTTAATTCTCAACCAACCTCAAATGGACCAACAACGCAATATATGAATTTGTTTGATTTGTCATAAATATGCTGTTTATCATGATATTAGTATAAGTATTGTCAATTAAAAACAATGTTCGATCGAAAAACTCGTTAAATACAATATTTTTAAAATAAAAGCTAACCATATCGAATAAATGATTGATACATCTATAAAGATCATGGAAGTCGAATGATTTAAAATGAGTGAAAATACTTTCAACAAAAACGCAATTCATATATACAACAATCATACAAATTTCGTAATCAATCTTAGTTTTAAATAATTTTGACGCAAAACACATTTTCTATTATGGGATTCGTCAAATGATTGTTAACTTCATTATTTTTCACGAAATTAGCAATAATATCCCTATATAATATGTTTTGCGTTAGATTTGCAAGTTGATTTGAGGGATTAATTGCTTATTTCAATTTTGCCAACAATTTTTAATGAAATTCTGACCTAACCAAAATAATTGATGCTAATAAATAAACAAATTCTTATTAGCATTATTTAGAAATTTGATTATTATGAGCAATTCATTCAATCATGAAGTCGTAAACTTTTCAAATTATTTTATTTGGATTTACAAAATAGTTATTTTAATTTATATGAATGAATTTCTTTCGATTCACAAGCATTGAATTATCTGAAATTTTTGAGAAAAATTTAATTATTGAATAGAAAGGTTTGAAATTCTCAAAAACCTATAAATGTAAATAATTTTTCATCATAAATGCATTGTATTCATATATTTCTATGATTATACTCTTCTCTGAAAAATCTGTTTTTTCTCAAATTTTCTTTCATTTTTATTTTGCATTTTCAATGATGAATAGGACCCAAGAGTGCATAATTAAACAAATACAATATCAATTAGTTAAATGGTCAGTATTTTGTTCACTTGTTCTCTAGAATACACTTTAATTACAACAATTTTTAACAATTTTAATTTAAAAATCTCAAAACATGCCAATTTGAATGAGTCATCATGTTTCACGAGCAATAAATTACAAGAATCAAATAGAAAGTAATGCAAATACCCTACGTTCCCAACTTCTGGAAAACGGTTTTTCACCCTTATGATCAGTTTCAGACACTTTGGGAGTCTCCCAAACTTTGATATTTTGCATTATGATAGAGAAACGTGTCTAGTTTAACGCACAGTTGTTTTAAAGGCAAATGATGATATCACATGAAATTATCAAATTATCAAATTTTGAAGTACCAGTCCAAAGGGTTAATTAGATCCTACACAGATGTGCGATAGTGAAACATATGTGTTCTTGATTTGAGAAGTCCTACTGATAGAGGTATGAATCTCACAGCTTTGTGTGAGTGTGTCTGACACTTGTATAGAGTGGAATATGCGCCGACATATATTATATAATAACATGTAGTTGATAATTATGAAAAAATAGAATTCGATGCGAATGATATTGAAAATTGTTTTGTAATTTGATATTTTTCTTATATGTGTTAATTAGTAAATGGCTTGTTTGTTGTGATAGTACTGTGAAAAATGAAAGGTATTTTAAATTAAAAAATTGAGATTTTGAGATATCTCTAGAATTAAGAATTTATTATGTATTTGACTTTTATATAACTATGTGTAAAGGATCTCGATGTCTATATGCTTTAAATAAAATTAAATAAAATGAGATAAAAAATTAAAATGGACAAGAAGATATATGGAAATGTAATTTGTATTGTGTTGGTTGTTGGCAAAATGATTTTAATACAGATTTAAGGATTTGGAATGGATTTGAAATTAAATGATTTTAATTCAAGGAGTAATAAGATTTTGAACTGGTTTTTATTTTGTGAATGTCAACTCCTTCCCTAGGATATGTATTAGAAAGATCAATGTCAAACTTTTTGAAAGAATTGTTTTTTTGTTGAGCGATTTTCTCATATTTAATAATCTATTTAAGTTGGCGTATCTTACGCCCTTCCAAAAATATGTATTAGAAAGATGACTTATAATTTCATAAATTATTTTGTCCCGACGGTTTGAGCGGTTATCAGAATGGTTGCTTACACAATGCGTCAGCAAAATGTCGGTTGGGGTGCCCTTCTTGGCCTCCTGAGTACTCACCAAGATACCCCCAGCTCCCGCAAAACACCTCCCTTAGGTGCGCATTACCTGACGGCATTATTTTGCAATTATTTCAAATTTTTTAGATGTCTTTTGTTAAAGTTTGTTAACTAAAGACTTGAAAACAGCTTACCGCTTCAAGCTGCTCTCTTCCCGGTTCCTCTGCCGCAATCTTATGTCTGATTGTGCGCAAAGCTCTCCTCCTTGTGAACCATGGCTGATAGAAAGAACTGAAAGACAGGATAGGAGGAACATGCCGGTTCAAGTTAACTTGCAATATGCTTCTGATTAGTGATTTTAGATGAAAGATTAGCGAAATTGCATTTAATTTGGATAGAAGGATTCAATTTTATGAAGCAGGCTCGTAGAAAATATGCAGGAATAGCATAATCTTTTGCAATCACAACGCGATTGCAAAACTTCGACCGACAAGAGTGTATCACTCTTGTCGGTCTGCATGTCTCATTCTGGGAGACATTGTCACTGCATGTCTCCCAGAATGAGACAATCTTCCGCATTCATAACTTGAATGCGGAAGTTTGACCGACAAGAGTGCACCATACACTCTTGTCGATCTAAATGTATCTTACAATCAAAGACACTTTCATACAATCTTTTCGAAGTTAAAAAAAAATTTAATTATTTCTTTCTTTTGTTTATTAAATCGCCTTACTCACGTACTAATCTCTTTTAGAGACTCTATCGAGCTATCCCCACATATAAACCTGTGACAATAATACATATTTACTCTCTTCATATTCTGATCTCATGACACATTATCGCAAAAACTATAATTATACAACACATCTCATAAAGTCTCATTTTAGCCCTATCTAAGCGTTCAAAACCTATTTTCCACACGTAATCTGATTCTTCTGGCTCCGCTGATTCGATTTCTGCTGTCAGATCGTGAAAATATGCATCACATAAAGAGATAAACACAACTCAAAATTATTGCTTTTTTTTCAAATTGTCTATTCATCCATCTTTACATATTTATTATCTCCTCCGTTTCCCCTCACAAATTCTTTTAATTTTCTGAATAATACGTATAATAAAATGAATATCTCAAAAACTAAAACACAAAATTAATGTTGGAAAATGACTAGATATAATCTGAACTTTTGAATTCATACATTTTTGGAAAAAATTGAATTTTCAAAAAAAGAGCTTATTTAGGTATGAACCTGAAGAGAAATTTTAAGGAAAATATTAAGTTGTGCAATTTGCATTTATCTCTTTATGTGATGCATATTTTCACGATCTGACAGCAGAAATCGAATCAGCGGAGCCAGAAGAATCAGATTACGTGTGGAAAATAGGTTTTGAACGCTTAGATAGGGCTAAAATGAGACTTTATGAGATGTGTTGTATAATTATAGTTTTTGCGATAATGTGTCATGAGATCAGAATATGAAGAGAGTAAATATGTATTATTGTCACAGGTTTATATGTGGGGATAGCTCGATAGAGTCTCTAAAAGAGATTAGTACGTGAGTAAGGCGATTTAATAAACAAAAGAAAGAAATAATTAAATTTTTTTTTAACTTCGAAAAGATTGTATGAAAGTGTCTTTGATTGTAAGATACATTTAGATCGACAAGAGTGTATTGTGCACTCTTGTCGGTCAAACTTCCGCATTCAAGTTATGAATGCGGAAGAGTGTCTCATTTGGGAGACATGCAGTGACAATGTCTCCCGAATGAGACATGCAGACCGACAAGAGTGCACAATACACTCTTGTCGGTCAAAGTTTTGCAACCATTCTGATTGCAAAGATTGTCTCATTCTGGGAGACATGCAGTGACAATGTCTCCCGGAATGAGACATGCAGACCGACAAGAGTGCACAATACACTCTTGTCGGTCAAACTTCCGCATTCATTATGAATGCGGAAGAGTCTCATTCTGGGAGACATGCAGTGACAATGTCTCCCGGAATGAGACATGCAGACCGACAAGAGTGCACAATACACTCTTGTCGGTCAAAGTTTTGCAACACATTCTGATTGCAAAATTGTCTCATTCTGGGAGACATGCAGTGACAATGTCTCCCAGAATGAGACATGCAGACCGACAAGAGTGCACCATACACGTTTGTCGGTCAAACTTCCGCATTCAAGTTATGAATGCGGAAGAGTGTCTCATTTTGGGAGACATGCAGTGACAATGTCTCCCAGAATGAGACATGCAGACCGACAAGAGTGCACAATACACTCTTGTCGGTCGAAGTTTTGTAATCACATTGTGATTGCAAAAGATTGTCTCATTCTGGGAGACATGCAGTGACAATGTCTCCCGGAATGAGACATGCAGACCGACAAGAGTGCACAATACACTCTTGTCGGTCAAACTTCCTAATACAAAATTTGATTCCCTTATTATCTTCTTAACAAAACTTAAGATTTCAATAATACATCATGAAAACATTCATTTACTACATTCACACTGTTATTCCTTTCTATAAATTAACTCATTTAATAGAATCTTGTTTTTATATCTTATTATTTTCTCATAATACTTCTAATTCCTCTATTTCCTCTTCCACATAAAATTTAATTTTGTAATGCTATCATATACACTTAATGTTTTCAAATTTTCAGATTTAAATTTAATCTTTATTTTCATCATCATTTATAATCTTGTTCCTATAGTTATAATAAATTATCGTCAGATTCTAATATTTATGATTCTTACTACTCAATTCAATATAATTATGTTAGTCACTCATATTCAGGAGAATAATTTAAAAATCTATAGCTCATATTTTGATAGTTATATATTTAGATGATATATATTGCAATTCCGGTTTCAACACGACCAAATGCCAAACCAAGACAAAATATATATGAATTTTCAAAATATCGATTTACATTAGAATCTATATCTAATTTTATCAATACACAAGTAGGGAATGTTCAATACATCTTTGAGCAACGTGAATAGCACAATTTTATAGGATTATTTGTTGATTATATAAAATATAAGCCAAATCGAATCTGCTGTATAGTACTTTAGTTTATCATTGAATGTTAAATGTGTTCAGATAAATATTTGAGTCAGATATCGCATTTTCTAATTTCAAAATTTATCTCATGAAGTTAGAATTTATTTGATCATACAACATCATGTTAGTCAAACTAGAGTTCAATGGCGATTCTAAAATGGAACAAATGCTTGTTTTATCAAAATGTTAAAATATTAATCTAAAAAACTTAATATCTAACCAAACCATTCTAGAATTATTATATACAAGTATAGGCAATCTAAATGCACACAGAATTCGGAAAATTAAAAAGAATATTTATGAGATTATTAAATCTTATGTAATTCAATGAAAAGTAGATAATATGAATATCTATAGGCTATATATCAACATATGAGTTTTTGGTTTGACCAATACTATACTAATGTGATCAAATTAATCTGATTTCTTAGATTTTCATTTGAAGCATTTGCAGTAGTAGGGGTACCTTTATATATTAACATATTAAAAAATTGCGCTCCGATTCGCAGTTTCTTCATGATTTTGAGATTGCATTAGATTTCGCGATGCAGAAAAAAATCACTTTAGATTCCCGTCAAACTCTAAGTATAAGCATATCTCTATATGTAGAAACTGTCTGCGCTATTTATTTCCCGGCTCAAAAAACCACGGTGTCTGTGTGAGGAAAATACCCATTTTAGGACCCTGGGTAGGGGGTCATGAAAATTTTCCAAGAGTTGGAAATATAGGGTAATTACAAATCAAATTAAATTATTTTTCACAAAATTCAGAAAAAAAGTAGAAAGAAAATATCTAAATAAAAAAATCTTTAATGAAGTTTCTTTGACAACAGCGAAAAAAAAATTATAAATAAAAATAACACACAAAAAGATTTGGTTTTTCTTAGAGTATCTTCTCTTGCGTCTAGCATTTCCTCCAGAGCTTGATGAGGATGAGAATGAAGAAGAGGATGATGAAGATGCCTTCCTATCTGATGATGAATAATCAGAAGAAGCCTTGTTCATCTTTCCTCCAGAAGATGATGATTTATCATAATCATAGCTAGAAGACTCGTCATATGAAGATGAAACAGCATCAGGGTTCATCATGCCTTTCCTTCTGATGTAGATGAGGAGGGAAGAGATGAAAACAGCAGCAGCACCGAATTGGCACATGAAGAAGATAGCAGAAAGGGCATAAGATGTATTATATGTTACAATTGTTCCAAATAATGCAGCCAATTTAGATATTGGAGCAAGCTTAGCACCTTTGAATGCATCAACAAGATGGTTGACAGCTCCTGATGTTAAATTAGTTGTGGCGTTCAAGAAACGTTCAAGAGATGGGAACAATTCACCATTCCATGTGGCAAGGAAGTTTGAACTGTACTTATCGAAGATATTGGATTTGGCGGCGTTGTATGTATTTTGATACTTACCTGGAAGTATTTCATCGATATCTTTTGCAATTGCAGTAAGATCATCCTGCAATGTCTTCTTCTCATCAGGTGTCAATCCACTTTTTTCAATCTTGTCATTTGCATCTTCAACTTCTTTACTAATGTTCTTTGGATAGTTATCGTTTTCTTTGATATTATCTGGAAGTTGTTTCTTAGCTGGGCCAATAGCATCAGAGAAAACTGAAGCAATACCTTCGTAAATAGTATTGTTGAACCAGTTAGAAATGTTGGCGCATCTCTCAAGAAGATGATCAGTGTTGAGAATCTTCTGGATATCGATAACACTCATCAAAGAACTGTCACTCTTATCAGAATGAAGAATTGTATCCATTGGACTTCCCTTGATCTTTGTGAGATCGACAACGATTGGGTCAATAGAGATTGTGATCGAAACATCATTGACCTTGACATCCTGTGAGAATGAGAATTCCAATGTTCCGTTCTGAGTCAAATCTGGAACGTAGTTAATAACTGTATCAAATGACAAAACTGTTTCGTGGACAATGACGCAGACATAAGCGACGACGAAAGAAACAAGACCAAGAACCAAATATGCCAAGAAACCAGAGAAGAGGTGGCAGCATGGGCAGCAAGAAGCCTGGCAGCGAGAGCACTTGCTGTGGCCGCAGAAGATGCACCATGTTGAGGCAACGAGAATCAAGAAAGCGCCAGCACCTAAACCAATGATACTATAAACTGGGTATTTGATTGCCTTGGCAATTTCAATAAGCTCTGTCATGTTTGGATTGACACCAAGTTGGAGTAACAGGATATTGAGGGTGCTAACTCCATCAGCCATGTTTGTGTATTCTTTGATATTATCATTAAGTTTCATATCCTTGATTTGATCGAGTTGGTCAACAAGTGGATCAGAAATTGTAGAACCAGTGTCATTCAACTGTCGAATACTGTCATCCATGGATTTAAGAGCATCATTAATATGATCCTTAACGCTTTGGATTTGTTCTGTGAAGTCAAGCTTTGGAATAGAAGATTCAACACGACAAATTTCTTTTGAGTCATTGTTATACTTCTGAACATGATACTTAAGTAATTCTAATGCATCAAAGAGATTTTGTGGATTGGAGTTTGTGGCAGGATCGTAGTTTTCAGAGTTAGTAACAGTGCTAACAACGCTGTTGTATCCATTTTTGAGACCGTTAACAATGGTTTTAACGAAGTATTTAATGTCATCTGGGACCTTATCAATGTAGGAAACAATGTCATCTAAAAGTGAATTGATGTTGTTGGAGAATGGAGTGATAAGGGAACTGTTGACTTCTGGGTAGACGGTGGCATAGGCATCTTCCAAATGAAGGGCTGTGTTGTATGTGCTTCTTACTGGGGAAATGATGAAGAAGAAGCAGATACCGGCAAGGAGATAAAGAGCTGAAGCAACTAACATGCAGCCCTTAGAACACCAGTTTGGCATTGAGGACTCCTTTGGCTTGCAGCAGCAGCATGTGAAAATGTAAAAGAGGAATAAAAGGAGGACCAAAATAAGGAAAATAATTAAGATGATGATTGCAAAGGCAGCTCCTACAATTAGACCAGTCAATTGTTTGGTATCTGAAACGTAATCTTGAACATATTGAATTTTATCGGAGACATCAGCTTGGAAATCTGAAAAGAAAGAATTAAAGTCTCCTAATGATTTAACTGTACCTTTGTAAGGCTCGAGCATATCAATAAGATAATGAGAAGCATTGAAATTTGCGACAACTGGGAATCCAAAGATTGTTTTATTATCTACCATTTTGCCGATTTTTCCTTGGACCTTGACCCAGCCGTTGAATCCGGCGTAAAAGTTACTAGGATATGTTGGAAGTTCCCAACATAGAGACTGTGTAATAAAGAAGAGAAACATCAAACTTTAAGATTGTTGACGATAAATTTCCTCTCAAAAACATAAAATAAAAATTGGAATATATTAGATTGGTGATTAGGATGAAAAAGTTATATGAGAATTAACCATCGAAAAATAGGGGTCTCAAAAACCTAGTGTTTTTGAATAAGAAATTTCGGTTTGGATAACTATATTTCTAGAATTATGTTATTTTATAGTATTTATAGATTTTATGAATTGGGTTTTGAAAAATATCACCGAAAAAAATTTTCAATGCTTTCAATGGACTTTCTTTCATATCTAACAAAAAAATCAATATTGTCCTGCATGAAATATGAAACGATTAAACGTGTATTTTAGCATTCGATGAAGAAGAATAGCGAATTTGATAGAGTAGGGGTAATTTTAGCTAAAAGTGACACACCCGTGAAGGGTGTGATTACCGATCGTCACTTTTAGCTAAAATTTGGGTTTGCCGAATTTGATATACATTTGAATTTTGAATTAAATTGTAATTATCAGTACCCATTTGATAAATAGTAAAAGATGTTTATTTTCCAGAAAAAAAGACGTTAAATTTCTGAGACAATCTGTCGCTCGGGTTCTATAAATCCATCATTGTCTGCTATGTTGAAGCCATTTAATTAATCATTTAAATTGCCAATTGATAAAATGGATATTTGCCATATTGCCATTCTGGAATACGTGATTATTTTATAAATTATTTTATTTTGAAGCTTCCGAACCAAAAGGCAAATCTTTGGATTATTAGTCCTTTATAAATCCTTTTAGAATAAGTTCTTAGAACAACGGGTTTATCCAAAAAAAAGCTGTTTGAAAAGCTGTAAGGTGTAGCAATATTAACTTAGAAAGCTGTTAATAAGATGTTATATCAAAACTTTAGATTCTTATAATTGGATATTTTATTAACAATTTGAGCTACAAAACTTTAATTTGATATTATGCATTCTGATCTTTATTTGATATTACAGTGACAAGAAATATATATATATCAAGTCAATACTGAAAAAAAAAAATTATAGTGATGCAAAATTGTTCGGATTGACTCTGATTATTAACGAAAGCGTAATTCCACTTAAAATGAGTTCAAGAAAATAATATGTGTGGATTATGATCCAAATTTTAATAATTTTGACAAAAAATAGTTGTCAATTTATTATTGGTTCCATTACTAAACATACATTAATGAGCTATTTTTAATTTTAAACCGTAATATACATTCAAAAATATAAAAAAAGAAAAGAAAACATTTCAACGAAATAGAAGTTAGATACGTTTCCAAAAATATTTTTTTCCAAAACAATATATTTGAATACTTTGAAAGCAAGAAATTGAATGAGAATTCAACTTGAAAATAGAATGATATTTGAACATCTTATAGATATAAAGTTAATTTTAGAAATCGATATGGTCACAATTTTATTTTTGAAAAACTCAATTAAACTGCAATGGTTGTGTGATTGTTTGGCAAATATTTTGTAATTATTTATTGATCGTAATTTGAAAGTGCTTAAAAAATCATGTTAACAGATATTGTTTATTTATATGATTTATATTAAATCGATCGATATATTTCTAATGTCACATTTTTTCTTTTCAATCGAAATTCATTAATAGTTAATTCACAATATCTCATTTACCACGTTATTATTTAGCAATTAACGTGAAATTGTAGACTTCTCAAAAAAATCAATATATGTAAACTTTTCATAACAGAACTTTTTTGAGATTCTAATTTGTTTGTTATGCTAGAAAATCAAATATTTTTAGCTAACACGTCAAAGATCTCTCTTAACGAAAGTGCAATCCAGGAGAATTCAAATCAGCATAATAGTCCTTACGAAAAAAATTCGATTCATTCTCCAATTTCTTCTAGAAACAAGTAAAAGGGCTCGAAATCCCAATTAAAACTAAATAAGCGTAAAGATAAATATGCAAAGCTTGATAAATCCATCGTGAAGCTTACAATCGAAGAACGTTATCCTTCAGAAGATTCAGAAAGTGATAGTTCTTCTGATACAGGTGATGAATTAATCTTTAACTCAATGATGAACGCCTTAAAGAGCAAACCAATTAGAACAAGGAAACGGATAAACACTCGAGCAAATACAAGTTTAGCAATTCCAAAAGTTGAAAACTTAATATCTGTAAAAGAACCTAATAGTCCACCGTCAAAGCATCTGATTAATAGATCAATGCGCAAAAGAAGCTTGGTTAATTTTTCGGTCAAATCTATTGATGCATCAGACTCTCCAACTAATGTAGAACATCTTAACCTTCAGAGCATATTACCGAAATATAATGATTACATATTCACTTCAGAGCATAACAAATTAGGTTTAACAACACACGCTTCTTACAAAATTAAGCAAGGAGAATATACTCTATTTCGTGCAAAGCAGAAAGATAGAAGTATTAAGGTTAATTCTCCTATTTTCATCAGTTCCGGAACAAAATCGCAACAAAATACTAGCAAACACGTAGGAATTTTCATGGCATTTAATAAAACAACAGAGTTCGCACTTTCTGATATTCAGGATAACGTTCAATACTCTTCAGAACAGATTAAGGCAAATATTCAAGAAGATCAACTTTCTCTTTCCCTTAGAATACACACACCAAGAGATAAGTTGGAAATCCAAGGTAATTACTCTCCCAGAGAACCTTCGGATTCAAACAGAACGGTTTCATTTGTTGACAAGGCCTCAAATATTGAATACATTACGTTAACGTACGTTTCGGATACAACTTGGTCCATACGCGCCATCGATGATATAGATCCCAAGCAGCTCTTATCGCTGGCAATTGTAGTTGATCATTTTTCTCGCATTGCGAAGAAGAAATCTGCTTTTGTATAGATATTATTTTCTGTATTAATTTATTTCGGTTGTTTTTATATTTAGTGAATAAATTTTGTTTGTTTTCTTATTACGATTTTTATTAATCATCGTAAATATTTCGATCAATGAAATTTTGTAAAAGATTTGTGTTAATGAAGTATGTCGCTAATCATTGTATGATTGGGTAAATTGTTTCTATATCTATTAACTTGGATTGATATAGAATATCTAAAACAATAAAATTTTGAAATGACTTTGAAGGGCTATTGATTGAATGTATAGTATAAATGCCCTAATGTAATTGATTCTTATGTTCCAAAATGAACAAAAATTATATTTTCATTTTTTTTTATATTAAATTGTCAGACTCGTGTTTGTTTAAGTGGTAAATGATCCATTGGTGGGTAGCTATTGTCTTTAGTATACATATGATTGCCGGGTCGCAGATATTTCTCTTTCTCCAGATATAGTCATTTGGAAAACAATATATGTTTATCCATGTTTCCATGTCAAGTAATATAAAGTTTGTGAGAGTAAAGTGATAATGTTCTCACGGCTGTCAGCCTCTAGCGGATAAAGTAATTTTGTATGATTCATATTTTAATAAATTTTTATCGTCTCTTCAGAATTATCCGCCTATCAAGAAAGATTGATTGTTTTCATTAGTATATATAATACATAATTTTCTCAAAAACTCATATAAAAGTGTCAATGGCAAAGAATACTTGTATCTTTACTCCTGCCCAGCTTCAGGAATTCAAACAACAGTTTGAAGATTTGGATGCTGACGGAGATGGAAAGCTCGACCGTGAAGAAGTTGGTGAAATATTACAATGGGAAGCGAGCTACGTTGACAGATTGATGGTTGTTCTCCTTTTCGAAAAATACGATAGAAACAAAGATGGTGTCATTAGCTTCGACGAGTTTTTAGATTTTTGCGAGCATGCATGCTCAAGAGATCAAGACTTACTCTTGAGAGAAATATTTGCTATTTGCGATGTCGATCACAACCAGCAGCTTGATCTTAACGAAGTCATCTGCCTTGGAAAATTAATGGGCGTTGATGTTACTAAAAATGACGCAATTGCTACAATTGATAGTCTCGATAGGAACCGCGATAAGGTTATTAATATTACCGAATTCTTATCTATCCTTCATCAATAAAATATTATTAGACTACTTCTTCGAATAAGAAGAAAAAAAAAATTAAAGATAACAAAAGTTTTTTAATTTTTAAAACCAATGTATTTTATATTCTATTGCAGTAGTATAGTTTTTGTTGGAATGCACTAATTCTGTCTTTACATGTGATTCCTTGTTGTCACTTTTTTCTGAGTGTTGTGCTCAATTTATCTCATCTTAATATATTTCAGCGAGTAGCTTAGAACAAATCAAAGAAATGGTATATCAAAGATTCTTTTGCAATATAATTTAAATAAATATCGATTTGGAATATGAATGTCATAGAATTGATGTTTTGCAATTGTTGTTCTGCTTCCTATATATCTTCTATGGATATCTTTTATGTCTGTGGCTTTTATTTCCTGAGATATAGTGAACTCATTGTGGGAATTGTTGAATTTCCTGAAAACTCGGCAATTTTTATTTTCAAAAATCGAGTCAGATATGAATGTGAATTTTGGTGACACTCTCATTTTTGAGGTCGGTATTATGAAAATATTAATTGAAGTCTTACTCATAAGAAGCATGAAAGGCATTATCCAGTAATCGGCTAGTAAGCTTCAAGATAATTTCGGAAATTACTTTGTGTTGCTCTTTCTTCATTCCATGAGGCAACTATGTAGCAATTTCGTATTAATATTTTTAGTGAGTATGAAGATCGATGGCTGTGTAAATAGTAGTAGGATAGGAAGGGTTGTGTGACTTTTTTTGTTACGTCTATATATAGATGAAAGTATATTTTCACATCTTCTATATATAGATGATATAAAAATTTTTTCTTACGTTTTTTAAGTCATGAATTCGTAAGAAAGCGCGACATTATTAAATAAATTAGTAATAAATATTATATACTAAACACATTTTAAAAAATTAACATTAATTTTAAAATAATTTATTTTTTATCTTTTATAAAAGAAGCTATATATAGATGATATCAGATATTCCGCGATTAATTAAACATTGTTTAAATCCTGAATGGAATCAATGGAGTCATAATCAAAGACCTCATAAACGAGTAAAAGAAATTAGAAATAATTATTTTCATGAATGAAAGATTCACTACCATAATGAAATAAAAAATAAAAAAATAAACTTTAAAAATTCATGTCTCACATTTTTGAATAATTTATTTTTATTTTGTATGAAATGAGCGTCAAAACTAACAACGTTAAAAAATTAGGATTCACAAACGAGGAAATAGAGGATATATTAGATGAGATGTGTTATGAAGTTAGTAAATATTATTTAAGAAATTGTCAAAAATTTGCCGAGTTATTAAATGATTTAGATTATGATGGAAAAATGAATAAAGATGATGTTATAAATTTCTTATATCCCACATCTGAAGAAGAAAAACCTAAAGAACCTGATGTTTTCCCTGAATATTATGAAGAACGGATTAAAGATGATGATGAATACGATGAAATTGAAATTGAAAGACTGAAAAAATAAGAGATGAAATAATGAAAAAATTAAGGAATTAAGAGAAGTTGAAAAATATAATGAAAATGAAGTAGAGGGTTTAATGAATATCCCAGCTTCAGAATCAGCAATTCAGAAATCTCATGAAGAAAGATATAAAAATTATGTCTCAGAATCAACACAAAATTTATTAGATGGCGAAATAGATGAAACACTTTCAGAAGAAGGTACTAAATTTATTCGTAAACATAAGTTACAATTTATTGATAATGAAAAATACCCTTGTATCTTACTTTCACCCCCTCTCGATTCTGAGAAATTCAAAAAAGCTCTTAAAAACGTGACATATGCAACTAATACGATTAAGAAAGAAGATCATGATATTTACACAAATTATTATTTAAATAAATGCACAGGTGTTGATAAAGTTTTTGATTTATTAGATAAAATATCAAAAGAAACCATTGGAACATATAAAATTTTGTGTGATTGTGGTTTCATTATTGAAGATACCAATAATGTTTCATATGAAAGAACAGCACCGAAGGAAGATGAAGTGGAAAGTCTATACCATTCGTTATTAAGAATATAAAAGATATGAAAACGATAAGCATTATATTTATTCATTTATTTCAGAAAAAATGGAAGCAACCCATAAAACATCTTCTCATCATTTTATAGCTATTCATACATTCCTTTTCAAAGTTGTGAAATTAAATAAGACAGGAATTAGATTTAATGTATCAGGGTACGCATTCTTGAGTAAATTAAAATGTATTCGTCACGTCGCGGATGATAAAAATTTATGTGTTCTTAATTCATTTTATGGGCTTTAAAAAATAAACTTTTTTTATTTATTTTTTAATTTTTTGTTCTTACATAAATGAACAAAAACGGAACCGCTAAAATGAATGATAATCAAATTAGAGCAGAAGGTAGAAGGTTATTTAAACGCTTCTATAACATTCCTGATGGTGTTAATCCTAAAACTCGTAGAAGTTATTTAAATGAAGCAATAGATGCCTATGAAGGGTTTAACATTTCATCAGAAAGTGAGAGATTAGCGAGAATGTTAAATGTTAATATTGATTTCTATTATTGTGATCCTCAACCAGAAGACGTGGACATAAATAAGGTAGACTTTCCATTAGTGGATTCAATAATGATAGATCCAGAATTTGAAACAGTAAATATTTTATTAAACAGAGTCCATGTGGAAAACTTCACGCTGACAGAATAACAGACGTTGAAGCACTCACCGGCTATAGAGTTTGTCCATATTGTAAAGAAGAAGTTTATTCTATCCGTGATGATCCAGAAAGGAAAAACCAAAGAAGATTTTTAAAGCATTGTGAGAAATGTAAAGAAAATAATGGAAGATTAATTCAAGACGTTCAGTTGCAAAAGACACAGCAACCATGCACCACATATTACGAAACAGAAGATATATCAGTGGTTATTAGCTCATAATTTGCAGGAATATTATAAACCGACAAGATATTATATTACTTTGACTTCGAAACATTAGAGACTAAAGAAGAATTAACTTTCTGAGTGTGCAACTTTGAACGCTTACTTTAAACCATTCATGGTATCATCAACGGTTAAATTAAATGATAAACATATACGAGGAATTTTTGCTTAACTTCGAGTGATTCTTTTATTTCTGATTGGATTGAGTTTTTATTTTCAACCTGTTCATTAGTTGCTAAATCAAATATTGAACAATATGAAGAATTAATGAAGTCGCAAACGGACTCTTTGAGTCCTGAAGGTCTTTCAGACCAAACGGCGGGGACTTTGTCTCATACATTAAATGAAAAACAGAAGGAAGCATTTAAAGAACTTCTAGATGAGGAATTCAATAAAGTGAATATCATAGTTTAATTCGGGAAAGTTTGATTTAAATTTAATTCTTCGTGATTTAAACACCGCAAAATGGAAAATAAATCAATGCTGGTTCTTCTTCACAATTTAAGCAAATCATGTAAAGAAAACAAACACTCCATATGAATTGAGATTTATTGACATCAGAAATTATATAGCGGGTGGGACATTAGACCAATTCACTCAAGATTTCGGAAACAATAAATCACGTGTTAAATCCTTTTCCCTTATCAATTCATCACATGGGAAATTACGAAGAAGAATTATATAAAGAGGAACCATTCACGAAAGATTCATTTTTATTCAGCATTAACCCAAGAAACTATATCAGATAGTGTTATCAAATATATCTCAATATGATGCTAAAAACTTTAAGAATAGATTAGAATATTTTCATTATTGCAATAAAGATGTTTGAAATTATGATTGACCCAATTGATAAAATTATTGAAGAAACATTTGTTTATAAAATTGACATGCTTCATAATCTTTCTTTATCATCGAATGCTTCAATGATTCGTTACGCTTTAGCATATAAAGACTTTAATCCTAATGAAAAATATCCTGAGGAAGAGATAGAATCAAGTTTTGAATTAACGAAAAAGTATTGGAAATATAAAATTGAATCATATAAGAAACAAGATGAAAAAGCAGAAAGGGATACTAAAAATAATGTTTCAATGGATGATTTTCAATACTATCACGATTTAATCCTTTCATCTAAATGCAAAATGTGTGGTAAAGCGTTTACATATGCAAATAAACCAACATTGGATAGAATCGATAATGAAAAACCACATACCAAAGAAAATTGTCAGTTAATGTGTTGTTATTGCAATGTCGTGAAATCAAATAAAGATGAAGATGTTCAACGTTTAAGAATCAATTTAAGAAATTATGCATTAAAAAATAATTTACCAATGACTTTAGATTCAGTTGAAGCTTATCACATTCTCCGTAATGGAATTACTGGTGGTTTATCAAATGTTCACATAGAGTAAATCTTAAAGGAATCACGCACATTAATAAACTTTCATATAATCCAGAAACTAAAACTGTATCAAATGAGGACACCACCAACATTATGACTCATTTCGTTGGTGTTGATTTTAATTCATTATATCCTTCATCATTTTCATCTAATCCTCATGATTTCATTCAATATACTGACCATAAAATGTATATGCCGGGAAGATTGAATGGTGTTATCATTTGTGATACAGCAACAAAGAAAGCAAAAGCACTGGGAATAATTAAGAAGAAAAATACTTTATTCGTTGCTGAAGTAAAGGGTCACATTGATGAAAAATACATTAATGATTACATAAACTTTTTACCGATAATAAGAAACTTAGATATTATCACAGATGAAAAAACAATTGGTAGTTTTATGTATAATTACATGAAATCAAACAATCTACCGGTTGACCAGAAACAGAGGAAATTAACTCAGTTAGCATCAACACACAACCAATATCAACCATTTTCTTCTTATTATCTATGGTATCTAATAGACAGGTTTAATTTTATCATCGATGATATTCAATCAATTTTAACATTTACGAAAAACACTTGTTTTAATGAATTTGCGAACAAATTTATGAACGAAAGACAAAAGGCTGAATTAGAAGGAAATAAAGGAAAAAGTTTATTTTGCAAAATTTCACTTAATGGATCATATGGTTACGATGCAATGAATACACAAAATTACGCAAAGACTAAAATAATGAATGCACAGAGGGCACGCGTTGCATGTATGTCAAATAAGTTTAAAAACATAAGAGAAATAGGTGAAGATACATATCAAGTGATGCTTAAAGATAGATTTTATAGATGTGATACATGTTTACAAGAGGCATTCTTCACTTTAGATAATGCTAAATACTGGTATTTGGTTTTCATTTATGATTTTATGTATAAATGCATGAATGTTAATCGTTTTCATTTCATTGAAGGTGATACTGATTCATCTTATTGGGCTATTGCTGGCGATCCAAGTCTTCCTAACACTCAAGCATTTCAGGCGATTGTTACCGATAAAAATTTTATGATAAAAACATTTCCAAATTCGCACCATTTGATTTCTTCTGTTTTGATGAGAAATTTAAACCTAAATTAAAGAATAAAGCTGAAGAAAAAGCACATGAGAAAAAATTATTGGGTTTAGCAATTGAGAAACAAGGTGATAACATGGTTGCTTTATGTCCTAAGTGTTATACATCATTCAACGGTTCAATCGATGGAAGTGATTTTAAAAAGATTGCACAAAAAATGAAGGGTGTTAGTTTAAGACAAAATAAGCAATTAACACCTAAAAATATTTGGATATAATAAATGATAAAGTGATATTTGATGGTCAAAATATTAATTTACAACTTAAAAACGGGTCAATGACTCGCTTAACAATCGGTAAGACTGCATTAACAGGAGCACACACTAAGGCCGTATGTTGTGAAAATGGATGTTGTATGCCATTTATTTAATACAATTTAAAAACGTAGGAGTTGAGTCATGAATTTAAAATTTTATTTTTAATAAAATGCCACAGAAGAGATAAAAGGAACCGTTAATGATGTGATTCAATATGTAAATAATGGTTTTGATACTATGATTCAAAGAGGTGGGCACCTTTAAAACATTGATTTTATTTTTATATAAATGGATAACATAGATTTAAAAATTTTAATTGATGATTTAGTATTTAATCAAAATTTTCTTACTTATTATGAATTAAAATCATATCTCCAAAAACATAATAACAATATAATGGGTGATGATATGGAATATTATTATCCATATTATAAAAATGAAATTTTGAAATATCATAATAAAATAATTTCTAAAATTAAAGACAAAATTAAAAATAATGAATATACAAAGGGAAAAACTAAATCACAACTTAAACAGTTGAAAGATTTCAAAAATAAAGTATTAACAGAAGAAGATATTGATGAATTATATAATTTATATAATCCTGAGCCACAAAAACCAAAGCCGAGGTCTAAAGTAGCAAATGTTCAACAGCCAAAGGAACAAAAACAAAAGGTGCAAAACATCCAGGTCCTTCAGACCATAAATGAAGCACAAGCTTTAATTTATGATTCATTAGTTAAACCGTATTCAGCCCGACTTTTAAATGAAGATCAACTTTTGGAATTCATCCTTCAACATAAACTCGAAGCGGGAAAGTATATCAAACCTTTATATACAGCATATTTAAAACAAATGAATAGAATACATCCAGAATTAATGAAGGGGGGAATGAATTCCAAAATCAAAGCAGATAAAATTAAACCACTTGCAACACCAAAACCTCCAACGACAGTACCTCCTCCTCCTTCAGTTAATCCTTCATCATTCACTTTATTATATCCATTTCAAACATTAAAGAAGCAAAAAGATTTTAAAAAGGATTTCAAGATATTAAATAAACCAATTGACCCGAAAATTCAACCGTTAAAGGAAAAATTTAGTCGCCCTTCATTTGCTCCATATCCATATTCATACGAAATCGATCATCTGGAATATTCAAAATGAAACGTTACTTATTTATTTGCCATTAACATTAACACTAGATATTTATATTGCATTCCGGTGAAAGGGAAAACAGAACAGGAAACAAGAAGAGCTATACAATACTTACTAGATCATGAAATAGTAGATAATATCAGGGGTGATGGTGATAAAGGATTTCAGGCAACTATGACTCATTATTTCCCACAAATTAATTTTTTCTTTTCATCCTCTCCATATACGTTTCATAATAAAATAGTTGATGCGGTAATGAGAACTCTTAGAGATGCGTTAGGGGTTAACGGTCAGATATACTGGGATGGAAATCATGACTCCATCATACAACAGTTAGTATATTATTACAATAATACATGGCATAGAACTATAAACATGAAACCAGTGGAAATGAAAAATGATATTTCAAAAGAATGGGAATATATTAGAAAGCAAATGGAAAGGTTGAATGATGTTAAACGTGAACAAATTAATTCGGGGCTCATGAATTTTAAACAAGGGGATAAAGTTTTGATTCATCTCGATTATGGAAAAACTAATAAATCAATGACAAAAAGAAGACGAAGATTTGACACAATAGCTGAATTTGTTAGATATATTAACGGCAATGCATTAGTTGAAGTTGACAATAAATTAATAGAAATTCCGATTTATTTTATTACTCCATTATATTTAAATAATATTTAATTTTTTTATTTCGTAAGAAATGCGTGACAACAAAGCAGCCAAGAGTCCAGACAATGAATATAAAAAGAAACTAAACAGAATTAAATCAAAAATATGCTATTACAAAAAGAAGCCGCAATGCGGTGGGGTTGATGCCCATAAAACTAAAGTAATTGAAAACGATAAAGAGAAGAAGGAAATAATTGAAAAGTTAGAAACTTACCGTTCAATCCTTAAACTGAGTGAAGCAAAAATAAAAGAATTTAATAGAATAAATAAATTGATTGGAAGAGATGAATTTAATAAAGATGAATTTTTAAACTCAATCCAAATTTAATTTTTATTTTTCTTTGACAACATCTCTCTTTCCATCATTACTGCATAACCGCATTTTCTCAGTTTTAGTGGTTTGTTATTTTTAGCAAGTTCTCGCATCATTTTTATCGTTTCCTCCCTTGTTATGATTCGTGGTAAATTTTGAGCTTGTGGGGTATCCATTTATGATAAAAATAAAAATTTAAATTATGCCGTTCTAAAGTTTGTGACAACATGACATTTTGACAACAGTCCCGGAAATGATTTGTCATGACTTCATCGTAATGAGTGTAAATGACCCAAAAATAATGTTTACGTTAGAATGTTAGATCTAACACGTTTTCTAACCCGATAACTAACCTGTTGAATTTTCATGATTTCATCGTATATGCTTTGTCAAGGTTTCATCGTATATGCTTTGTCATGACTTCATCGTATATGATTTGTTATGACCTCATCGTTAATGAGTGTAAATGACCCAAAAATAATGTTTACGTTAATGTTTTGTCAAGGTTTTCAGGTTATTCAATAATTAATTATTTTTGAAGAACTGAAGGTGTTACCATGTTACCATGTGCTACCAGGTTAATTAACTTCTCTGAAAAAATGAGACAACATGACATTTTGACAACAGTCCCGGAAATGATTTGTCATGACTTCTTCATCATAATGAGTGTAAATGACGCAAAAATAATGTTTACGTTAATGGTTTCAGGTTATTCAATAATTAATTATTTTTGAAGAACTGAAGGTGTTACCATGTTACCATGTGCTACCAGGTTAATTAACTTCTTTAAAAAAATGAGACAACATGACATTTTGACATCACAGCAGGATTAATGAGGAAGGTATTTATGAATTATTTTTGAAGAACTGAAGGTGTTACCATGTTACCATGTGCTACCAGGTTAATTAACTTCTCTGAAAAAATGAGACAACATGACATTTTGACAACAGTCCCGGAAATGATTTGTCATGACTTCATCGTAATGAGTGTAAATGTTTTGTCATGATTTCATCGTATATGCTTTGTCATGACTTCATCGTAAATGTTTTGTCAAAACTTCATCGTAAATGTTTTGTGAAGAATATAGCAACCGCCGGAATTCAGACGGTTGTTTTTTATACAAAATTCACGCAGAATTAATGAGGAAGGTATTTATGAATTATTTTTGAAGAACTGAGGGTGTTACCATGTTACCATGTGCTACCAGGTTAATTAACTTCTCTGAAAAAGTGTGACAACATGACATTTTGACAACACAGCAGGATTAATGCAAAAATAAATTCAAATCATACTTTATAAAGCTTCATTTACAGGTATTTCATCGTCAGTAAATGAATCCTCATTATCGTTTGGTTCAACCTGTTTATATAATCCTTTCATTTCTTCTTTCAAAACATAACACCATGTTTGTTTACCATCTATTCTTCTATGTTTCCTATCACATTTATCCTTAATGCTCATTTGAAAATTCTTGTCTTTCATGTCTGATGGTTTGCAGAATAGAGCATTTTTACACGTCATACCTGCACACAATTCATCATAATGTGTATTTATCCATTCATCTAAAGGATTTGTTGATAATTCTATTAAATCTTGTTTGGCTTCAGTCATCGGCATGATTCGTACATTAAATGATGAAAGGTCATATTGCATAAAATACGTCAGTAAATTATCATAAAATTCCTTTGTGCATGAATTCATCAAATTCTTGAAGTAATCAAATTGACCCTTGAATTTACCATTAACTCTTAAAACTACGTATCTTCTGTCTTCAACTTCAATTTTGACAGGGTAAACGTTATTAGTTACCAAAATGAAGTTTGCAACGTTCTGAGCAGTTCTTCTGGGTTGATTCTTTTCATTAATTCTAATCTCATTATCCGTTATAATTGATTTCAAAGCGTTGAAGTTTGCAAGTCTGTCTTCACCTACATTCTTGAGTTCATTAAGTACAAGAAACATTTTATTCTCAACTACTGAATTGAAATTACCCGTTAGCTCACTTATTTCAGTAATGTTTTTGCATGAATAACCAGCGAGAAGTTCAGAAATAATGTCTGTAAATCTGTTTTTACCTGTTCCCTGAAGTCCTTTCAAAATAATTGCTGTTTCATTCTTGATTCCTGGATGTTGAATCATTGATGCAATCCAGCCGAGAATGTATTTATACACTTCATCGTTATTATCACATATGGCTTCTTTAATGAAATTCATAAACATCTCAATTTTTGAGTAATCTACTTTTTCGAGAACGATGTATTTATAACCCTGAAACGTTGAGAAAACATCTGGAGAATCAGATTTAAAGCAAACACCCTTAACGGTTAATGAGGATAATTGATTTAGTAGTACGTCCCATGCTGTTATTGTTTTACCTTCTTCTTTAAATAATTTAATCATTTTGAGTGACTCTTTCATGTTTGACTGAAGAACGAATGATATTTGATTCATTTTGTCGTGGATATTATAGTCCTTTTGAATGAAATATTTATTTCCACAATCTACAAAACGGATTACACGTGATAAATTATCAATTACTTCAGAACTGTTTTTATACTGATGATTTTCAGCCTTGCGTCTAATATCTGTTATCAAAAACGAGTCATCAAGTTTGATATCAAATGTTATTTTTGGCTTACGTAATAAAGGTAAAACGTATTCATCATAATATTCCTTTTGATATAGTTTTAGAATCTTCACTAAAACAAATGGAGAAGTCATTAAATGTGCATATCTACTACGTGCTTTTTCAAAATTACTTTTTGCATTTTCAGTTAAATTGCAGAAGTTATAAACGTTATCGTATGCTTCATTAATTAAATGATTAGGTAACGAATTAATTGCTTGAAACAGTGTGAATAATGTAACTTCTTTTTCTAAATTCATGTTTCCACCGTCATTATGTACTTCAAAATCACTAATGCCATCAACTATGCTCTGAGCAAGTTTATCGTCAATGTTTACATCTTTGTTTTCATTCATGATATTCTTTATTTCTTCGTTCTTCTGTTCAACTCTTACCTTAATATTCAAATCATTTAATATATCGTTTACGGTTCTAGTTAATGTTGAGTCATAACTTCCACGACTGAATGAGTATGTATTGATTGGTTCTGTTGCATTCTTGCGAACTCTTGAATCAGCCATAACCACTAAAGAACGCTTTGAATCATCCATAGAAGTCATGATATCGATATCATAATCATTGCAGGAATAACATTTAATCATTCTGTTCGAAACTGCATAGAAGAAATTAGTGTTGCAATAAATGTGAAGACCTCCTGAAGCGGTTTTAACGATAACATCTTTATCCGAAAGTTTTGATAAAATATCTTTTCTAACTGTTTCTTTAAGTTCATCATTGTACGATTTATTGATATCAACATCTATAATCGTTAAATTTGATATTTTATTTGCTAATAAAGCCATACCAGTTTTCCTTCCTCTTCCTCCATCGTGTTTGAGGTAGTTATGTAAATCAATCTTGTTTTCACCAATTCTTTCGTTGAGGGTTTTAGTTTCTGCCACAACTAATTCCTCAGCTAATGAATCAATAACTTTTTCATCAGAAACGATATAGTTGCTGTTGTTGTTTGTTGCTGTCATTTATATAGGAATAAAAAAATAAAAATAATTTTAAAACTAACTTTATTTTTGGGCTGCATCATATTTCCAGGACTGTTGTCAAAATGTCATGTTGTCACACTTTTTCAGAGAAGTTAATTAACCTGGTAGCACATGGTAACATGGTAACACCCTCAGTTCTTCAAAAATAATTAATTATTGAATAACCTGAAACCATTAACGTAAACATGAGACTTTGTCTCCGGACTCTTTGAGTCACTTAACGATGAAATCATCATGACAAAGCATTAACGATGAAACCTTGACAAAGTCATGACAAATCATTAACGATGAGGTCATGACAAATCATTAACGATAAAATATATTTCCAGGACTGTTGTCAAAATGTCATGTTGTCACACTTTTTCAGAGAAGTTAATTAACCTGGTAGCACATGGTAACATGGTAACACCCTCAGTTCTTCAAAAATAATTAATTATTGAATAACCTGAAACCATTAACGTAAACATGAGACTTTGTCTCCGGACTCTTTGAGTCACTTAACGATGAAATCATCATGACAAAGCATTAACGATGAAACCTTGACAAAGTCATGACAAATCATTAACGATGAGGTCATGACAAATCATTAACGATAAAATATATTTCCAGGACTGTTGTCAAAATGTCATGTTGTCACACTTTTTCAGAGAAGTTAATTAACCTGGTAGCACATGGTAACATGGTAACACCCTCAGTTCTTCAAAAATAATTAATTATTGAATAACCTGAAACCATTAACGTAAACATGAGACTTTGTCTCCGGACTCTTTGAGTCACTTAACGATAAAATATATTTCCTGTGTTGTTGTCAAAATGTCATGTTGTCTCATTTTTTCAGAGAAGTTAATTAACCTGGTAGCACATGGTAACATGGTAACACCCTCAGTTCTTCAAAAATAATTAATTATTGAATAACCTGAAACCATGAGACTTTGTCTCCGGACTCTTTGAGTCACTTAACGTAAACATTAACGTAAACATTATTTCTGCAGTTCATCCATTACTTCATTACCTAATTAATTACAGACATAAAATATATTTAGTTCATTCGGTAAGCCTTGACCCAAAAGTCTGGGCTCAAGCACATTCAATGAACGCGGTACCATGCGAATACAGTCACAAATGGTGGCATGTAATCTTTACCCGAGCCTGTTGGATTTGTTGTGAAAGTGTGTGAATGATTTCCTGCGGTTCCACAGAAAATACCTGTGCTTGAATCTACTGGGTCAGTTGTGATATCATATCTATTCATTCCCCATCTATCCGAACCCGCTGCAAGATTTGTATAACCTCTTTTTGTTATTGAATGTGAATGATTACCTGTTGTGTTTGTAGTTCCTGTATGAGTGTGCGGTGGAAGGTTTGCTTCTTTAATTTTCTTCGAACCCCTGTTTGCTTTGAATATCTAGCACAGTATAAGAATTTATCTACAATCTGCTTCCACGTACCAAAACCTAAAACTGTTGCTGGATTTGTTGAATTCATTGACGTATAAATAGAACCAACAGGATATAATGTTTGAAGAATTTCATTTTTCATGCTTGTAATCACATCATTTACTTCCGACTTCTTTGCATAATTTTCATCAACATAAGTTTTATCTGCTTTAAGGTCTAAACATCCTGAAACCCATTCTGTATCAGCTTTAACTTTAAAAGTCTCAATGTCCATTCATGATACCATTCAACCTTTTCTTTAATTTCATTATCTTTTTCATCAACATAAACCAAATTTGCTTTCTTCATTAACTCATCGTTAACATATTCCTTATCCACCTTCTTCATTATGTCATTTAGGAAACCTTCTATGAATTCCTCATTTAAATTAAATCTTCCAATCTTCAAAACTTTAGGAAATGCATTTAATGCGTAATATCTCTGTTCTTCTGGTGGAATTGATGTTATATCATCCGTTATTCCTTTAATTTTTGAATTCATAAATAAAATTTCTTTTATATTTGATATCACTGCACCACCTTTGCAAACGAATTCGAAATGGTCATTTTTCAATACTATCTCCAAATCTCCATATTTCAACCTTTGCGTTTGTTCTGCCGTCTTTGAATTATATGCATATATGGCGTATGTAATGGTCTGAAGGACCTGGGCGCTTTGTGCCTTAAGTTGCTGTTGTTTAATCATTTATTATGATTTAAAAATAAATATTTAATCTGTTATCTCATCAGCTATTTTCTCTATTTGAAATTGCCATAATATTTCATTCATAAATTCTAAATCACAATCAAATAGGTCAGTTATTCTAAATTTAATATTTGATAAATCTTTTGAATGAAGAATAAATGAATTCCCGGATAATTGAAACGGATATGATAAAGAAAATGTGTTTAAGTTGATGGATAAAATGTTTTGTATTGATGGGTAAGAGTTAGGGTCTAATGTTTGATGTGAAAATCTCATTGGGGTATTAACTTTATCACATTTGATTAAAATGAAATTGGAACCAGTGTCAGAATACAAAACATCCCCAACATCTTTTTCAAAATTTAATATTCCCAACAATGAACGAAGATGAGGAGTACAAAATTTAATTTTCAGCGGAAATTTAATAAGGTTATTTATTTCATCAAGTTCAAAAAGTTTATCAGGTTTTGATTTAAAATTTTCTTCATACCATACGATAAATGATTCATTTAAATAACTTAAAATCATGTTAATATCCCATTTCGCTATCACATTATTTATATACATATCATACGTTTTTTCATGGTCATCTTTAATAAATGATATATAATCTGAAGGGTCTAAAAGAATGGGATTAAATTTACCACTCACAGAAACGAGAGTAACATTATAAATTCCGCTAACTGTTAAATTTAATTCACAACTATTATTCGAAATAATATTGATAATTGACATTTTTATTACGAATAAAAATATGGTAAAGCGTTATTTTCCAGTGATAAATAAAACTAGAATAAGATTACCTCAAGAATTCATAAATTCAACGAATAAGAAATTCATTCATGTTATAAATTTTAGTGTTTTCAGAAAATATGAGTCAGTGTCATATTCATCAACAGGTTATATTTCACTTCATTCAAATTTAGTTCAATCAAACCCATATAATGACCATTTCATAAGATTTTCAGATGGTATTAAAAATGTAATTGATAGATTAAAATATGAACAGATTGACAATATCGAATTTTTGGAATTTTGGTTTAAATATCCCGATGGAAAAAAGATTGAAGTTAAAGATAAAGCTGATACTATAACAAAAACAATTACAATGACCGATCCAGATAGTGGGGAACAAAAAGAAATAAAACAAACGATAGAAACTGGTGAAAGGTCAATTATTATCGATTATGATTCAAAGGATTATTATTCAATAATGTTAATGCTTGAATATTAAATAGCCTTAACAAAGAATTTTTCAAGTGATTTTATATTCATCAACTATTTTATTATAAATATCATTATATGTTAAATGAAGTTCAGTTGTTGTTCCGTTCTTTGATATCTTAATTGTGCTAATATCCTTTATAGGATTTATTTTTGCAACTGTTCCGCAGCATGAAACCTCATCATCTATGAAAAATTGAATCTTAACGTCTGAATCTTGAACATCACAAAGAATGGCAATAATGTGAATTAATGATTCATAAGGTAAAATAATTAAACCGGATTGGTCAATTAAATTTATTATTGAATCATAATTATTAATTATTATATCACGGTAAATTTTCATTAATTCAGAATTAATGTCTATTTTATATGGGTTCTCGATGTTTGATGAAAGAGGTGGGGGGTATGTTGGATAAGTGGGAATTTCAACAGGTTCTTTACCAGGTTCAGATAAAATGATTGGGTCTCCATTCTCATGGTTTTCTTCATTCTCCTCATTCTTCGGTAAGTCACGAGTTAATAAATTTGGTTGAGTTGCTGACCTTGTTAATTCAGGGCTAACATTAACTTTAACATTTTGAATAATTCGTGATTTATCATCATTTACGTTATAACCAACCGTAATCTCTGCTTTTGCGTTAGTGTTCTTTTGACTAGTGAAACGTCTTCTCATTTATAATTGAATAAAAAAATATATTTAAACTTTTATTTTGCTGGAACTTTTGAATCTATTATTCCCTGTATTTGTTCATGAAGTTGATTTTTAGCTGTTTCATCGAAATTAATAGACCGAATATATTCATTAATTGCATTCTTATAATCATCTGATTTCTCAAATTTTCTTTTATCTGATTCCTTAACTAAATCATAAGTTAAACCTCGTTGCTGATATAATGGTTTCTTAATTAAATCTTTGAATGCTTGAGATAAAGCACCTGATGCAATTCTTGCTACTATAATTGGTTGGAATTGCTGTTTAAGTTCATCTTTAACATTTGCGAAAACTGGATCGAATAAAGCAACTTTAAAGAATTTCTTAGCTGAAATTTCAGGTCTAATATTTGCATATTGACCATCAAACTGGTTAGAATATCGTGGTAATCCATCCGGTCCCTCTTCAATAGCATTTAATTCTTCATTGAAATAAGAATATGGATTATGACGGTATGAATTAATTGGACCATTTTCACCTTCTCCAATGTATTGTTTAACAGCTTTTCCATTTTCATCAAATTGCATAGGATAACGTTCATTATATGCTTTACGTTTAGGATAATCAGTTATAGTTAATTTATAACCATTTATGACTTTAATATTACCTTGACCATCAGTAACGAAAACTTCATTTATACCATCAGGTTTTCCATTTGGACCCGTAATGTCTGCTTCGTGTGCTTCCCAATTTGGACCATGACGTTTGGCATATGCTTGAGCTTCTGGTAATGTTAAAACGTTTCTCATTTGTTTAACATCTTTTTGAAGACCAGCAACAATATGAACTAATTCTTTCATTCCATCAGGAACTTTCATAGTTCTATTATATGCACCCTTTTTGTTTGTCCTTGTTTTAATGGAACCTGTAGAAGATTTGCTATTTCTGTCATGTTTAATTATAAATAAAAAATAAAAATTAATTATAAAAAGTTAATCAAATTTAACACTTCCTTTATTTAAATCAACTATTATTTTTCCATGTTCACCTAATTGCTGATATTGTGTGTAAAGTTCATTAATGCTCATTGGTAAATTCACTTGATAAAGCATAACGTTCAACTGTTGACGACTAAACCCACTGAAAATGAAAAGTGTTGATAGATTTGATTTAATGTTTGTGCTTAATGCTTTGAAATATTGAACAGCCATAAAGAATGAACACTGAATGTGTCGACATTGAGTTAATAACTGATTAAAATATGATTTCTCATTTGTTATTAGTTTTGATTTCACTGCATCATCTAGAAAAATGAGTGAATGCAAAAATTCTCTATCAAAATTTGAAATAGAAAGTGTTTCAAATAATTCATCCCGTTGTTTATCAATAATTTTATCCTCTAATCCTTGCTTCTTGATTGTATTATATAATTCTTTATACATTAAAAAGTTTTTTAAATAATCTTCTGCTTCTTCTTGTGATAAATAAATAATTGGAATTTTGATTAAATGCTTTAAAGATTCAAATGTATCATCTGAAGGTGAACCTGAACGGTTGATATAAATTAACACATGTGAATAGGGGGAAGTGTTAGCAATAATGATAATTTGTTTTAATATCGTTAATGTTTTACCTTTATTTTGTTTACCAATTGCTGCAGTGATTGAATTTAAGTAACATTCAGAATATGGAATTTTCATTAATTTTTCCTTAGATAGAGCATTTCTATTATCACTCAATGCTTCATTAATCATATCATCTACGTATGTATTATATACTCCTGCTAATTCTTCATAAGGGGTGGATGAATTTAAATCCATTTAATCAAAAATAAATTTATAATTTTAAACATTTCTATTCATCAATATTTCATCATATGAACTTCTATACTGTGGTGGTGTACCTGTTGGATGATATTTCAAACCTTCATCCGGTGTCCATGTCCAATATGTAGTCCTAGTAAACCAAACCTGAGGAGGATTTGTCACCTTTGAACAGTAAGTGTCATTTTCACCCTGAATGATTGGATAAGCTTTCACTTGTACTGTAACTTGTGAGTTGAAAGTTTCTAATCCATCAAAGAATATACCCGCTCCATCACGTTGAACTGGAATAGTGCATAAGAATGAAGTTTGGTCTTTCCATGTTCTAGCTAATGGCGTGCCATTATCATCATTCAGTGGTCTAGTTAATGAGTCCTCGTATTCTTCTGTGCATTCATTCACTCCATCTAAATCAGAAGCTTGAAGCATACGTGTAAAGAATATGTCACCCACTGTGGTCATCGCTTGATCGGGGAAGTTTCTGGAATCTATAGTGACCTGAAGACCTCGAAGCATTGGATTTTCTAAAACTGTTCTTTGCATTGCATTCTTCGGAAATGTTAACACAACATCTGTAACATTATGAAGAGCGTATGAGAAATCTGAGCTAATACCTTCAGGAGTGATGCAACCTCCATTTAGTGAACGAACGTCAATATGTTGAGCTGGAATCATGAATGGATCTTCCTTACTGAATAAACGTGGTATTGCTTTAACTGATTCTTCAATTAAACCGTATCCTGGTGTAATGCATTTATCCTCTAAAACTTCCATCTTTGTGCATGAAATAATAACGTCATCAACTGTTGCGTCAGCAGATGTAGCGGCTAAGCTTGTAATTAATTTGGCAGGAAGTCCGATTTGTTGGAATTTGCGATCATATTTATAAACATGATTCATAATCTTTTCATAATTTTCATCAGTTATCTTTTCATAAACGTAATTTTGTAAATCAGCAACTCTTAACGGGTCAACCTGACAAAATACTAAAGTATCCCTGAAAACATAATATTTAAGAATGATATCACCAAATGATTTAGGATAATCATCGAACGCCTGAAATGCTAACAAATCATTTACCGGAATAATCATATCAAAAGTGACATCAACTTCTTCATTTGCTTCTTGAAAACTTCTGAAGGGTCAATATATTTACCACATACTGAGTTATCATATTTTTGAACATTATTATATAACGAATGAACAAACTTTTTAACTTTCCTTTCTGATTTTGGTTTATATGTTGCAAATGCGAAAGATTCACGGGCGCAATCCATCTGAAGATAACCGGCATCACCTCTTTCGGTTTCTACTTCTAATTGTTTAAAGCTTTGATTTGATGATTTGTAACCAACGAATAAACGCATGCATTTAAAAGCGGCATCACATGTGAAAGCTTTATTTGAAACTAGAGTTGCTTTAACTTTGCGTTTAATATATGTGTCACCTAATTGGTTCACATCATGAGCCGGATTTGTAATTCTTAAATGAGTTTGTTTATCATCAAAATATGGAGCATCAGAGTCATAGCATGAACTTTCAAGTTCTCTATAATATCTTCTACCGTCATTCTTTGCGAATATTTCATTTATCTTTTCGAATGAATGAAACACATTTCCATTAATCGGTTTAGTGTTTGGCACCAAATAGTTAGTCGTCATTTATTAATAAATAAAAAATCAAAATTAAAAGATGAAAATGAATTTTTAATTTTAATGAAATAATCAACTATGGCTGCAGGTATATTTAAGAAACTGTGGGATAAAGTAAAAAGAGGAGCGCATAAAGTTTGGGAAACAATGAAGAAGGAGCAAATTGGATATTTAAGAATAAAGAAGCAATTAGTGACGTTGCTGAATCAATAACACCAAAAGCTGCCCCAATAAGAGAAATTTAAATAAAGGAGAAAAAGTTTATCAAAGACTTCAACCGATACTAAGATAAAAATAATATTTATTTATTTTTCCACTATCTACCTCCTATTTTATTAAGTACTCCTTCAGCAATTCCACCAATTGCGTTACCTGCTTGTGCTCCCATTGCCGGATTACCTGCTTTAGTACCTAATACTCCACCTATGATAGTTCCTGCCGTTTTCGCTACTGGTGCCAAAAAGTTTGCAATGGGTTTAATAATCTTTTTATGAACCCAACCCGCAGCTTCTTTCTTAATTCCATCCCATAATTTTTTAAAGAATCCTGCCGCCATTTCTGATTTAATATTAATTAAAAAATATATTTCATCACTTATATTCTAATTTTTATTTAATGATAAATGAAACCGATTTTAAAAATAAATGAAACAGAGGAGGAAGAAATAAATGAAAGTGAAAATGTTCAACAAAAAATAAATGTTGTTAAACCAATTACTGAAATAAAAATTTTTTCATCTGTTGAAGAATTTAATGACTATTATGCTAATAATAAAAAATTATTTGAAGAATTGACAACGTGTAAATTGAATAAAATGTTTAAAGTTGATGGATTCAAAATTTCAAAAATAAAGGGGGTGGTTAGTTTGAAATCTATTCCTCAATCAAGAATCACCTCATTAATGAAAATTGATGATTTAACAAAAAGAATAGAAGAGATTGAAGAAAGAGTAAATCAGATAATTGATTTCATAAATTCAAATAATCATTAGTTTCTTAAAGTTCTATGTTGAACTCATCAAATTCTTTTTAAAGTTTATTTTTTTATTTTTTATTTCATTATGGTAGTGAATCTTTCATTCATGAAAATAATTATTTCTAATTTCTTTTACTCTCTCATACATACTAGATTTAAAGAATTCAGAACTTTTACCATAATCTCCTAAATGTTTTCTTATCCCTAACGTGTGCCAGTTATTATATGAAACTGAATAAACTTTATCTTTATCTTTACACCTTTCATCACTTCCAATATATTTATATCTCAGTTTTGATTTAGCATTTTCATATTCATTAGCGTTTAATAATTCACAGTCTTCCTTTTTAAATTGATGTTTAAGATATTCAGGATTTAATACTCTACGTTTATATGCTCCTAACTTAGTTCTAAAGGTTTTTCTACAAAATTTAGGAATTCCATCCTCTTTAATGTCATCAATGATTTCCATTTCATTATTTCTAATTTCTTCTTCTCGTTTATGAGGTCTTTGATTATGACTCCATTGATTCCATGAAATTAAATATTCTTTATCATTATATTTATACCTCATTAGCTTATTTTGGCTTTCATATTCATTTAATAATTCACAATCTTCATTTTTAAATTGAAGTTTAACCCATTCAGGATTTAAACAATGTTTAATTAATCGCGGAATATCTGACATCATCTATATATAGCTTCTTTTATAAAAGATAAAAAATAAATTATTTTAAAATTAATGTTAATTTTTTAAAATGTGTTTAGTATATAATATTTATTACTAATTTATTTAATAATGTCGCGCTTTCTTACGAATTCATGACTTAAAAAACGTAAGAAAAAATTTTTATATCATCTATATATAGAAGATGTGAAAATATACTTTCATCTATATATAGACGTAACAAAAAAAGTCACACAACCCTTCCTATCCTACTACTGTAAATTGAAGATTCGTTTTCAGCAAAATCAAGGAAATATAATGGATAATGGCTTAATTTCCACATCTAATTCCATTATATATTGAAGAAATTATTGAATGTCAATTCACGAAGCGAAACATCAATTTTTTTTTATTCTCAATGAATTTTTTGAATGAGTCCAATTTTATGTAAAATCGAATAATAGGAATAGTAATGATTTTAAATAAATATCGACTTTCTAAACTCTCAAAAAGAAATTTATATTCAGAATATATTCAAAAGGTGACAATTAATATGGCGAAGAAAATCTGGTACGCACCCAATAAGATGGAAGCTTATGACCAGCAAGAAATCAAAGCTGTCGTTGACTGCTTAAATGATGGTTGGTTAGCTCCAGGCCCACGTACAGCAGAGTTCGAGAGAAGGTTAGCCGAAAGATTCGGAAAAAAGTATGGTCTCTTTGTCAACAGTGGCTCATCTGCAAATATGTTAGCAGTTATTTGTTCTGGAATAGGACCTGGCGTTGAAGTCATTACTCCAGCTTGCACATTTTCAACTACCGTTGCTCCTTTGGCCCAACATGGAGCTAATGTTAAGTTCTGCGATGTAGCTCCTCAATGCTATGTTCCATCAGTTGACCAGGTCTTTGCTGAACTCACAGAAAACACAAAAGTTATTATGATTCCAAATCTCCTTGGAAACAAGATCGATTGGAAAGATCTTAAGGAAAAACTCGTCCAACGTGGTCGCAATGATATTATCCTTATTGAAGACTCCTGCGACACTATTACCTACACAGCCGAAACCGATATCTCGACCTGCTCTTTCTACGCCTCCCACATCATCACAGCAGGTGGTACAGGTGGTGTTGTAATGTTTAACGATATCGACATGTACAACAAAGCCCTCAGAATCAGAGATTGGGGTCGTGCTGGTAACAACGATGAATCAATCGCAGAGAGATTTAACCATGGTATCCTTGGAGATATTCAGTACGATTGGAAGTTCCTTTACGTCGAATTCGGTTATAATTTCAAGGCATGCGAAATGAACGCTGCTTTCGGCTTGGTCCAACTCGACAAGCTCAAGAAGTTCGAAGATATGCGTAAAGAACGCTACAACAGATATATTAAGAACCTCACAAGCGATCCATACGCGTCGAAATATTATAAGTTCCCAATTGTTAAGGATGACATCCTTCTTCTTGCATTACCTCTTGAGTGCCCACACAGAATGGAAGTTCTCACCTATTTAGAGAATAATCAGATCCAAACAAGAGTTACAATGGCTGGAAACATTCTCCGCCACCCAATCTACACAAAGCACTTCGCTGAGCAAGCTGCAAGATCATTCCCAGAAGCTGATGAAGTTATGAAGACTGGATTCCTCGTTGGCTGCCACCATGGCCTTACATTAGAAGACGTCGACCGCGTTTCAAAGGTACTCTGTGATTTCGCAAAGGAGCATCTTGGAAAGTAATGAATTTATATTATTGCGATGGTTTATATATTATATTACTTTTTGGCGTTTAAATTTGATAAATATTTTTCATATTTAATACAATGCCGTAATATTGCCAGTGACAAAAATAGATTAATTTGCAATTTAAAAAATGATTGTTTATTAATTTTGGATTAAATTGGTTTTTTCTTTTTGAAACTTCAATAGTTGAATCCTGCACTGCCAAAATTCTTAACTTCTCTGGTCTTCGATTCGATTTCTAAAAAAATATTTGAACCTTATTGAGTTTAAAGTCTCTCTAAATGATATCTTTACATTCAAATTCACATAGTTTAAGTGATGTTTGATATTGAATGGCTGCAGAAGTCATCATTATTAAATGAAATATCTCAAAAGCATCAGAAGTTGGATATCTCACCGAATGATATCCAAACATTGTTGAGTCTAAACGATATTACTTTGGATTTCTGTGCAATAACTGCTGTTGATCCTGAGAAAATTATGTGAATAAAAAATTAGATAAATCCTATGCTGCGGTTATGATTTATTCAGATAAATGTACTTAAAGACACTGAATGAACTCTAAATTTCTTTAAAAATGATAAAAATGCAAGAAATACAAGATATTATAACCATGAAATCGATTTAATTAGAGAAGGAGTGAGTTATAGTCTTAAGTATTATACTGTTCATCTCAAAAATAGGCAATATGAATTATAAAATTGGAAAAGTGACAGATCCTAAAAAAACTCATTTAAGGGTGCACCCGTATGTACGTTTATTTGAGAGGAGGATTACCCTCTCAATTTTGAGTATACATGGCACGGCGGGCGCAAAAAGTGACAAAATAGAATACCTATGGTGGCAAGACAAAGGAAACATTTTTGTAAGGCAAACATTATATCAAATACCTTTACTTTGTAATAAGAAATATAATTATCACGAAATTACAAATAAATATTGTTTAATATAATTAATAGCAAAATTCTTTTTTATTATTTGCCTTAAGACCTTACTTATTAAGTATACGTATAACAAGCTTGTACTGCATGTATTAGTTAATAGAACAAAAGAAAATGAGCTCAAATGAAAAAAATTTTCATGCTATTTTGGAAATATGCATATTCGAAGTATGAGAGTTGTAAACACTGAGAATTTTAAGCTTTGGTTGATGATAGTCTTTAATTTTTCTTGAAGTAGTAAATTATTTGATATGAAAATTTAATGGCCAGCATAATCAATCGTGCGTTTCGTTTCTTGATTGAGAAACGATGATTGTGTGCTAATGAATTATTGCGTCTGACAGGTTATGATTATGGATACCTGAAATTAAGCTTTTATGGGAAACATCACCGAGCGCCATTTGGCGCCCCTAATGCTGTTTCTATCGGTATGATTAAGGAGCTTTCTTATGCACTTTCATCACTTGAACTTGAACGCTACAAGATATATGCCCCCTCCCAATGGGAGGTGGGAGCAAAAATTGAAATGTTTACATTGATTTTTGAATACTTTACAAGCGCCCCTCCCAGTGGGCGCGGGCGCAAGTGATCGGGTCAAAAAAATCATAAAAATATTCAAAATTGCGATTTTAATAGATGTTTAAGAAGTAAATTTATTAATAACGATATTTCATAGTACAAAATGTGTTCAATCTCTTCGTAAATCATTCAAAAAAATCAAAAGAATTTCCAAAATTCAATTTTTGTAGTAAAATTTATATCTTTTTCTATCGTCTCCTCCCCACCAGTGGGAGCCACCGGAGGCGCGGGCGGCGCCGCTGGCGCCAAAAAAGTAGCGCCCATCGTGCCATGTATAATTTTGAGGGATTCGTTAGTTTATTTTCTCGATGAATATGCAATAAAATTTGATTTTTACCTTATCAATATACTTCATATAATATACTAGGGTTGTTAAAAATATCAAAATTAGCGTTTTGAAGACACCATGGTGTCTTATAATTTTCCCTTCCTTATTGGCGTGTAGAAATAAATGCGCCAATAGATTGAAGAAGAAGAATTGTTTTTCTCTTAATGAACTTTAATCCTTTTGATATAAGAATATTAAAAACATTAATATAATTTAGATTTCGGAAATTAAATTTCCAAATTTTTTGTCGATTTCGGAAATAACAGGATCCCGCATCCAACACGCAACAACAAAACACAAAACACACTTTTTGGTTCTTTCATCGTTTTAATCGTAATTTATGTAATACATGATTTGGATAAATTTTACAAAAATAGAACCTATATTATATTCTTTTCAAAGATTCTTGCAAATCATCAAAAATAATTGTATTTTAAAAAACGATCAAATTATCCTTTCATTATTTTAAACTTAAATTAGTTTTTATGATTGACTAAAGCAATCATATTTATTCATCATTAAATAAACAAAAAAAATAATATTTGAGAGTTATTTCAAAAAAAAAAACGCATTGAATTTATTAATTTGTCTCAATTTCAGTATTATAAATTTTTATAATTTCAATATTTTGAAATACACTTTTTAATATTTCAATATTTATGATATTTCAATGTATTAAGTGGTCTCAAATTGAGCTTCTCAAATATAAGTTGGCCTATTCAAATAATAAAATTAAATAATATTTAAAATAATAAATAAAAGTGATTGAGGTCATAGCAAAACGGCTGTTTCAGTCATTAATTCTTAAAAATAAAAAGGGTAAAAACTAAATAAAATGGGTAAAATTCAATAGTGTCTGTGCTATCGTTCAATTTGAAGGTGTCTTTTGAAACCGCAAGACACATTGAATTTTTGAATAGTGTATTATGGTTTGACAGACACCAATGAAAAAAATAAAATGATATTTATTTTAAATATATAAGATCCTTATATAAAATATAAATATTTTATCGTTTTATTTTCTTGTTTTAGAAATGTTTTTTATTGAAAAATCAATAAAACTAACTCCAAAATAAAATTTTTGATTTAAAGACACTATGATGACACCAGGCAAATCTTCCAAGACACCTATCGTCGGGAATCTAACAACCCTATAATATACACATGTTCATGTAAAAACTTTTTTCCAAAATCCTCAGGAATTAAGGGATTTTTGAATTTTAAGATTTTTTTTCGAATTTTTTCGAAAAAAAAATATTTCCAGAACAGCCTTAACGGCTAAGATTTAGGAACAATGTTAAGTATCAAAAAGAAAGGAGGTCTGATATAGACAACATATATCGTTGAAGGTTGAAAAAATCTCTAATATTTGAGCCCAAAATTTCAAATTTTAATTTTTTGAAAAAAGAGGCCACCCGTATGTACGTTTATTTGAGAGGAGGAGGATTATATTTTTGAAAGGGTGAAACATTATGAATATGTTAATTATATAATAATATGTATTATTATAAAAAAGAAAAAATAAAACACGTTAAAATTTTTCTTTCTTGATTTTTTACAAAATCTACTTAGAATTATGCAAAATATGACTAAATAATTATAAATTTCAAGTTAAATTTTAATTTTGATAAATAATTTAAATTTCAAAATATCAAGTTCAGTTCGACTATGTATGTAGTAATTCCTCAATAAAGTGCCAAAACCCTATTAAAATATATGAACATTTTCAACATTTTAATGTTTTTATTTAAAAATTTGATGGAATATGAGCTTCAAACAATTATTATGTAAATAAAAATAATTAAATATATGTATTTATTCGTATTACAACCGTAGTAAGTCGATTCTTCCTTTCTTCTACTGAGGTTTGAATTTGATTTCGAATTGTAAAGAGATTCAAAGGGAAAATACTAGCGGATAAAAACTACCTCCATGAAAGGGTCATAATGGACTCAAGTTGTATTTTTTGATATTTTTTGCTTTTCGAGCCTAAATAGGTAGCCAAGATAATGCCTAAAAATAAGGTTCTAAATTCTGAAGTTTACATGATCATCTCGTGTGCACCCTTAACATGACAGAAAAAGCAAAGGATATAACTTATAAAATTGTTATTCCCGAAGATTCTTCTGTCAATGGAGATGAAATTTTAGATAATCAAAGTCTTAAAACAAGGCCAGGAGGATTTTGTGGCGAAAATTTGATCGTCTGGCTTGTTGCTGAATGGGGAGAGAATGCGTCATATCTTGGAAAAGTTGTTTGGGAACCAACAGAGTTCCAATGTGAACTAACTGTTAAAAAACTTGAACATAAAAAACAGCATTTTTCAACTGTTGAAATAAATCCAAAGCAATACAATCACAAATCAGTCGTAAGGAATCTTCAGGCAGCGGTTCCTCTTTCTGTTTCCCTTTTCCATACTCCTGTTGCTGAAGCTCAATTTACGATCTGGAAAGACAACTACTCAACAAGAGTCACGTCGGCTCAACTTCAAATTACTTTACCTGTCTCATACATCAGCACTTTCAGAGTTGAAACAGATTCAATTCTTATCAATTTAGATTTTTCAAATTCTCTCTGCAAGATAGATAGCTTCGACTTACGATTTGCACCACAACTAAAAGTCAGTCTCTCTGATTACGAAAAGGCCTTCGCCTTAAGAAGAGTTCCAAATACCTCAACATATATCCTTTCAAATGCTTCGAGTGAAGCCATTAAGCTCATGAAGAGTATCCAGTTGGCGCTCTCTGTTATTTGGAATAATAAAACAATGATGTCGCATTTCACGATTGAACTTCCAATTCCTGCAACTTCAGTTGGTTTGTTATGGATAGTACCACCACTGAAAAAGCTGAAGCAAACCCCACTGGCTGTCGAAGTTACAAATATCACAAATAGCCCTGTTGATGTAAAAATCGAATTAGATGACAGGCCGTGCATTCCGCTCGTTAAAACTGTTTCTATCGACAAGTTAGAGCCGAACAAGAGATGCGTCGTTGATGTACCTTGCGTTCCTTGCGTTTCTGGAATTCATGAATTAACATATCGTGTTAAGATTGGTAATGGCTGGTTTAAGCCTTTGTTTAAGACTATGGTAAATATTGAATAAACTATTTTTGCTTTTATCGATATAAAAATAAAAATCTTTAAATAAAAATTGAAAAATTATGAAATTACATGAGAAAATCTGTGAGATCTTGAAAGTCCTTTCAAATTTGAATCAATACTTCAAATTATTCTAAAATTATATTTGATAAAAATTTTAAGTCAAATTTGATACTATTTTGCATTGGTTTTTATCTATTTGAATAGTTTTGTTTATGTTTGATTGATATTACAAGTTACAAAACTAATGAAATAACTTAATATCGAAATTAAACTGAGGAAAAAGAAATGAAATATAATAGATATAAATTTATTTATCTTTATATACATTTTCAAGACATAATATATGTTAGTTAGACTTATTTATCGTTCGAGATTTTCAATTTCGTTTTGAGTTGATCCAAAAGTTTTTCATTTGGAATAAACATTAATAATATACCGCAGAAATCAAGAATGGCATATGGAGGAATTCTGCATATTTTTCCTGTTGAAATTTCTACGCCATTTACTCTGAAAGATCTGTTTCCGATATTTTCTATATAGAAATTGCAATCTGGAAGGAATGATAATATAGCTTGTTGACGAGATATGTGAATGCAAGCATGTTGTCCGTCAACGGAAGAAAGATCAACGTCAACTTCAGATAAAGTTGAAGCTCTTCCGATTAGAATTGCTTCTCGGCGCATAGCATATTCTACACTCAGTCCTCTCAAAATTGCGAGGTCATTTCCTTTAAATGCAGTAATTGAAAGTAAAGAAGTCAATTCGTGGAGTTCTTGAATCTCATGTTCAACATGTGGTTGTATATCATACTGATGGTGACTTTCGTAAGTGCATTGAAGATTAAGATTTTGTTTTTCGTCTGGTGAATCTGGTTTACTGAAAGATTGTTCGAAAAGCATAGTTTTAACTACGTCATCATCGATTTTCTGTCTTTCTTCAGGAGTCATTGCTTTGATTTCTTCAAATCTAGCGAGAATTTGATTCATTGTTAAACATGGTCGAAAATGATGGCCATATTTCTCGGCAAATTCTTCGAATGATATTGAATCTATGTGTTTGAGATAATTAAGTAGCCAAAAGTCTTCTTCCTTCGTAAGTTGTGTTTTCAAAGGATATTTTTTAGTTTTTGTAGAAATTTGTGGTGGATTTTGTAAATAATTCTTGAAAGTTGCTTCTAAATCACTATAAGTGAACTTATCAAGCTTTGGAAAACAAATTTGTGCAGCTTCTAATGGCATTGACATGCAAGAAAGAATTAAATTAGCTGCCTCTTCGTCACTAAGCTTTGGTGGTGCATTTATATCATCTGTTGTAAAGCTAAAACGCTCTTTAAAGTCAGTCATTAAAAATAAACAGATTTTTTGAAGTAACTTTACATGTCAAAATCATTGCGTTTTTCATGTTTGAACAAGCATTATGTAAAATCAGACCTAAATACTTTATGGAAGTATTCTACTCTTATATGTAGACTCCTACAACTGAAGAATAATTCATGTTGTAGTTTAATGTAAAATGAAAATATTCTACTTCTGTTTCTTTCTGCTTCATTCTACTCTTAAATTGCAAAGATAATTCTCCATCGTGCAAATTTTAGAGAGTACAGGATAACTTAGATAAAAAAATCCATCTAAATTTTTATATTCAATAAAAAATTTAAAATTTATGCCAAAGTATTTAAAATTTGAATAAATAGTAAACTTTATTGGTCAGTTTATTTCGAAATTCAAAAAATAAAATTAAAATAAATTTAACAGCATCCGGATTTCTTATCTTTTTTAGACTTCTCTTTAGGATCACCAGCCAAGGCTACAGTTTCACTTTCTTGTATTGCTTCCTTATTTATTTGATCATTTGCAACGTCGTAGAATAATTCGTTGAAACCCTCCCCAGAAAGTGCAGAAATAAAGTATATGTGTTTATATTTTTCGGCCAAGCCTGATTTAATCGTGTCTGCATCTGGTACCTCAAGATCGCATTTATTAATTACGATAAATGGAACAGCTGTGTCAACTTGCTCTGCTATTTTGAGCCATTTTTCGATATTGTTTATCGAATCCTCATCATTTAAAGCAGCGCAAATTAAAATAATATCAGAGTCTCTTGTATATAAAGGAACAAGCGAATGATACTTTTCTTGTCCTGCTGTATCCCAAAGGGAGAGTTCTACCTTTTTTCCATCAACGTCTTCCATGCATTTTACATGTGATGAGCCAATTGTTGAGCTTAATTCTGCTTGAAAGCTACCTTTTACACGTCTGTTAATAATTGATGTTTTGCCAACACTTGCATCTCCAACGAATGAAATTTTTCTGTTTTTTGGTTGCATTTTTAATATTGTCACTTTTCCGATTAACAGAATTCAGATGCCCACGTCTAATTGAAAAATTGAATTACTTTGGAAAAAATTGAAAGCAAACGATATCCGAATAAAAAGTGTGTATCTCATATTAAATAATATCTCTTTAGGCAGGCGAGTGGGGCTTCCAGGCGCGTTGCGCCCTCTAGCCCCGAAGATGTTTAGTATAAATGAAGTTTTTATTCGGAAAATTGTTAGTCTTCTGGTGTGAATTCGGAGGACTCTTCTTGGATAGAGTCTTGTATTTCCTCCTCCTCTTCTTCCTCCTCCGAACTCGTCAACGTATTCATCTTCGTCATATCCGTAACTAAAGACTTGGAATTCGGCAATTCTCGTGTCGAATGACCGTTGGATGTAACGAGGAAGATTTTGACGAACTTGGTATAAAGTTCTCAACATTATAAGCTTAGTAAATGTTGGAAAATACTGAACTAAGACATCGCTAAGCTCAATTGGACTTGGAATTGTCTTAGTAAGTTCAATTGAACTAGTAATTGCTTTGTTCAGAACTTCACAGAACTGAGTATTGTATGTAGCGTCTGGTTGTGTGTTTTCTTCGGCGTCTTTGAGATATTTAGAGCAAATTTGTTGAAGAATTTCTCTTAATTCGCTGTTAGATTTTTTGGTGGTTATTCTAACCGCTGTGCCAGTTCTTGGAGGTTGTGGGGCTTTGGCTTTGTTTAGCGGTTGAGAATTGTTAATGTTTGAATTGTGGTTAACAGCGTTGGCTTCCATTAGATAAAAATGAACTGACCAAAAAAGACATATATTTAAATATTTGAGATGAACCGTTTTCGTCAACGGTAACCCCCTCTATTTTTTTATTTTATTTAATAGTTACCGTTGGAAAAAACGGTTTATCTCAAATATTGAATGAACTATAAACGTTTTTTGTTTTCTATATATACTTTTTTGTCCAACGGTAAAACTTTTCACACAACGGTTTTTGAGAGTCGTCGCTGTTGACTTTTTTGTAGAGCACTCAAAATAGTATAACTTTGTCCGGACAAGTAAGGGTCTATCGTCGCTACAGGAAAAGTTACAGGCGTTCCAAGGAAGTATACTTTGAGAAGCCTTTTTCCCCTTATAGAATGAGATAGGACGGTTATTTTACAAAACTGACAACACTTTGACCGAGTAGTTTTTTGTGCTGAACAAAAAGTGTCATATAAACATCTGTCAAAAACCGCTTTTTAACTTCACTTAAAATGCCACGTAAGCTACGTAAGAATATACGTAAGAGGAAGGGAGCATTGAAACATCCAATAGTAAAACTGACACCACAACAACAGTTGCAACAACAAATGATGAATGACCCCACTATGTTGCAACAAATGTCAAGCAACCCTATGCTTTTAAACCGAGTTATTGGTGCACAGAGTGGAGGTTTAAGAGCGGCACTTTTAGCGAAAATAGCAGGCTATGGTGGAGCTGCAGACGGAACAGCTTATAACCCTCAAAGTCAAATGAATTTGAGTTCACTCAAAAATCAAATAACAGATGTCAAAAAGTCAAACATAGACATACAGAAACAAATAAGTGAAAACGAAAAGAAACTAGAATATGACAGACAGACAAAGAAACTAAATGAGTTAAACGTAGAGAAAAAGAAGAAAGAAGAACAACTGAAAGAACTAAGTACAGAGGAATATGCGAAAAAAGTGTCAGAAAAAGCAGCAGAAGTAGCAAAAATGGAACAAGATGTTATAAATTTGAAAAACCATACTACTCAATATAAAGTACTGAAAGATGAAGAAATAAAACAAAAAGCCATGAAGACATATATGGAAAGCGATGAGTATAAAAAAGAAGTTGAAGCAAATGTAAAGGCAGAAAAACTTTTACAGTTGCAAAACCAAACCGTACAGTATGAAAACTTAGCACAAGAAAGTAAAAATAACGACGCAGCCATGCAAAAGGCAATGAAAAGTGCAGATATTATAAAAGCTAACAATGACTGGTTAGATGCCCAAGCCAACGCTAAAGCAGCCCAACTTATAGGGTCAATAAGGACAAAAATACAAGCGGATGAAGACAGTTCAAATGAAGCTTTAATGAATGCTGACTTTAAGAATGCCTTCGAAGCTCTTCATAGTAAGGTGAAACTAGTGAACGACTTCTCATCTGGAAAGAAACTGAAGTCTGAAGGTTTCGACAAAGAGTTAAGAGAAGTAGCACAAAATATGACGAAAATAACAGATGCAGCAACGAGACAGGCAGTTCAAAGTGCCTATGACGCCGTTAGAGCAGCTGTTGTGGAAAGTCAAGAAAAAGAGTTACAACAGACCAAAACAGACCTAGTAAATGCTTTCTTAAGAATGAAAAGTCAGGTAGGACATTATGCTGCAGATGGAACATATGGGCCAGCTGGTGGAACTTATATACCACCAAACCCTCCAAGAGAAGCACCTGCACCAGGACTACCTAAAACATTTACATCATCACATGGACACAGACACAGGCATGCACCACAACAACAACCAACACAACAACTAACAGTTCAAAATCCAGCACCACAACAACAACCAACAGTTCAAAATCCAGCACAGCAACCAACAGTTCAAAATCCAGCACAACAACCACCGCCACAACCAGCACAACAACCAACAGTTCAAAATCCAGCACAACAACCACCTCCACAACCAGCACAGCAACCAACAGTTCAAAACCCTGCACAACAACAACCACAAACAGAGCAAGGACATAAAAGAAGTAGAGAAAAAGGAAACCAAGAATTCTCAAAAATGCTTAAGGAAGATTATGGTTACCCAGATACTCTTGACTTTAGTGACAGATATAAAGAAGCTATTAGAAAGTTCAAGGAAGGAAATACTGACCCGAACCTATTTAGCTTTATGGTTCAGCATCAAATCGGATATAATCTCAAACCTGGAAAATACTAGCTCGCAAAGGGATATGATTTAATAGCATATCATCCAAATGACATGAATGAATTTACTCCGAGATATTTGATGTCAGAGCTAAATGATAATTCAACTCTCTTCATGAAACGCGTAAAAAATAGAGACGGAACGAAAGAAGAAAGGTTTATGAGTCCGGATGACTTAGATAGGGAACTTGTTAAAAACGGTCTCGGAATATATGAAATGCCACCAGATGAGGTACAAGAAACTCCACAGGAAGAAGTTCAGATACAACCAGACATGGAAGAAATAGTTCAGCAACAACAGCTAGAAGAGCCTGAAGGAAACGAACAAGTCCCTCCTTTGGAAACTAACTTCACAGAACTAGATGAAGATTTGGAACAGCCGAACAATCTTGACCCTCAACAAGAGTATGAGGAGAATATGGAATCTTTCCAAGAGTCTAAGAAAAATTCGGCTGACATAGTAGAAGGATATCGAAAAATGTTCACCGACATACAAAAGACTCCAACATCAGATGAAAATATTCAGCATAGAATGGAAGTACTGAAAGAAAATGTACGCAAATACAATAATCCTTTTTACTTACGACCATATAACGTTTCAATCTTTGGCTGAACTCGGTGAAAATAAAAGGTTAAATTTCAACAAAACATATAGAAATGAAACATTGTTTAAAGTTCATTCAGAACCTAACCAATATGGAAACAAACCTACTTTTTTCTGCAGACTATGGAACTACAATGAGATGGGGTCATAAAGCTAATCCGGATAGGTGGTTCATAAACTTACAACCTCAATTCCAAGAAGTTGTAGACGCAATGGAAGTGAATGGTGAACCAGATATAACGGGTATTTTCAGCGCGGCTTTAATGCCATTGAAAGATATGAAAGATGCAGATATTTTGGACCAGTATGAAATGAACATGGCTGAGGGAAATATAACACCTGACGTTCTAGAACATTTATCTCAAAGAACTACACAGAACCATAGAGATGGTATATTTGGTGAGGAGTTTAGAAAGAGAGTTAGGGAGAGAGAAGGAAGAGAACCTATTGTACATGACCTTGCAAACGAAAGTTTGCAAAATGTCATAAAAACTTACTTTGCAGACAATAAATGAGAAGGGATGAATATTTAAGAAAACTCAAATGGACAGTACCAAATGAAATGTTAGTATTGAAAAACATGTTCCATGACAAAATAAAACCAACTACAGAAATAAATGACGCAAGACTGAAACGTTGGGTAAAAGCTTTCCCATTCACAAAAGATATTATTGGTTACATGGAAAGAAAACCAGAATGGCTACAAAAACATATATTTGGAAACGAGCTTATTCCATATGGACAAGCTCTGTTTGAAGAGCTTGAACCGGAAACTCAGGAAAGAGTCATGCAAACATTAAGCGAAGACTCAAATACAAACTATGACAAAATTTTCTAGGATATAGGTTACCTGAGATGGGCGACCAGAGCCCAAAGGCAAAAAGGACATGGGAAATTTACAACATACTAGGTGAACATGAGGCAAAGATGCTACAACTTGAAGCAGAGGGCAAGTTACCAAAAGCGACACCAAAGAAGAAGAGAAGAGTAGAACAAAGTGAAAGTAGTGAAGAAGTAACTTCATCTAGTGAAAGTAGTGGCAATGAAGGAAAAAGAAGAGTTAAAGATTCAGTTAAAAACTCAGTCAGGAAGAAAGTAAAGCTTGGTCCGAGTGGGTTCTATTATGACATATAAATCCAACTATTCTATATTTTTACCCATATGAAATGTACGCCGCTCAGAATATAACGCCAACAGTTTTGGATGCCATGAACGGAAATGTTTCCGAATGGTATAACGAATGCGACAATGCCATTAGAAGGTCAGAAATAGTTCCTGGAACTTACGAATATACAACTGCTGTTTCTTATGGAAACGTAGGTGAGTTTGGAGAAGGCTCTTCAACAACAGTAGATATTGCTTGCGACAGGTTTCACATCATTTCTATTGACAACTCATTCTTATACGTGGAACAAGACATTGAAATAAAACCTTCTGCCAAGTTGTCTGACAAGAAAGGTTGCAATGGAATTTTCTATGTCGGATACCAATATGCTCCAGAAGTTTTTATGGATATAAGATATATTCTAACTCTGACTTAGTTCAAACAGTAACATGGGCAAACTATGAATGGTTCGCTTTGAGAAACTCAGTACAACCACAAGCTAGAGAACAAACAGACCAGTATGCAACTATTGAGAAAATAAGAAGACTTGACCTACTATTCCAGGAGTTTATGTTAACCTTTCTGACAAACTGCAGCAGCAGTAACCAAAGTAAAACTGAAACTTAGAGTTCCTTTGTCATCTTTCCTCATCTTCAGGTTTTTAAGATACTTGCCAAACTGGGCAGGAAAAATTTCTATCGAACTTACTCCAAGCAAAAATAACTTAGTCATTGCACCAACACAAGACCCATTCACTATTACAGACGTAAAGGGAAAAATCAAACGTCATTCGCCGAATTTTGCAAAGACAAAGTTGACTTAGACTTTGGTTTCTCAAACTTCAACAATGAAGTAAACTATTATTTCAATGCTGCTGGAACTGCTTGGGACACAGTTAAGTTTACATGCGAAAAGTTTGAATGCAAGAGAATAGAAAGCAGACTTGCAGTCTATATGTTGGACCCAGATATTTCAAATGCTTTAGCTGCCAAATATATTGCAGTTCCACTTATGTTCCCTATACACCAAATATCTGTCAAAGACTTTGCAGTGAAGTTGGAAACCAAAATCCAGGAGCCGAAGGTGCAAGAACAGATATTGCTTTAACAACTGCAATGAAACATGCAGATACTATGTTTGTACTGTTCAGACGAACTATAAATGACTATTCTTGTTTCTACAACCCTGGTATTAAATATCATATAAACATAGATGGCAAATATTATCCAAGAGAAGAATATTCTACAGTTGAGGATATGAGGTCATACAACTTGACATTAGATGCTATGAACTTTAACAACAACTTCACAACAACTATTAACCTGAAATGCAAAGTTCTATTATGCCAAATGTGAAAGTATGGACTCATACAGGAGGTCAAAAAACTCAATATACAAATGGAGACCGTTCAAACTTTTGGCTTGGCATTCCATTTGCTGACTCAGAAGACTTATGGGTGGTATTTCAACTGTTGGTACAGTTCAAATACAATATACTGTGACAGAGGCGGTCCAGATGAATTGAGAGCAAAAGAAGTTTACAAAACCAATAGCACTTTTCACGGAAGATGCTCTTTTGAAGATTCGTTCGATGAAACCTGCTGGGGCTCCTCAGATTGCATAACGACAGCTTCCATCGAGCAGATTTTGGCAGCAGGTCAGTAAGTTGTTCTTTGAACTGACTTCTCTCCGTCAAATATTGACAGTACGCCAGTTTTGACATAATATTGTATTATAAACTTTCCTTTAGTAATATCTGTAAGTTTGAAGTTATATTTTTGTCTGCTTCAAGAACTTTCACCATTTCAGTTATACCAACTTTCTTTGCTTTATGAAAATATTTAGGTTCAGCAAAGACTGCTATTCTATAACATTTTCCATTGTTTGTGTAAAGAACTATTCTGTCAATGTATTGTATTGTTTGTGAGTATAAACTTTGTTCTGCTTCAATTCAATAAGATATCTGAATACGTCCATCTTTTATTCTAAGTAAAATGTCATTTCCGAAAAATAGAAGAGTAAGTGTTTCAAAAGGTTAATGGCGGTGGTAGATGTGAAGTTAAATTCACCAACTCAAACAAAACAGTCAAAGTGTTGTTGTCAATGTCAAAGACAGAGATGTGAAGTGGGGAAACCATACGAAGACGAAGATGGTATAACAATTGTTCCTGTAAAAGAACCAACATATCCTGAAGTTAACAGAGACTTAAGTTCTGTTGCAGATATTCGAAACGACTACCAACAACTGAAAGACAAACTTCAAACTCAGGAGAAGATTTGTCAAGCTTTAATATAATGTTAAACTTGTCGAACACAACCCTGTAAAGTGAACTCATATGTCATTGCACCTCATGAAGTTTTGAAAAGAACTATTGAAACTTTTGACAGAGGCAGACGATATAAACATCAAAGAAATAGAACCCGACATTGGTTGCTGTGGTGTTTCATATAATGTCATTGACAAGATATACGTTATAAAGGAGGGTGAAACGTTGAACTTAAAATATAGTTTCCCAGACGTTATAAAAATATTTGACGACCACAACATTTCATTAAAATTTATTTGCTAAGTAAATGGCAGAAGACATAATGGTTTATACTATTACGACTAAAAACCTGAGTCATATAATTCTATAACAACAAACTTACAAAGTCCTCAAGGACGATATTGTAAAACTAACCTTAAACACAATGACGACTAAAGCCTGTTTTGCTCTTTTGACACAGAAGACTTATTGTTGTGAATGGTAAAAAATACTCCTTTGAAGATACTTACTCAGATATACCACCAACAGGTTTGTTGACTTATTTAATACTTTAAGTACGGTTGTAACATGTGCTGCAACTAGAGCAGGTTTCATTATGTTTGGATGTCCGACTGAGTTTACTATAACGATATGAGCTATAATACAAAACTTATTCTGGTTTTACTACCAACAGTTTCCTATAACAGGAAAAGGTGTCATACAAGGAATGTCTATTCCATTGACATTAAGCACACCAATCTTATATATTGTTTCAAACTTAGGTTCAAAGTGTTATTCGAATGTCGACAGAAACTATTATGACCAAAAGATACTTATGCGTATAAACAATACTTTCTCTGCTGGTTTGCCTATTGTTCATTCGAATGCAGAATTTTCAACCTTAGTGAACTCAAACACTTTGGCAAGTATAACGTTGACATTAGTTGACGCAAACTTTGTTCCTGTAAAACTTTTATGTCCTATGTATTTGTCAATGACGGCAGAAAGTTTCGAATTGGAAGATGCAACTGTGAAAGTATTGTATTACAAGAACAACTT